AACAGGACAGAATATCGGCAGTAAAGCCAGTGCTGCCTTTCTTCGGGCTAAGCAGGATGAGAAACTTATCTCGACAGAAAAGTCAGTGATACAATTATCAGCAAAAAGTCGGACAGGGAAACCACCAAGAGTAGCGGTAGAAGTATCAAATACAGAGGAGGAAACTTCTTCTGCTTTGACTAAACTAATAGTGGATAACGTAGAAGTGGTAGAGAGAGTTGCCAAGGCCTCGAAAGGACTCAAAGGCACACTGCAGCGGGCTTTAAAAGAATCGGCATCGGTGATTCGCGAAGCTATGGAGGTGCTTAGCAAGCGAACTGTCTCAGAAGAGTGTATGACGCTACAGAGAGCAAATGTGATCCAGCAAGTACAGATTCAAGAGCTCCGCAGTGAGCTCGCTGAACTACGGGCTGAGCTCCGGAAAGGCATTGTTATGTCTCAGGTTGAATCTGTTCCAATTCCTAAACAAATCCATAAGAGAAGTGAGCTCTCGCAAAACACCATGTCCCAAATTGCGTAATTGATAGACAGTAAGTTTAGGGCGTTTGAAGAACGATTTCCATGTCCCCCTGCTTCCAGAGAAAACATCAGTGCGAACGTCTCTAAAGAGACAATAGTATCGGTCGCATCCGGCTTACACCAGGGGATACCCCTGTCTTCTGAGGCTCAGCCTGTGGCTCAAAAATCTACATTAGAGCAAAAGAAGAAAAAAAAATGCAAAGGGTAAAAAGCAACAGTATCTCCCATCCCAATCTTCCCCTCATCCTGTGGCGTCTGTTCCATTTTACTCCGAGAACACCTTTGCGCCGATCCTAGCTGTTGAGGAAGAATGGACGCAGGTAACGCGCAAAAATGGCAAACGGCGAAACCAACCAGTTTCTGTGCGTGCACAATCTCAACCAAGGCCAAAGAATATCGCAAAAAAGCCAAAAGAAAGGCGGCCACCGCGAACAGCAGCTGTTGCAGCATTTTATTACAGAGTATGGCTGAGAGGTCTATTAATATAGCGGTAGTTGCAGAACCCTATAAAATTCCTCTTAGGACGGACTGGGCTGTAGACAACGGAAAGCTGGTCGCTATCACGACACAAACATCCACTTGCCCTCCGCCTTTAAGTCATATCATTAAAGGCCAGGGCTTTGTGGCGGCTACACTCGGAGAATTTGTAGTTGTTGGAGTATATTTTTCACCCAACAAAAGCTTGGCGGAATTTGAAGAATTCCTCAATGAGCTAGGAATTCTCGTAAGAAGATGCCACCCAAAACCAATACTGATCCTTGGAGACCTTAATGCGAAGTCTCACATGTGGGGCTCGGAGACCAATAACGCGAAAGGTGAGGTACTAGAGGATTGGTTGGTGGAACACGAACTCGTCATTCTCAATAGAGGGACAACTCACACGTGTATCCGGCGATGGGGAGGGTCAGTCGTGGATGTAACTTTCGCATCTCCAGCTGCAGCCTGTCGTATTCAGGATAGGAAGGTACAAGTGGATGAGGAAACTCTCTCAGACCACAGATATATAACATTTAGTATGTGCTATACAACAAATTTAGCTCAACATAGACATTCAGAGATTGGTCCGCACTGGGCAGTCAAGCAAATGGACAGGGATTTGATCTACGAAGCATCTCTCGTCGAAGCTTGGAACCATAAAGCGACAGGATCCGTAGATCTAAATATGGAGGCGGATAATTTGTGTAAAGCTATGACACGAGTGTGCGATGCGGCTATGCCACGCGTGAAAATCACAGGAAGTTGTAAAGGCCGGGTATACTGGTGGTCGATGGAAATAGCTCAGCTTCGAAAAACATGCGTGGCCAGACGTCGTCAGTACCAAAGGTATCGCAGAAGATCACACCGACAACCTGAGGAAGAAGAGTGTTTATATGCCATATACAGAGAGGCTGTCAGCGCTACACAAATTGCTATTAGTGAGGCTAAATCTAATGCTTGGCGAGAACTATTAGAGTCCTTGGATAGACGCCCATATAGGATGGTTAAGCAAAAACTCCGTCCTTGGTCTCCTCCCGCCACCAGTATGTTATCGCCACAGATACTAGGGAGAGTAGTAGAGGGTCTATTCCCAGACCACTTTGAATCTGCCTTTGTTCCTCCTTTAATGACAACAGTGCAACATGCTTCTGGACCTGACACTGAACCAGTGCCAGAAGTTACGAAAGATGAGCTTGGTGCGGCTATATTAAAACTAGCAGCCAAAAACACAGCTCCCGGGCCAGATGGAACCCCAGGAAAGGCATGGCTTATAGCTTTAAAGGTGCTCGAGCCACTTGTAAGGTCGCTGTTCAGTAGATGCATTAATGAAGGAGTATTCCCACGAAGATGGTGGTCAACTTGTTTTGATCAGAAAGGAGGGACACTCGGCGGATGAGCCCTCTGGTAATAAACCTATCACCTTACTCGACGAGGCACGTAAGCTCCTTGAAAGAGTGATAGCAGCAAGTCTTATAAAGCACCTAGAGGATCATGGCCCGGACCTTGCGGATGGTCAGTTTGGATTCCGAAAGAGCCGTTCGACGGTGGACGCTATTGCGAGAGTGCGCGATCTTTCCAAGCAGGCGTCCTCCAGCGGCGGGGTGGCGGTCTCGCTTGACATCGCCAACGCCTTCAATACTCTGCCATGGAAAACAATATTAGAAACGTTAAAATACCATCAAATTCCATTATATCTGCAGAGGCTAATAAAAAGCTATCTCTCTGAAAGGAAAGTGGTATTTAAAGCTAGTGATGGACCTGGACAAAGGCTCATGTCGTGCGGTGTTCCACAGGGTTCGGTTCTGGGACCACTCCTGTGGGACATTGGGTACGACTGGGTGTTACGCGGAGCAAACCTCAGTGGAGTTGAAGTCACGTGTTACGCCGATGACACCCTCGTAACTGCACGTGCAGAGGACTATCGATCAGCGTCTATGCTCGCGACTGCTGGAGTAGCGGCAGTCGTTACCAGAATTCATCGTCTGGGGCTTAAGGTTGCGTTGCACAAATCTGAGGCGATCTGCTTTCACGGACCACGCAAAGCACCACCTTCGAACTCGCAAATTGTGGTAGGTGGAGTAACTATCCCGATAAAGTCGACACTCAAATACCTAGGAGTAGTGCTCGATAGTAAGTGGAACTTCCAAGAACACCATCGGCAGCTGGTTCCAAAATTAATGCGTATGGCGGCTGCACTTAGCTCCCTTTTACCGAATATTGGTGGAGGAGGCCGAGTTTGCCGCCAACTATATATGAATGTTGTGCGCTCCATGGCCTTATATGGAGCCCTAATATGGGCAGAATCTCTGAGAAGACCCAATACAGTCCTACTCCACAGAGCACAGCGCGCCATGGCAATAAGGGTCTGCCGGGGGTATCGTCCAATTTCCTACTCGGTAGCCTGTGCTTTAGCTGGATCAATACCTTGGGACTTGTTTGCTGAGGTACTATCTTCTGTATACTGGCGGAAGAAACAGGCAAGACAGCAGGACCAAAGACCCACAATCGAAGAGGTGGCTCGATGGCGTCAAGATGCTCAAAACGAAGCTATAACAACTTGGGGAGAAAGGTTACAGCAGGAGTTGGATGCTGCTGACCCAGGAACTAGGCGAAGAACACTAGAGGCGATAGTCCCTATATTAAAGAGCTGGGTTAGTTGTGAGTACGAATCCTTAATCTTCCGACTCACGCAGATTCTTCCCGGACACAGCTGTTTTGGCAGATACTTATATAAGGTAGCAAAAAGGGAACCAACTCCGGAATGTCATCAGTGCGGCTGCCACGAAGACACGGCGCAACATGCACTTGAGGAGTGCCCAAAGTACGACGAGCTACGGACTATTTTGAACGCAGCTATAGGAGATAACCTGTCACTACCGGCCGTTATGGGCACAATGGTAGAAGACAAGAAAGCTTGGGAGGCAGTGTCATCTTTCAGTGAGGAAATAATGCTGCAAAGAGAGGACGAGGAGCGCCTCCGAGAGGCGGATCCACTCGCACAGCCAATAACGAGAAAGCGGGGTCGACGGCGGGGTAATACCCGTATACAGTCTCCGCAGTAGGGACCTCAGACACCAGGCACAAGGGTTGTCTGGTGGCTGTACAAAAACTAGGTTCATGAGAGAAGATGATACGCCAATGTGTCCTGCGGCGCGTTATCGAAGGGGTCGGGGAGGGTGCAACCTTGCTCCCTTTCCAGAGGTGGGTTTGCCTCATGTGGCAGGCAACTGGCACCGGCTAGCTATGTGTGCGTTTCGGTCCAATAGCGACGCCTATTGCCAGAATTGATGGGGCACGTGGGGGTTTTAGTCGGTAGGCCCTTGTCTACCGACTAGGGGAAAGCTACATTTCGTCCAGTGGGTAGGCAGGGGAGAGCCCGACATAACCCGCTCACCAGTTTTCAGAGGCATTAAGTAAGGTAGGCACCAGTAAGGCATTTCCCCCACGGAAAAAAAAGGGTTCGAGTCCCGTCTGCTGCCTGGTCCGCGTGGATTTTTTTCTAGTAATATTTTCTATGTAAACTTCGAGGAAACGGTTTTTGTTTGTTTATATGTTTGGGACGTAAGCTTAAGCTGATAAAAACCCTACCTGCGAACGACTTATCTCAATCTAGATTGACAAACTTGGCAATTTTGTCAACAAAAATGAAATTGCAGAAACTAATAACTTTATAAAAGATTTTGCCTATAGAAAGGCTAGAAAAGTAAACTTTGATAAGTATTTTCATTATATGCTTCGCTGATTTTCGTATGTGTATGAATTACATTTAAGAGGCGCCGTAGAAATCTTGCCCAGGGCACTGGGCCAAAACCGGCCCTGTTCAGATATAATAATGTCAGTCCTTTATCAAAAACAACGACTAATAACTAAATAAGTCAATGCTGTTGAAAACCTTTTACTAGCAGTCGGTGTATTATACGAAATAATGGATCAGACTATTACATAATAGTAATTGATGCATAGCGTGTAAAAAATCAAACAGATATCTTTGTCTTACAGCGTCAGAAGACCTCGCCGGTCCGTAGCGTGTGTTGCGTATGTCGCGTAGCGTGAACTAAAATATTAAAATAAATGATATTTTTTAAATTTATTATGACAGTAATTTAATAATATACTAGCGAAAATGTATAAACATATTAGTGTAATATTACTTATTTTAAGCTTTTCGTGTGCTTATAAGATTTTATTGGTTTTTCCGTTTCCTGGCAAGAGTCACAGTATGTTAGGTGAAGGATATGTTAGAAATCTTCTAAAAGCCGGTCATGAGGTGAGTACGCTGTTTTCCATTTTAATATCTCAATTTAGAATTTATAGATAAACTGATTATTACGTCTGATATTATGGTATATTCATTCAAATATGGTACAGACACTATTATTTTTTATTATAAGAATTTGACAGTTAGATGCCGTACATAACTTAAGAAAATTTTGCTTGAAAAAAATCTAGTCGGTCCAGTTAGAAACCATCTCATTTGAAACCTGGACTGTTAGGTTTTTACTACTCACCCGAGGAATAAGGAGTTTTACCCCGTAATTAAAAATCAGGACTAAGCAACTTTTCTTAGTAAATATTTAACTAAGTAGCTTTTAAAAAAATAAGATTTGTGTAAATAAAAGTGCAAGTACTAAAATATGGAGAAAGTTAAACTTAAACCGGTTTTTAGAACTATTTTGAACTACGCTAATGAATGAAGCGATCATAGCCTTGAACTTAATAAGAGGACAATGACAGTATGTTCACATGCTCTAGGAATATGACAGCTATTACATTGTATTAAAGTAATAAGCTTCCAATCTCAAAGTCAAAATGGTCAAATTGAAATTCTGGATGGTACTCCAGAACTTTTTGCCTGTACAACAACAATTATTAAATTGAATCGATCAGAAACCATAACAATAAATTGATATTCTAAGAATAAGAATTTCTTTTCTTCTGTTAAAAGTTATTTCTTTCACTCACATCTATAATAAAAATTAGAGCATTGAACAAAAATTAATAATGAAAGAATAAACTTTTTTTTATTTTATTTTAGTACTATTATTTATCACAGAGGTAAAGTGCTTAAGAATAATGACTATGCGGATTTATTTTTACAGGTTACGTATATCACACCTATATTAATGAAAAGTGAATCTAAACAGTTGCGGCAAATAGACGTATCTTCCAATCTTCAGTTAGCTTTAGGTAAATATATTAGTTAATTAATTGAAATAAGTATTGACTTTCGTATTCTGTTACCAATTTGATACATTTTTTTTTAATTTTACGGTCATTCGCAGAAAATCTCTTGAACATTGAGTCATTGCTAAAAGGGGAAGTTGACTTAGGAGATACATCTATGGCTATGGCTATGTCTGACGATATTGCTAATCATACATTATGGAACCCAGCGGTGCAGCGATTGATGATGGACCCTAAAGAGCAATTCGATGTGGTCGTAGCAGAGTGGCTTTTTACTGAACTTTACTGTGGGTGAGTGTAAACTAAGAGCTTATACTCTATTCAACTTCTTCTGAGGCAAAAGGTTAACAAATAGTCCAATGTTTCTTTGAAACTTTTTTATCCAGGAGAGTAAAGATGGCCGGTGTAACCACTAATAATAAAATTTCCTTTTTTTAAAGGAAAGTCAAATTTAAGTTTAGTTTAGGGAATCATGCCAGATTTGACACCATTGTCTGCGTAAATCCAGACCCAGGCAGAGTCTGGATTTACGCAGACAATGGTGTCGAATCTGGCAATAGCAGCAAGTTCAAATTGCATAGCTCATGTTCGGTGTTTGAAGCCATTATGGCCAATATGCCATAATATGGCATGGATGGCATAAAGCAAGCTTATTAGCTATCTTTAGAGCCTGTGAGCTTGCGGCTGGAAAATCAAGCGAAAATGAAGTTGATGCCATCTGATTTTTTTCAATGATATTACACTTATCAAAGTGTAACAATAAATCAAACATGGTCGCACTAAATCAAAAGTGTGCGCAGTTTAAGATCACGTTGTGTTTTCCAAATTGACTAGTGGTCCCATCATTTTGATATCAAAATAGCGGGATCACTTTCTTAGTTGAATATTTTGAAATTTTTGAGTGCAGATTTTTTCTATGAAAGTATACAATGGTGTCCATTCTGGCATGTTTCTCTAAACCTAAACTTAAATTTGACAACAGTGTATCCTATTCATTCTCTATACAGAATGAAAAGGACAGACTGACATTAAATTTAGTTTTAAGTTTAGAGAATCCTGCCAGAATCGACACCATTAGCAGAAATTCTGTATTAAAATTTAATCACATTATATTCGAATAACCTGGCGGGGTCGGAAAAGAATCTGGTGAATTCAACAATAGTTCTTATCAAACGTTTTTGAAACGTTGTAATTTCCCATATGTGCAGGTTTTTAAATAATTTTGGGCTGACGACGCGTCGTCGTGGAGATAATACGATGCTACTTTGTGGGCTAGGAGTCCTCGGCCAGTCCAATTTCGAAGTATTTGGTGAAGGTGGTTCTGTTCTTCTCAAAGGGAGACGTCAGCATTTAATGAGTAATCGTTTTATTTTTCTGTTAATTTTACATCAATTCCAAGTGTCCTCCTCTGTCTTATAGTGGTTCTTGGTCATATGAAATGAACATGTCATATGAATCAGAAAAAGATATTTTGAATATTTTTATTATGTACCTAGACTGCAATTTTTTCAAAAATATCATGTGTTCCAAGTAGGGATAATATTAAATTGTACACAAAAAAAATCTACAGGCCACTTTATTAGCTCGTTACTGAAACCCACAGATTGAAAATGTTGTCTCTAAAAAACTACCCTTAAGTGGAGTTCAGTTAACTTAGCCATTTTAAATAAATATCTGGTACTTACCTACATGATGAGGAAAATGAAAATTTAGCTTATAATAAGGATAATTAGAACATATAGGTAAGATAATGATCAGACTGCGGAGTCATGTATGTCATTAACTAATCTCCCACACGTTTGTCTACCTGTTTTGATAATTTAACAACATTTGCGAACTTACATAACATACCTACATTTATGAAGACGGAAGTTATAACGATGTTATACTAATCATTAAAAAAAACACACTGTTTGAATTATAGATATCGCAGTTATCTGATTGATTCTGCTATTTGATTGAATCACTAGCGCGTCATTCAATGAAGTGCTAGTCATTCAACCAGATGACGGCGACATATACTTATAGTATATGAAACGCACATGAAACGAATGATAAATGAAGTGTAGGTAATGCAACATTAATAATTTCCCTTTAAATAGACAAGATGGCTTTTGCTTTGCGGGTCCATAAAAAATAACAGAACGTATGTATTTTTATATTAGGTACTGTTACTTTTTTAAGCATTAACCTGCTCGAAAATCTAAAGAAAAACTTACACGAAATTTTTTGAGGAACGGTCTTGATAGCGTCGCCTGGATAGCAAAAGGAGAAAGTTCAAATCCTGCTTTTGACCTCGACCGAGTGGATTTTCTAACAAAAATCTATGTACTTAAGTATAACCTTATTTCAGATTCGCTGCTGTATTCGATTGTCCGCTCATCTGGTCGTCCTCAATGGATCCACATGAATTGGTTATGACACTCATCGATGAAATTCAGAATCCTTCCTACACTGCGACCCATAAGTCGGGTATGGAAGCGCCGTTCACATTCTTTCAGCGAGTCAAAGGACTTTGGGAGATCTTCTACGTGAAATACTTGAAATGGTGATTACCTTTTATAAGTCGTAGAGAAAAATATTCATTGCTGCGTTGTTACCGCCCCGTCTAGTGCTCTCCAAGGAAATGGCAATCTATCAGTTGCTGCCATAAGTCTCTCACAGACAGAAGCGGCCTGCGGCCGCGGCTTATCCTTATTGGTCGCTCGTATTTGAATACTCGCTTACAGTTTGTCTATAAAGTCGTGACATTAAATGATGGCGCCACTAGTATGCATGTAGCAACCCTATACAGTCGGACCAAAATGATTTTGATACTAGTAGTTCATTCAAGTAAAATAGGTAATTAATAAGACACACTATACAGTCCTATTTTGTTTCTGTTTTATATATAGTAGGTACCTATGCTTATAAAAAGTTTAGCCAAGCATATTTAATTGAATCAGAATAAAATTATTATAGATATTATAGTACTTTATAGTGTAAAAAATGTTGGTGATTACCGCTGAGGTGCCATTGAGACCAGAGCCGTTAGGTAATCATCAATACACACAAGTATCATCATACGACGTTTTTTAACACACTTGTTAAGAAAATAATACTAAAAATAATTTTATAGTATATAAAAAGTTTATTTAGAGAAACAATTTGTAAATGTGCAGTTAGTAAAATTAGTGATAGGTATCTTCACTAAAAACATCTGGCCATGGTTCTTTATGTGACCATTTCTTTCTTTGGTCGGCCATGTCTGTTTTCCCAGGAGTTTCAAACTTTCCATCTTTCTTAAAACCTTCGTTGACTATCGGACTCTCTGATTTTCCTGAAAAAAAGTAAAAATATATGTAACGGAATAGAAAAAATAACTTATTGACATGAAGCAATTAATTCAAAATTGGTAGAAAACCTGACCTAGTTGAACCATAATAACGTATCAAAAGAAATGGTTGTACTACAATATTACCTATTTACAATGTCAATCTAACCTAAAAATGTGCAATGTAAACAATGCCTTTTTTGGTCTCTTTAGACAAACTGTACAGTTTGTCTATAAAGTCGTGACATGAATGTTTGAGGAACTAACATTATTCATGTGTCTGGCAACACCAAACTTATGTACATCAGCTGTCATCGAGTTTCAGTTGTGGAACAGTTTTCCTTTTGTATTTTTTATTGTTTGGATTAAACTGTAATAAATTAAGACGAAACTACGCAGAAAGGTATAAAAATGAGTAAAGTAAATCGGAGTGGCACGCGGGAAGTGATTTTTAAAGTTTTCCAGCGATGTTTCGAAGACTACCAAGCTGGACGAATTTTGTGAGATTTGATTGGGTTGGGATGATGTTTATGGGCGAACAGCATCTATGACGGGTACGTAATCGTGTAACTATTTGTTTGTAATCTTCCTGAAGTTACAAATTTACTCAATTTACCATTTTGAGACCAAACAAGGCATTGCTTACATTGCACATTTTTAGATTAGATTGACATTGTAAATAGGTAATATTGTAGTACAACCGTTTCTTTTGATACGTTATTATGGTTCAACTCGGTCAGGTTTTCTACCAATTTTGAATTAATTGCTTCATGTCAATAAGTTATTGTTTCTATTCCGTTACATATTTTTTTACTTTTTTTCAGGAAAATCAGAGAGTCGGATAGTCAACGAAGGTTTTAAGAATGATGGAAAGTTTGAAACTCCTGGGAAAACAGGCAAGGCCGACCAAAGAAAGAAATGGTCACATAAAGAACCATGGCCGGATGCTTTTAGTGAAGATACCTATCACTAATTTTACTAACTGCACATTTACAAATTGTTTCTCTAAATAAACTTTTTATATACTATAAAATTATTTTTAGTATTATTTTCTTAACAAGTGTGTTAAAAAACGTCGTATGATGATACTTGTGTGTATTGATGATTACCTAACGGCTCTGGTCTCAATGGCACCTCAGCGGTAATCACCATCATTACACACTTTTACACTATAAAGTACTATTTTATATAAAATACTTTTATTCTGATTCAATTAAATATGCTTGGCTAAACTTTTTATAAGCATAGGTACCTACTATATATAAAACAGAAACAAAATAGGACTGTATAGTGTGTCTTATTAATTACCTATTTTACTTGAATGAACTGCTAGTATCTAAATCATTTTTGTCCGACTGTATAGGGTTGCTACATGCATACTAGTGGCGCCATCATTTAATGTCACGACTTTAAAGACAAACTGTACATTGCAAGCGAATACAACTAGCTGCAACTCAGGCCGCGGCTGCAGGCCGGATCTGTCTGTGAGATCCTTTATCTACTATTGCAATATTTTTGAAAGACTTTTCCAATGACACCTCATATTGCATGGGGTACACAAAAAAATAAGGGAAGGCCTGTGGCCTAGCTGTGGAATAGGCTCAATCAATAGACTGATGATGTAAGCTTGCGTTTTTTAACATTATAATATTGTTCGGTATATTTTATGTTTAGTATATTTGTTGGACGCAGGAAAGTATTACAATCAATCCCAAACCCAGACCGATAGAAGTTCTTTTTATAACTGGCAACCATTATGGTTTCCTTTTTCAAATTACAGGTCTGCAAGTGGCGTTGCAAATAAAATCTTTAACGAAGGTTATGGTCCAGCGCTAACGATGAGGGGTCGCCTCTTGCCAAGTTTACAAGAAGTCAGCCACAATGCATCACTGATGTTGGGAAACTCGCATGTATCGACGGGCCGGCCTGTGCGTCTGCCACAAAACTACATACCTATAGCAGGGTATCACATTGAAGAGGAAGTTAAGCCGCTGCCAGAGGTGATTTGGGAATCTGTTGTTGCGAACAGTTTCCGAAAGGCTGGTTAATAGGCTAAATCTATTGGGCCAAATCTATACCTCTTGTGAAAGCACCTGTAAAGAGTTTTTGTATTCAGGTTATTTTATTCACATTTCCTCGATGTCTTTGCTTCTCCAAGGCAAATATATCCGCGACTTTCAGTTTACCTTTTGGAAATCTTTTTTCTTTTTTGTTCTTTGCTGCTTGATAGAAAATAAAGCTCGCGACTTTTATAAGTAATAATAGATGACAAAAAGCATAAGCACCACCCAAGGGTAATGGTAAATAACTTATCCTATCCCGTGGAGCTCTAGATACACTCGTTACTCGGTGCATAAACTCTTAAGATTCTCCTACTGCATTATCTTTAATACACTGCCATCATTTTAAATTCCAGGACATTAAAAAGATCATGGATGAAGCTAAACACGGCGTTATATACTTTAGCATGGGTTCAATGCTAAAAAGTGCGACAATGCCTGACAAATTGAAGAAAGGTTTCCTAAAGATGTTCGGCGAACTGAAACAAACAATTATATGGAAGTTCGAAGAGGAGCTGCCTGATTTACCGAAGAATGTTCACATGTTGAAGTGGGCTCCACAAGCAAGCATATTAGGTTATTCTTTTTATAGTCAGAATGCCCTTACAAGGAAAGCAGTTCTACCATCTACTAGAAAAGAATGCAGTAAGACCTCCCACGTGGTTTTGAGGAAATGGCGTTGAAAGTGTATGTTGTTTAACCTTAAAAGTCATTTTCTAAAAATCATGTCGGAGCTTTTACTGCCTTTTTAACTAGGGCTGCAGAGTTGTAGCATAAAATAGACATTACAGAAGGTAATCTCATGTAGGTATGTAGGGGAGAGTGGGTAACAATGGATCACTTTTTTTTTCAAGCTCATCATTTATATTTATATTTATTAAAGGGTTGGGAATACGACAAATTTTTAAATTACGTAAAAAATACTTTCGTACTTACCTATTGGTCTGCGTGTGACAGCACGTGATTCCGCTCGGCGAGCGCGGCGGCGACCGGCGCGTGAGAGGGGGGTATCGACGAGCAGTAGCCACCCGTTTGCTTGTGTGCGTAAAGCATCAGACGTAAGAATTATAGCGAATAATCCGCTGTGACCCGTGATCCGCTGTTACCCACTCTCCCCTACTTTGATTACCTACGCTCGGCGGTCACGCTAGGATTGCCAAAATTGGCTAATGCGCTAAAAACTATCGCGGTAGTGGCACTCGTATCTAGTTGTTTGATTTACTGTCGATAATGAAACAAAAATATATACCAATTATAACTAAAATATTTCATTTTTTAATGTTATTGTATTAATTAAAATAAAAAAAAACTACGAATCATCGTTTTATGTTGAATTTAAACAACCTCAATTGAATAGATATAATAAATTGTTTTTTGTTGCTCCATATTTGCACAAAAAAATACATAGACGCGTGTCTCTAACGGGTTCGACATGTCGTGTCCGTGTGCGGTGTCTATGTGTGCCTTGCTCAAGCGCACTTTGTATGTAGATTACCTTCTGTAATGTCTATTTTGTGGTTGTAGTGTTTGTGACTGGAATTAGAAAATATATCAAAGTAGCGTGTATAAAACTTATTCTTCGATCTTGTCGAGTAATAAATGCATTCTAGCAAGGAGTTCAAGTTGCATGCTGACAAAAATAACAATCATCCATAGAACAATAATTATTCTAAGCAATTCATTATTTACCATCAGTTGGCGCATGCAAAATCTACTTTTAGAGTCGACATTTATAGAAATGGAACTGTGCCTCGTTCGTTTTTTTTTCTTTAATTCGCATTTCAAACTTTGTAAATAATTAAAAACACCTAAGTACCTACATGAATTTGACAGAATAGTGTTTCCTCTTTTCGTGCTCGGCCAGGTGTTATTTATGATTAAACCATATGAATTGTTCGCTTTGGAAATGGGAACGAGGCAGTGAATATTAATAATACTTTATTCGCCATATCAAAATACAATCAGTTGTTATAATATTTATACCAAGTTTATAGTAAGTTATGCAATAATATCATGAAATATTGACTCACTGAGCTACCCTCCGCTTTAGAATACAATGTTGTAGTATCATCTTTTAGTAAACAAAAACAGTGAATGATGACATCTAGGTATCAATGCTTCAAATAAATTTGTTCCTAAGTGAGCTTGAAATCCTGAAGTTTTGTTAGCAATAAATAGGCTTTGATTGAATTGAGACAGTCAAATTAATATTATTCTTAATATTATTTCCGTTTCCTCAGGTCATTCAAAGTGCGTCCTCTTTATTACGCATGGTGGCCTTTTATCAACTACGGAAGCAACAAAAAGCGGTGTCCCTATAATTGGTATACCTATGTTCGCGGATCAGTTTATCAACATAGATCGGGCCGTCAGGAGAGGGTTCGCTAAGAAAGTCACCCTAGATTACAACTGTCCAAACAATTTAAAAACAGCAATTGAAGATATTGTAGGAGACAATAGGTAAAACTCTAGATACACTTACATTACTTAGGTAGTTTTCAACTGGCAAGAACTAAAGAGAACTCTTTGACATTTAAAGATATATCAATAGTAACTACCTAATAAAGATATTTATATACTAGGTACATGGGTTGGTATAGTTAATAAAATCATAGTAAAAACAGGAATCGATTCCCGTTCGGATCAATGTACGAAAGAAATTGCCAAATAAATCTAAGTATTAGTGTTATTATGAGGAGCTCGATGGCGCAAGTGGTTAGCGCGTTCGGCTGCGATCGTAGAAGTTAAGCAACTTTCACAGTGGTCGGTCATTGGATGGGTGACCAAAAATTTACTATCTCGAGCTCCTCCGTGCTTCGAAAGGCACGTTAAGCCGTTGGCCCCGGCTGCATCTGCAGTAGTTAGTACCCATCAATCCGCACTGGGCCCGCGTGGTGGGTCATGGCCCAATTTCCCTATTCCATCCATAGGGAAGGCCTGTGCCCCAGCAGTGGGGACATTAATAGGCTGATGATGATGATTACTGTTATTGTTTTATGTTTTATTTTATTTTTTATTTTATTTTGTAAGGAATAACAAACAGTTGTACAATTTGTGTTACATAAAGATTTACAGAATTTTTATTACTAATTATACAACCAGCAACGTTATCCACAGATTACTATTAAAGAGTAATGTGCTATGCTATACACTAATATCTTTGTGAGATGTGAGTAGTTACTGGCAAAGAATCACAAAAATGAAAACTACAAAAAAAAAGGATAAATATCAAATACCTGAGGAGTTCAAGAACTTGGTGTGACAATTAGTTCATAAATGTTAGTCTTGAAGGAGGTCGTCGGGGCTGAGAAAATATCAATTTCGTGGGAACTCATGTGTTCATTAAAAGTGTTCATGATCCTATTCAGTGGGGCACGGAGACCCGCGTTAGTATTGACATTATCGGGACAAAACGGTTTGTACGGGTACATTTCGCGGATGCGCTGAGAACCACTGGGTATTCTGATCTTGACATCGCAGGTTAAATCATTACAATCATATTTATTGTGTAAGATATTATCAGAGATGTGATTTATTTGAAATACTTCTATTTTAAATGCAAATAGAAAATGCAAAATACCTATTTTATATTTTGTATTTAAATACCTTTCAGTGAAAAGTATTTTGTATTTTATTTGAAATGCCTTTCGAGATGCATTTTGTATTTTTAATATTAATTTCAAAATGCAAAATACTTTGTGATTAAGTTTAGCCAACATTACCAGTCAAACAAAACAAAACGCTTGTATTGCCGAATTCGACCGATAGAGGCGCCTGCTAACCATGCGCGACATTTTTTTCTTCTTTGGTCAAAGTGCGCGCCTTATGTCAAGTAATGTCTGACAAGTGTCAATTTCCAACGAAAACGGCGAACATTATCTATGGCTATAACATTATTATGGATATGAAACGCATAGCCGTTGACACCGACGATTTGATTTCACGACGAGTTTATTATTTTCTGGTGCTAGTGAAGTAGTTACTGATTTGATTACCTACTTCTCTGATATTGAAGTGTTGTTATTATTTCTATAATACTGAAACGGTTATGCACTATACCTGGAACGGTTACGTACTACAAGATAATTTAGATAATCTAAATAGACGTGACTTGGTGGATTTGGCTGGTGTCTAACAATTTCTACCTGAAGTCTGTCCAGTTTATTACGCACCGTTAATTGAAATAATAAAGGAAAGTATTCAAAATCGTTTCGAATAATATGATTTAGATAACCCAAGATCCAAGGACAGCATTCTGGCAGCAATATCGTATCCATTTTTCAAATTAAAGTGGGTGCCTAAAAATAAGAAGGAGCATCTGAGGGAGCTCTTTATCCAAGAAGTCAGGAAATTTAAAAATGAAAATTTAAAAAGCTCACAGACATCGGAAAGAAAAAGAGAAAAAAGCGAGTCTTATTACATGTTCCAGGATTCAGATTCCTCGGCAACCAGTGAGGGTGGTAGTGCTAATAATACTACAATAGATCTGGAAACCCTGCAATATTTAAAGGATGAGAGCACAAGTCTGGAGATGCTAAATGCTTATCCTACAGTAAAAAAAGTATTTTTTAAATACAACACATCCTTACCAAGTTCAGCACCAGTAGAAAGACTTTTTTCGTATGGTGGGATGATAATGAGACCTCACAGAAGAAAAATGAGTGATGATGTATTCGAACAACTGGTATTGTTAAAAAGCGTAATAAATAAACAATGATATTTATTTTTATCACTTTAACAATACCAGTCCAGTTCCAGTTGTTATTAGTTTTAATAAGAAAAGTGTAATCATATGTAATATGTTATTAGACGTTTGTTTTTCGGCTCGGCATTGTGTGTCTCTATTGCTCATGTATGATAAGTAAATATGTACCTATAATAAATAAAAATATCTGTGATTTGGTCAGGGGGTATTTTATTTTGAAAAAGTATTTTGAAAATACCTATTTTGCATTTAGCATTTGAAATACAAAACGCAAAACTATTTAGTATTTTGCATTTGAAATAGTAAATCTGAAAAGTATTTTGCATTTTGTATTTAAATGCTTTTTTAAAACCATTTTGTACATCTCTGGATATTATGTAAGCAAGAGATGTCAAAAAGAGTTCTCCGCTGCTCCAGACGTGGTATTGAAAATTTTTGTAATAGATTATCATAAGATAATTTACATCGACAACATTTATAACTTACGCGCTTGAGAAATTTGCGCTGTACTGACTCTAGATTGTTTTTGTATTTGGTGTAAAATGGGTTCCAGATAACAGTAGCATATTCAAGCTGTGATCTAACTGCCTTGTGCCTTGTAAAGATGCAGAAAGGAGTCTGATTTTTTGAATTGTTGGCAGCTACGCATAATAAAACCATACATCTGTTTATTTTATCTCGTATATGTATCACAACCTATTCATGGTTGTATCAAAGTATATCATGTGCGGAACCAATCAGATATTTATATAAATAAAGCCATAAATCTTTTTGTGCAGGTACCGGCAGAAAGCTCGCGAGCTATCGTTCATATTCCACCACAGGCCGACGTCTCCGGCTGCAGAACTAGTTCACTGGATAGAGCACGTGGTGAAGACAAACGGAGCTCCACATCTGCGATCGCCGGCACTTGACGTGCCGTTCTACCAGAAGTTCTATCTGGACCTAGCCGCTGTTATATTTATGATACTGGTTGTTCTTAACAAGCTGATCAGTGCAGTGTTCAGGAAAAAGAGCGAGCAGAAGAAACAAAAGACGAAATAATGTTAGAAAGACAACATTAAACTTACCTAAGTTAGTTATAAGAATGCGGCGTACCCCATCTGAGCACGCTGGGCGGTCCATGTGCCGTTCTACCAGAAGTTCTATCTGGTCCTAGCCGCTGTTATATTCATCATACTGGTTGTTCTAAACAATCTCATCAGTGCAGTGTTAAGTACCCTTAGCACCTTAGATTAAAACAAAAAGGGTAGATACGGTACGCTCTTACTTGCATTAAACAAAAACTGATCCCACTTTACTACATATGCAACACTCACACATCCACCTGTTTGTAAAGATACAATCGAACGAACGAAACAGCAATATAAGTTTCAACTGCAGCGCGAACGAGACGGCGAGATCCGCGTCACTGCGCTACCGACCAATCACGCGACCAGTACTCGACGTCACTACAGAGTAGCGTCAGAGAAAAAAATAAAAGTATTTTTTATTAAATATAAGTTTTTTATTAAAATTCTATAAAAAAATTCCACATTGAGCAATTTTCAATCTACTTTGAAAAGCTGAGGGAATGAAACTGTTTACAAGTATACCTACTAAAAGTAGGTTTTTTACATGATAACGTCAACATTTTATATTGCTGGATGTGGTCATTTTTATTGTATTCAGTGTTTAAAAGAATCTAATCGAGATACAATTTTTACTAGAAACTTTACACTTATTATATTTCAATACCAACCATAAACTGATTGTTCAATAAATAAAAAGAAAACTAAAACTGGGTGCGTGTACTTATGTAGGCGCGTGAGAAGTTATCCTTCTTTGGCATCGTTTAAAATTAGTTTTTAATTGCATGCAAATAATTAATTACAATAAATTAATAAAAAGTCTGGAAAAGGACACAGTCAATAAAGTTCAGTTTTAATTTGAAAAAATAAATAAATAATCAAAATATTCAATTAAAATCGCTACTGAATATAATTTATTACAACATATGTGATTTGCACTTGTATGAAACTCAAACACGTATTCCGAATATACAAACTAGAAACATGTGGATAAATATTATAAACTAGCGGCCCGCCCTCGCTTCGCTTCGGTGTAGAGCTGAAGTGTAGACTACAGTTTTTGTTCTCAGGCTTGTATTATACACAATGACATTCATCTATGATTCTTCTTATACCTGCATGCAAAGTCTCAGCCCGATCGGTTTAAAATTGATAAAGTTTCATACAAACTTTCATTCCTTATTTTATCCCCTTGGGATTTTCTTTATATTTTTTTCCGTAAGAACCTTGTACAGAGTATTAGAAAACTACAAAAAAAAAACAGCCAAATCGGTCAAGCCGTTTTCATGTTATGTCGTGACAACGGAAAACGGGTTTCATTTTTATATATATTGGGATCTGACATGGAGGCGTGGCCTATTCAATATGGCGCCGACGGGGGTGCATTTGCCTAGTCAAACCGTGATGAAATACCGTAAAATAGTTAAATATCAATATTAGTGGTAGATAATGATAGTCTTAACAATTAATGATATTTGTGAATGGTCCGGTTCAACGCCCAGTAATCGCAATTTTCGAGAGGGTGAACGACTGGTAGCTGCGAAACATTTATTGAATTGTGGTATACACAAACATTTATTGAATTGTGGTAACTAAACCAAGGAAACTCTTTCATTTTAATGTTGTTGCCGTCCCATTCTTTTCTTAGTGGAATAATAATGAGATCTTGTAAAATGCTACTTCACACATGCTTAACCTCAAAAAACGAATTTGACTCACCTGGTAATATATAGTCGTCTTTCAGAAAATGCAATGAACACACTTTCATGTGAGGATTTATTTTACAGTCAATCTTCAAAGCGTTCTTCCATGCTGTGAATTGGTCCACTTTTTCCATTTGACCAAAATAATTTTTGATGTAAACACAACGCGCATTTTTTTTAGGAAACTTATGAAACGTTAATTCACGGTTTTTTTGAAAACTGCTTCCACATCCATACACACAACACTTTATTCTTTTTTTAGAAATCTTGCGAGGGTTAAATATTCCTAATTCTTCCGTCATTTTTTGTTTAATTTCTCAAAAGTACTAATGACACTAATGATAACTTATGTGTTTTGATCATAGAGAAAAGTAATGTTTTGATGAGCGATGCACCCCGGTATTAGTTCCAAAATTGAACACCAGGTGTCTCACGAATTTTGTCAGATCCCAATAGATATGAAAACAGTCTCTGTTCTAAATTCAAAACTCGTAACTTTTCCCGCTGTTTGTTGTACATGTTTCCCGCGCTAGGACCGCGAGTGCGCGGCCATGCGTACGGTGCGGCGGGCGACGCGGTAATGGCAGCGCGGCACATGAAGTTGGTCGCTAAAGGTCGCAGCGAGCGACCAACTTCATGGTGTTAATTTTTTGTGTTACAGATGCGCGCGCATCTTAAAATTTCACTCTCATAATTTTTTTATAACGCACCTAAAGAAGTATAACTTCAAAAAAACTAAAATAATATTAAAAAAGTTAAAATCAGACACACATTATTATATCACCTGATAAAAAATCAGTTAACAAGCGTACCTACTAAAAGTAGGTTTTTTATACAATACCGTCAACAATTTTTTAAGATATCTTGTACTGCTGGATTTGGAAATTTTCATCGTCTACAGTATTTAAAAGAATCTAATCCGAAACACTTATTATATTTCTCTTCTAAGCATGAATTGAAAAAAATATAAAGGTAAAATTAAATAACAAAAACAATAATCATCATCGATAAATAAAAATAAACATAAGTTATGCCTTGGGCTTTATAACAGAAGTAAGAATCTTACTAGGTACCTACCTACTGTGTGGCAATAGGGTTGATGACAAAATTTTTCTTCATCGGCCAGGTAGATTAATAAAAGTATTGGACAAGTATTTATTTCTTATTCACATAATCAAAACATTACAGAGATATGTTGATATGAAATTTCCCATGACGTCACGTCTTGGTACAATTTTTACTTAGAAGTGACTTTACAAGCCTTCTCTCCCAAACTTTCACGCGCTCTATCCTTTTGGTATTAGTTTCCAAAACATAGAACCATTCTAAATCGAAAGAAGTCTTAAGGTACTGACAGGTTAAGGGATGACTGTGTATAAAGAACAGTTGTTCCGGCTGGCTGCTGATAGAACTACATACAGGAAGCTAACGGCCAACCTTCAGGATTGAAGGGGCACTGGAAGAAAAAGAAGATTACAAAAACAATTTTAAACCCTACAAAGAATGAAAACGCCATTTCTGTAAATACAGAGTATATTAAAGCTAAAATGCCTGAAAAAATAAATAAACCTCTTCGAAGAACCCAAAATGTAATGAGTTTAATAAATGCAGCATATTTTTTACCTACATAAATTAATACTCTAAAAAAAATTACTAAATATTTTTTTTGTTGACTCTACCCAATTTTTACTCTCGACTGACATTTCAATGGCAAATATTCGCGCTTATGCTTTTTCTCCCTCATACAAACGTTTACAAGTGTTGTTGTCTTTTTCTTAATAACAAATACCGAATAAGATTCAAAACAAACAGCATTTTTATGAAAAAATATATTTTATAGTACTTACGAATGAAAAGTGATGCCGTCGGTTTTATTTTTAGTACTTGAGCAATTTGAGCACTTTTTAAAACAACACTTAGGCATTGTTTTATCATATAATCACAAAATTTTAGCAATATTTCTTTTTGACGTTCACATGTACGTCATTTGCATGTCAAGTTGCGACTAAAGCGATTGTGGCCTTGGGCCACAATTTATGCGGATCACTTTTGTGAGGCTAGTGCCGTATCTACCCTTTTTGTTTTAATCTAAGCTTAGCACGAACCATTATCGAATTCGAAATGTCATTGTCAAATGTGTACTGATTTGTAGTTAACATGTCACGTCCGCTTCGGAGCTGCTGTCCAAGTTTCTATACAAAATTTGACAAGATATTTAGCATTCGCAAACTATTCGAATTCGATATTGGTTCGTGCTAAGGATACAGGGAAATGAGCGGGCAAAAGAAACAAAAGACAAAGACAAAAGACATTGGTGTCCGTTATGGCATGATTCTCTAAACTTAAAACTAAATTTAATATCAGTCTCTCCTTTTCATTCTGCATAGGGAATGATAAGGATACACTGGAAAAAGAGCGGGCAGAATAAACAAAATACGAAATAATGTTAGATAGACAATATTAAAATGTACCTCAGTAAGAACAAAAGACAAAATAATGTTAGATAGAAATTATTAACTTAGGTCAGTAGTTGAGCTAAATTACTTAGAATATGAAAATGCTTCATCTCATCTAAGAAACATACTTATTTTTATCAGTAAAATTATTAATAAAGTGTGGTTTTCTATTATTTTTTTCTTAATTTATAAACTAAGGATTTTGCCTCGAGCGAATTATGCCTGTGTGTTATATAATTGTTCCTCTCTTCAACGCCTGATTAAATATTTTACACGACACACATAGTCATAACATTCATTCATTGAACAAGCGTATGTTGTGTGTTCAACAAAAGCAACCAGTCACACAAGTAGGATGGTTGACCCTATAGTTGACCACGCACCGGTTGTTGACCACTTGCGGCTTTGAGTGTTAATATTAAGCTTTCCCGCGATTAAGCGTTTCATTTCATGTTGGCTACATCTTGTTGGTACTAATACAAATCAACCAATCACATTACGACTAGAAAGAGACAACCAGTGAAAGCTACAATTTAATTCTGTTTTGACTTGTCGCTGACAGTTGCCATTCAGCCGCCATTGTAGTAAGGATAATGTTTAGAAAGGTAAGAACACTTTTAATTTATTTTGTATTGTTTTTTAATGAACTTGTTCGGATGATTGTTTTTTGTAATCATTTTATGTTTATTATAAAGATTTCCAATGAATTTCAAATGCAAACGATATATTTCATGAGTTATTTTACTGGTTAACAAAAGGTACATGTTATAATTTTTATTATTTTTAAAGCATGTAACTGCTTGATGTTTAAATCTAAAGAAAATATAACTAGAAAAAATTCCACGCGGACCAGGCAGCAGACGGGACTCGAACTGGTCAGTGCATTCGCCCAGGTTGCGAACGGTGCGGGTTCGAGTCCCGTCTGCTGCCTGGTCCGCGTGGAATTTTTTCTAGTTATATTTTCTTTAAAAGTTACATGATTTGATTAGGTGCTCCTGTGATTGACCAATTGGTCAACGATTAGTACACTCAGAAATCAGAAATCAATATATCTTTATTCAAATTGGATGTATAGTACAACTCTTTTGAATCGTCCAAAAATTTTTTTCCCTACCACTCGTTATGGACATATTTTTTAGCTGCGGAGAAAAACGAGCGAAAAAAACTCCACAACATTAAAAGTCTAATGTAACAACATTTACAATTCATTATGTTGTTACAACGTCAATACAATTATGATTTATTTAATATAGAAAACCTGTTGGAATGATTGGAACAGTTCAAACCCAAGCATTTTTGTCTGTAATATAATCAGACACTTTGTAATAAGCTTTTTTAATAAGTGTTTTTTTATAATATCTTTAAATTTATTTATGGCTAACTCTTGGATATTGCTTGGGACTTTATTGTATAAGCGAACACAAAGACCTTTAAATGAATTATTAATTTTGTGAAGCCTAGTAGCAGGTAAAGTTAGTTTATTTTTGTTTCTTGTATTAATTGTGTGAACATCACTGTTATTAAGAAACAAATTAATATTTTTTCTTACAAGTAATAAATTTTCGTATATGTATTGTGATGCGACCGTCATTATTCCAAATTCTTTAAACTTATCTCTTAATGATTCTTTAACTTTAAGATTATAAATTGATCGAATAGCTCTCTTCTGCAGCACAAAAATAGTTTGAATGTCGGCGGCATTTCCCCACAATAAAATTCCGTACGACATTACACTATGGAAATAACTAAAGTACACTAATCTGGCCGTATCTACATCCGTTAACTGGCGTATCTTCATTACGGCATATGCTGCAGAGCTAAGTCTATTTGACAATTTATCAATATGTGGGCCCCATTGAAGCTTAGAATCTAAAGTTATCCCTAAGAATACTGTGGTGTCTACAAGGCCCACATTCCTATCCTTTACATTCACACTGGTTTTTACCTGTTTTACATTAGGTAATACAAATTTCATACATTTCGTTTTTCCTTCATTAAGTAATAAATTGTTAACATTGAACCAGTGGACTACCTTAGAGATACAATTGTTCACGTCGTCAATAACTTTTTCATTGCGTTTGAGTTTAAATAAAAGTGATGTATCATCCGCAAACAATACTATCTCATGGTTATCTCTTACATAGTAAGGTAAGTCATTAATATAAATTAAAAATAAGAAAGGACCTAGGATTGAGCCCTGCGGAACACCCATCTTAACCGGCGAACCCGGAGAGTGGTACTCTTTTTTTTACTTTTTTTATCAGTTTCATGTCCCGAATATGAGTTGTAAATCGACTATCAATTTGAAAGCAGTAAATTGCTTACGTTTCTATTAGTTGACCAGTGTTTTGACATTAGTACTACATACAAATCCTATAATTGACCAAACTCTTAATATGAGTTTTGTTTTCTTGTTTTAGATACAATATGCCACCAAAAAAGAAATTAAAATTAATAATAATGCTTGCGACTTGTCAGATCCTCAATCAACAGCAGATATACATAATAAACGGGACCTTAGGTCTGAAAAAGAATGCACAATGCCTGCAGAATCACCACTAAAAAAAGGTGGTAATAAAAGGTTCAATAGAAAGCGATTGCCAGATGTAGTAACATCAGTAGAGTGGATGCAATACTGGAATGAAAAAAATAAGGAACAAGAAGAAAAGAAAATAGGAAATTACCAAGAAAGGAAAAAAATAAGTTACAAGAGTTGAAAAAAGTTGAGAAACCTAAAACAAAACGAGTAAAAAAGAGAGTTCAGAATAGAATTGATTCTGATCCCGATGAGGATAATTTACCTTTGATCAATTTGATTACAGTAATAAAGGTAGATCAGACGAGGAAATAGGATCATATGTTATAGTAAACTACGAGGGGAGTATTTTCCCGGGATTGTCAAAAATATTGACCAAAAGAGTAAAGCAGTTAGTACGATGGTGATATCAACTTCTAATACTTTTAAATGGCCAGATAAAGAAGATAAAATTTGGTATGCTAATGACAGCATAGTGGAGAAAATTAATGCTCCTGTGTCAATTAATAATAGAGGTTCATATAAAGTACCAGAAATGGCCAAGTATCTTTTTTGGATCTGATTCCTTTTTTAATTTTGCAGTTTTTAATTTTGAATCATTACGTGAATTTAATTATGAAACTTAAAATTCAATTCAAAATTCGATATCGTTTATTCAGTCTAGGCTGTTACAAGCACTTGTGAATGTCGAAAAGCTACGCCATCGGTTCGCAAAACTACGGCGGGAGACCTTGTACTGAGAAGAACCGGCAAGAAACTCAGCAAGGGCTGCTTTTTTCTCTCTGTTTTATTTCATACAGTGTCGTCCAATTGAAAGTAAACTTGCAAACATGTGTTGAGGTCAACTTCCATCACATAATGTCAAATATGTTTAATAATTAAATATGTATTTTTAATAATTAAAAAAAATATTTAAGTTTGATATTAACAAAGAATTACTTAACCAAAACTTTAGATTGTTTAAAAAGTTCAAAGTTTAAGTGAAGTTATGATTCGTTATTTTATGGTGATTTGAAAATTTGCCATTTAGATTTAAGAATTACTATTGTGATTGTTGAGACTGACCTTAATTTAATTTACTTATTGATCTCAATTAGTTCTAAGACCAAACCATAAAGTTGATTATAAAATACGTCTGCTTTTAATTGTGAATGTAGTTATTATTTCACTTTTTTATAAATGGTCAACCGCTGGTACAAATCTTCATAACAACTGGGGCCGGCCGGCTGGTCAAATTAGGGTACATCCCAGTTTTATACCGATTATCTTGAATAATAAAATAAACAAAAAGAAATCAAATATTTTCCTTCCCAAATACAACTTATAACTAGGTAACTTACAATATAAAAAATAAATTACCAATAAATATCGCTGTTAGGCTATATAGCAACATTTTAAAGTTAATAATTTCCTTTAATTGGTTTGAGACCGGGACATCCACCCTATGACCCCGTCGTTATAAGGTCACCATAATACTACAAACAAATAATGTACGCTGATGATAATACATTTATTTTTGTTTATTCTGGAAACATACAGTGGTGTATACCTATAATGATATAGATTAAAGACCTTGTGTCTACAATTTATGATATTTGAAAAAACTTGTTTAACAAAAATAAAACCCGACTTCATAAAAAAACACTTGGTACCGTTTACTGCTCGGGTTGGCTTGGCTGTCGGTATCATACTCAAACACACCAAATGGCTATAAGTAAAGAATTGTATTATTTCTTACTTTCCAGTGGTTTTGTTTCTGTGAAGACTGTTTTTATTTTTGTTATTTTTTTTTTATTTTCCTCTTTTCATAGTCACATTAACTATATCATATAGATTACCTGGCCTGCATTATCTTTTTTCATATATCTTAAAATAACCAAACACAAATTGAGTACTGATTGTAATGAAGAGTTCCATTGTTTTCTCCAAAAGTACTTAACAGGTCTTCATCAAATTAATATGGGGCAATCTCGCCAAAAACTCATTTAAACAAAAAAGAATCACCAAAATCAGTTCACGCATCTCGGAGATATAGATATAGAACCTCATCCTGTTTGAAGTCGGTTAAAAAGAAAATGATCAAATCAGATTGGAGGTGGATGTTATACAATGAATGTTTAAACAAGTATCATTATAAAATAATGGAGTAATATCAGCAAAATGAAATTATAGTATATTTACTGCTGCGTTTATAGCGTACCTGGCAAACAATTAACCCCGTCTTAAATTTTGCTGATACGCCATTGAAGTATATGTTATCGAAATTTAATTTTTTCTTATTTATTATCTTGATAATCTACAAAAAAATGTATTTGTTTTATTACGGCTGTATATTTATTAATTTATATAATTAAGCTTAAAATTTTAAAGATTATAACATTCTTCGACTCTTAAGCGGCTAGCGGCTCTTAAGTGCTATTACTTCAACAACAACTAGTTTAACTCGCGCAGATATATATATTTAACAAATATCAAAGAACTCGAGAAGCAAGTATTAGTAAGCGAACTGCGTTGCATCTCATCAAAATTAACCTTGAATTTGGTTTGTATCTTCATCATCGTACACGTAACTATGGACTTATTAGTAGGTAGGTAGGAACATTAACAAAATTGTTGTGTTCATGTGTTGGTCATTCGCCCGTGTACTGCCGATGATAGCGTTCCTTCCTACTATTCCCAATACAAAAACAAATCATAGTGTCACTATGAACATTAAGATCGTGGTTGTGTTCCAAAATAAATAACACTTCTGTTTAGTGTCGTGATTTTATAAATTATGTTTTAGTGATAACGAAGTCTGTGGAGTGTTGATAAAGTGTGATAAAAACTGATAACGAAAGTGATTAGCTTCTTCATTCAGTAACTCGTTTCTTTAGAAACGTATTCCTACAGTTTTTGGGAAACTGTAATTTTAATAGTGCCTAATAATTTAGAACTGAGTAATAAATACAGGTAAATAATAAAAATTAATAATAATATTAATAATTAAAAAAGCAAAGAATATTTATAAATCTGTAAATGAGTCATAAAGCGATGTAAATATATTATATCGCTTGTGTAAAGCTTAAAGTATGTTAAGTTGCTGTTGCTATATCACATCACATGAATAATAAACGAATCCATGTGCCTGTATTGTGGCAGTTAAAAATAAAATGTTTAGGTACACAATAAAAAACAAACCTTGTTCAACTTAGAAAATCCGACTTATATTATAAATGAGAAAGTTTTCTAAGTGGTTATGTTTGCTGTTCCTCAATTATGCAAAAATCGCTGTACTGATTTTGATGAAATTTGGCAAAGATATAGTTTATAACCTAGATTAAGACATAGGCTACTATTGATCCCGAAATAAAGTTTGTATTCCGATTTAAAAAAAACTAAAGTTAAGGCGAACGAAGTCGCGGACGAAACCTAATTATTAATAAACTTGTATTTGAAAAAAAAAACCGGCAACAGGTTACGGTCCATTGGCCTACGTCGCCAGCTTTATTAACTTACACTAACCTACCAATAGACAGACAGCGTAATATAATTTGTATTAGGTGCCAATTGTTTTTTTGGTTCGAAACCATGTTCGAAACCATATAAATATCACAATATAACTATAAGGTAAATGCTCTAAGCAACATAAGATCTTTAATATACTGCCTCCAGTATCAATTACAAAATAATGTTAGCGTCTGGTTTATGGGCCAATAAAAAAACGGTCCATCATCAAGAAAAAAGAGCACCAAGGTCAACTGCTACTACTTATACTTATAAAAAACTATATAAAACATCAGTATTGAATATTAGGTACCTACAGTCATCACAAAATAATAGGTCCCTTTTGACATTTCTTATTAGTCATGTAATCTTACGACTTGGTACACGATACTCACGATAAATCGATTCAAGTTTGTATGATTATTTGATTGATTTGATTATGTATAGTAAAGTACATTGGATGAGAAAATTTAACTTAAACCACTACCACCCACCGCATTTTAGTTGAATTTAAGCAACTTGCGCAATGGTCGGTCATCATTGAATGAACTTTTTATCTCGAGCTCCTCCAAGCTTTGGAAGGCAGGTTGAGCTGTTGTCCCCGGCCGCATCTGCAGTAGTTTAGCACCCACCAATCCACACTGGTCCCGTGTGATGGTTCACGGCCCAGTATCCCTATTCAAATAAAATAAATGGATAATCACAAGCCAGATTGAGGTAAAATAGATGAACTGTGTTATATTATATTTAAGAACTTATTGTACTCTATTTTTGGTGATTTAATAAAATTCAAATTCAATTCAATTCATAGGGAAGGCCTGTGTTTCAGAAGTGGGGACATAAATAGGCTGATGATGATTACCTGTAGTAGAGTATCTATAAACATTCAAATTACGAGTAATTACTCGACACATAATTAGGTTTCGAATAGGTGTAGATAGACGTTCGGAAAAACCAATCTAGGTTATTTCAGGTGTCGCTCGTGGTGTAATAATACTTCTCTATTTTTATGTGTTCGTGTTTCAGACAATGGTGAAGTTGTCTTGGCTTGTTTTCGCACTCGTGATGCTGGTGGGCGCGTACGCATCGCAGACGCTTCGGATTCTGGTGGTGTTCCCATTCCCAGGCAAGAGTCACACGATCCTTGGTGAGGGCGTTGTCAGGCATCTCATCAAAGCAGGACATGAGGTAAGCTTACAAGTGAATGTAAGAAAAGGAAAACGGGAAAAGAAAATTGGAATCTAGTATTTATAATATTGGATTGAATAGTCCCAGTTCCAGGTTTCCGTATCTTAACTACCCCAAGTTAGTCTATAACACTAAGCGTTTGCTGTGGGGCTGTTCGTCTGTTCGTCCGTCCGTCTGTTTGGTATGGAGCAGGATGTAACGCCAAAAAAAAATTAGAGTAATAAAGAATACAAAATAGTCGCGGTTATTTTATGGACATCCCTTATATTATATGTTTATCTTAAAGAAACTATGCAAATACATGTTCTGTAAAACCTTTAACTGTCTAACTTCTGTTACTGATCGTCATATGAGAGTACATGAGATAATTATTTATTGGTACTATGCAATAAAAATCAAATAACGATGACACAGCTTTTTTCTTATTGCGTGTTATCTTGTCAGTATTTAAAATATATTTTTGTAGACTGATAAAGTTATCTTACTCTTGAGGCCTCCTAGTGTTTTAATACATTTACGATAAGAAACGAATCTATATTAATAGGGATTATTAGGAATAAAATCCCTCGTTTCACTTCTTTGTATTATTTTTACTGCGCCTTTTTTGCCGTAAGTGGCACAAGCAAAATGAAAAGTTAAGCTGTATTTGTGCACTAAATATACAAAATTACAAAAAAAAATACAACATAATACGAGTGAAACTTTTAATATCATTAATAAAAAAAAGTCCTTCTTTGCTTGGAGTAGAACAAGGACCGCCCGAGATGACTGAGCCACGAATGCTTGTTGATAAGCTCTGATTTTTTTAATAATAATTAAATATGTAATGCAACATGTTAAAGATGAACTAATAAGTTCGTAGCGATCTAAAGTTTCACATTAAAAACAGATGCAATGCACGCAATTGCAGTGTTTCACACATTTCTCGTTTCCTTTTGTTATAAAGCACAACATAAAATGGCGGTGTTTCGCCGCGAGGTCCAAAAGCTGCAGTGCGCGTTAAGCCTTAAAGTAAAAAGTCACACTTACTGTGGGTACTGCTACAGCTACGGAAATGCTTATTCCTTGGAAGCAGGGTCGTACGCTGGTATGGGACGCAACTTGCGTACGCTTGCTCCGTACCATACAGGGAGTACCTCCCAAGCTGCAGGCGAGGCGGTGGCCTCCACCGAGTGCTCCAAGCGGCGCAAATATTGAGCTCTCAATGAGAACTATATATTTGTCCCATGTGTTTTAGACCATGGAGTTCAAGCGCTCGTTCTTTCGTTACGGAATTGTCTAAGGCCCGTATTATAGAAAGATTCTCAGTGATTGATCTAGTCTTGAGCACAGTTAGAAAGGGATGTCGCTATATATAGCACATAGTGATATCCCTTTCTAACTATATTCAAGTAAAGATCAACACTTAGTTGTCATTCTGTAATACGGACCTTAGTGTCTCACCGAAGTGACTGGTGATCAAAAGGCTGGCAACTACCTTGGTCAACGGATTAGCCTTGGTATCCAACGTGTAAATGCTGCCAGCCTATTGGGCACCATCCCTGACAGTGGCGCTGGGGGTGATATATTTTTTATTTTGTAAATTGTATATTATTTAAGTACTTAGTTATTTCTGGTTTTTATGTTTTTAGACATTTAGTAGTTTTAAGCTTTTGTAATTAAACTATTTCTATGTAAATATAAATAAATAACGTGTCCATTAGTTATTGTTTCTGCATGTTGTCTTAACACGATTATGTTGTAAGTCACAGAAATAATGGTGTAAGTTGCACTTAGTAATTTTCGATGTTACTTACTTACTCTTGGGTACTTCTGTCCTATTAGGTCACATATATCACACCCACCATAAACAAGAATGTGTCGCCAAACCTCCGGCAAATTGATGTCAGTGACAATTACAAAGTCATGCATCGTAAGTACCACACATGTAATTAACCCTAAAATAAGACAAAAAAATACTTTATACGTAATATTTTCGTATTAAGTTGTAGCGGCCAAAATCGCTGAAAAAAGCGCAAAGTGGTCACAAAGTGTTCCTATGTAGGAAACCATTCTTAAATATCTGTTGTTACATAATAGGCGAGGAGCCACCAATCCTGAAAGCTCCGTGATCACGGATTCTAATATTATTAATAAAAAATAAAAGTTAACGTTTAGACGAACAATATTTGCTTGGTCGGCGTGGATTTGATTGGCCGGAAATATTTTAATTAAATTATTTATTATTAAAGTTCCATAATTTTTTTGCGTCATCATGGATTTTGATCAATCTTATATAGAATTTTGTGTGAAATATTATGTTCAACAAGAAAAAATCCGGCCGACCAATGATTTTTAGCCGGAAAGGTCACGCATACCTATTTGAATGGTGTGATAAGGGGTAAAATTTATCCATTATCACGGAAACCTTTTTTTTTTAGTTCACGCGTTTTAATGTCACATTTATTTCAATTATCTTGATATGCGTGCTTACAAACTGCCGAAAGTATCGCGCATACCAAATTTTAACTCTTCGCTTTTTAACGGTTTCTATATTTCTGTAAAGAGTGAGTGAGGCAGATTTTTGATTGAAGTTGAAACCTTGCATGAGTTCGTCTCTTTCTATTCCCTACGAATTTAACATTTACCTGCCTCAAAGATACACAATACCGTAAAGTGAGGTTGTTCTACGACAGGGCTGCATAGTGTTAACTCTCATTCTCCGGTTTCTTTTCAAGTCCATAAGACTGCTCCAAGAGTAAGTGAGATAAGAGTAATATCGAATTTATGTTAAAGTTCCATAGGTCTTTCTCTCTCACTCCGAAAAGGTCACAGCATATCTACGTTGTCCTACAGCATTTTGGGGGTTCAGATAATTTCGATATTTCAGTCTGCTGTTTTCCTAGCTGTCAAAAGTGTCGTTATTTTGTATAGCTTAGCATTAGCATTCTACATATTTATTAATTTAACAAAATTCACTGTTGAATATTTAAAAAAAAACATTTTTTTTATTTATAATTATTTAAAATTGTTAAACCGTCTAATATTTGTACATCTTTTGATTTTTTACACAGATATTGATTTTTTTGGTGATATTGTGTCCATTTTAGTGATATAGTGACGATTGATTCAGTGTACTGTTGCGTTATAAAAGAATATTTAAAGCACTAGATCCAATCTCAGCGTTTCATCATAACAATTTCAATATGAAGTGTTTTATTTGTAATACAGCAACTAAAGAGAAAATTACTCCGTTTTCTGGAAGGGAAGAAGCTTATAAAAAATGTAAAAACGTGCTGAATTTCCGGAAATTAAAAAAAACTCAAGGATCAAGATTTAAGCTTAAATTCCGATGATTGGAACGACAATGGTTATCATCTCACATTACATATATATATATATATATATACATTCAGGTAATTTTCTTTATAATTTATTATATAATAAACCCAAATAAAAAAAATCCTGTATTGCCTCTTTTCCATATTAATTAGTATAATAAATAGTTAAAAACTTAAGGAACAGACCAGAGGTAGAAGAGAGACTCTAAAAGAAATGTCATCAAGTAAGTGATATCTATAACAGTATAATCCTCACTCACACAATAAAATTTGGTATGCGCGATACTTTCGGCAGTTTGTAAGCATACGCATACCAAAATAATTATAAATGTGACATTAAAACGCGTAAACTAAAAAAAAAAGAATAAAACGCGTAAACTAAACAAAAGAAGGTTTCCGTGATAATGGATAAATTTTACCCCTTATCACACCATTCAAATAGGTATGCGTGACCTTTCCGGATAAAAATCATTGGTCAGCCGGATTTTTTCTTGTTGAACATAATATTTCACACAAAATTCTATATAAGATTGATCAAAATCCATGATGACGGAAAAAAATTATGGAAATTTAATAATAAATAATTTAATTAAAATATTTCCGGCCAATCAAATCCACGTCGACCAAGCAAATCTTGTTCGTCTAAACGTTAACTTTTATTTTTTATTAAAAATATTAGAATCCGTGATCACGGAGCTTTCAGGATTGGTGCCTCCCGGACTATAAGTAATAAGTACCTTATGAATTATCTTGACTTTGGCAACGAGCAAAGCACTTTGTTAGTTTAAGCGGTTCAAAATACCACGATGACTTCATTAACTAAATCTTTCCACCAATAATGTAATATGTTCTAAGCTCCCGTGTACCCACTTATCAGGTAGGTCCAGGTGTCATATTTATTGACGAATTCATATTTTCAGCGGACATGTTGAGCTTGAAGGTAATGATGGAGCAGCAAGCGGCGATGTCCTTCAAGGACATCTTCGATATTACCCTGAACATCAACAACATGACGTTCCATAACGAGAATGTTATGAAACTTATAAGGGATCCCAAGGAGCACTTCGACGTAGTCATCGCCGAGTGGATGTTCAACGAATTGTATACAACGTAAGGGGTTTTTTGGTTCTATGTTTTTTAAGAAATTAATCCTTCTCCCTTCTTCTTCTTTTTTCAGTTCCGTCCTCTCTCTCATGCTGCTTTACAGCCTCCCTCTAAAACCCTGGCCGCATCAAATAGCGGCCTCGGTCTTAGTCCATAACACTAGGTATGCGAGGAAATAAATTTCCGGTGAATAAAAGACAATTTTTCACCACATATCGCACACATTACATCTTTAAAAACCTTGCTTTTGCCTTACTTGTATTAAGTTTCCGGTCCCAATATTTTTTTTAAGTAAAAAGTCTGAAAAAATAATTATCATTTTCAATTTTTCTTTATATTTATTTTCGTTTAATATTTTATCCCCCTTATTAATAAACGAGGAGTAAGCTCAGAATAGTTAGGCCGTGTTTTGTTCATATCACTCAAATGCTATTTGTCAATCAATGAACAGAGACAAAACATGGAGTAACTAATCCAAATTTAGTCTTCGTTAATTAATAAGGGGATAAGTAATTACGTTGGTATATATTGCAATTTCTTGCGCAGATTTTCGGCTATTTTTGACGCTCCATTCATATGGGTGTCAACAGTCCAGCCACATTTTATGGTGCTGAGGCTGATCGACGAGCCTTGTAACCCAGCGTACACTCCCGACAGCACGTCCTCTCAAGTACCGCCATTCTCTTTCTTCGAACGAGTTAGGCAGCTCTCCTTCCAAGTCTTTGCATGGGGTCTGCAAAAATTGTAAGTAAAGAATCGTAATCAAAAAGTTTACAAAACCTAAATTATTATCTTTTTTTTCAAAGGAAAAAGAAAGAGAAACCAACCAAAAACATTTTGTTTAATCATGGAGCAATTTTGCTGCTGAATTAATATTTTTTGTAGACGGCCAATCAGGTGCCTGCCTTAGCTTATGCTGATACAGTAAGAAAATAATTTAATACTTTTCACATCGTGTCAGCGCTAGTGTTCTGGCAGGACTGGTGCGAGGTCGTGTTTATAGTGAATACAAACATCAATCATTTCCCATCTCCCTCCCTATAGATCATGACGTGAATATATATATTGATGTCAATATATATTCCTCTTTATTCCTCTAGTGTTGCAGATAGTAAAGTGGAAGAAATTTACTCTGATCTTGCGCCGCTGATAAAAATGAGAGGCAAAGAAGTGCCCCCATTCGAAAAGTTGAGATTCAACGCTTCCCTGATGCTGGGCAACTCACATGTTTCCCTAGGGCCTTCGCCAGCGCTGCCACAAAGCTACAAGGCCGTAGGAGGGTATCACATTGATACCGACGTCAAACCACTACCTGAGGTAAGTTGGTGATGATTTTCACTTTTATCCGTCTTTTTTTTACCCGTAGCTAGAGCGCTTTTTCTACGCGCGTTAAAATCCCACCGTTTTTGTGCTTTTGTAATGCTCTCGTCTCGGTTTGACTTGTATTTCCAACTTCACATCCAACTCAGAACATAGGAAAATGTCCTTAGGTCTATTCATTCTCAAGGCCTTTGCAGTAATTCCTAGAGCGCTTGTTCTAATTAGATTTTAGCTCGTTCAACAAAAGTGGTAACGTTTAGTTTGTTTTACGTATACAAACTGTTAAGGCATTGACACTACTATTCCTGTAAATAGCTATATTTTTGAAACTAATTGCATTCCGTGTTTAACAGGACCTGAAAAAACTCATGGACAATGCTAAACATGGAGTCATTTACTTCAGCTTGGGATCCAACGTAAAGAGCCAGTCTTTCCCCACAGAAGTGAAACAGAGCCTGCTGAAAATGTTTGGTAGTCTGAAGCAGACAGTCATATGGAAGTTTGAGGAAGTACTGAAGGAGTTGCCTAGCAACGTGCACATTCTGAAGTGGGCTCCCCAGCCCAGTATACTTGGTGAGACTCTGGAAATATAATATATTTGTTGTAATACAAGATCAAAACGAGTTTCTTAATACCATGGCAACTTTTTAACCACTTATATACCATGTTGAGTGAAAGTGACTTAGTTCACTGTGCATCACGTTAAGAATTCATAATACGGGGAAGATAGCCTCCGCATTATAAAAGACCTCTGTGAAATATCTACCTTTTTGTATTGGTGGTGCTATGTTTCTGTCGCTGAGTGAGGTTTCTGTGCTCCACGGGGTGCGGAATAGGCTTTCTACTTAAGGTAATAAGTAAATATTTGCTTTTTGCAGCGCACCCGAACTGCAAACTCTTCATCACTCACGGTGGTTTACTATCTATTACTGAGACCATATTCTTCGGGAAGCCCATCGTCGGGATACCTGTGTTCGCCGATCAGTTCGTAAACATAGATCGAGCAGTGAAAATTGGCTTAGCCAGAAAAGTCGACCTGTCCTTTACTATGGCTGATAAAATGAAAGAGGCGATTAATGAAGTGTGGGATAATCCCAGGTAAAGTATCAAAGTACAAGCAAGCCCGAGAGACGTCAATCAAATATAATTTGTTGATGCAAAAAAGTGACGTCAATATCTATAACAAACCTTAAAAAAATATCGAGGTCCGTGAATACGGTAGTTGGTTTCCAGCTTCACTTAATGTCCCATCCCATGAGATGTTTGCAAAGTAACCAGCAGCAGTGAACAATTTTTATCTGACTTATATATACTTGCTATTATGATCACGAAGCCCAATTTGCAGAATGTCTATTAATGCAAGCCACCGAAAACGCAATATGACTAAAATCAGTTTACCTAAACAGCAAAAAGTCTAAATGGCACCCCGGCTGAATCTGCAGTTTTTGGCACCCATCAATCCGCCCTTGCAAGTGTGGGAGGTCTTTATGGCCCTTTCTCCCTTAAAAATTTTCGATTTACAACACAATGTACCTAATCCGTCCGTCTCTCCGTCCGTATGTCACAGCCATTTCTTTCCGAAACTATCAGAACTATACTGTTGAAACTTGGTAAGTAGATGTATTCTGTGAACCGCATTAAGCTGTGTTTCTTCACACACCTCTTAAAGAGATTGTAAGAAGGATGGAACACGTGTGCGCGGGCAAAGAAATGAGTTACCCAATTTCTTTGTCCGTGCAGAAATAGTGGCCACAGTAACTCGGTGTCATCGTAGGCAAGCGCGCGTGGTCCTCTGAAGGAAAGGGGAAGGTGGGATGAGGAAGAATAGGCCCTGCCTGAAATTCGGCTCTGGTGGGGACATCAATAGGCTGACTAACAATTCTCCTTTGATTACAGCTACAGCAACAAAGCCACCGAGCTATCGTTCATATACCACCACCGCGTGGCGTCGCCGGGCGCGGAGCTGGTGCACTGGGTGGAGCACGTAGCGCTGACTCGAGGCGCGCCGCATCTGCGCTCGCCCGCCATCGACGTGCCCTTCTACCAGAAGCTTTATCTTGACTTGGCCGCAATAACTTTAATCGCCTTGTACATTCTCAAGAAGTTAATTAACACTCTGTTCGGAGCAAAAAAGAATACTCAGAAGAAACAAAAGAAAAACTAATAAAAGCAGCCAAAAAATCTAATAAAAACTTTTTTTACCGCCTGGCTTCGCCATACCGCCATATACTCAGATGAAATAATATAAAAGCTAAAATCAAAAGAAAAACTAATAAGAACTTTTTTGTACAACCTATCTTCGTCGTACCCCTCTACCAAAAGCTTTACCTAGATCTGATCGCGTTAATATTAACCGCCTTTACAATACTCAAGTTGATCAAGACTCTGTTCAGAACAACTCAGAATACTCAGAAGAAACAAAAGAAAACCTAATCGGAACTTTTGAATGCCGCCCGTCACGCCATCGACGTCAGACCCCCAAATCTAAGGTCAAATTGAAAAGTCTCAAAAATTGGCCAAATAATAAAAGGAAATTTCTAGCTATCTCCTAACAGCGATAAATTCATAGTTTGCTGACATCTAGTGGTGTTTTTATTATGAACTACGTACGATGGCCAAAATAACTTGGAAATGACTTTGAAACAAGGAACCGAACTACGTAGTTTTGGTAATCCTAGCAAAATCGATATGCGTCGTTATGATAAAGGTTGTATAACAATATTCTAATAATGTAATTTGTCGGTTTATTGTAAAGATTCAAGATCTTCTGTCTACTTAGTTAAAAACGTGGTTGAGAGCTAATATATTAGAAGAGCGATTAACAGATTTAGCTCTTCTAAACATTCACCCGGAAATAGTAGCAGATGTCTCAAATATTATCACCCGATTCGAAAATACAAAAAGACGACTTCCACTTTGTTTTATAAGTAATGTATAAAATAAAATTGTGTCTTGTGCAATAATGTTTATTTTATTCCAGATACCTATTTTTAGGGTTCCGTACCTCAAAAGGAAAAAACGGAACCCTTATAGAGTCACTTTGTTGACCGTCCGTCCGTCTATCAAGGCCGTTTTTATCAGGAATGCGTGGAGGTATCAAACTGTAATTCATATCTAATACTCAGGTGTACGGTCCCTTGGAGCTGTGAAAAATTCAAACTTCTAAGCCAAAGCAATTAAAAGATACAGCCGTTTTTGCCGCAAATTTTCGAAACTCGCACGAGTATCAAAATCTACAGGGTACTTCCCGTGTGTATATAAATTTTTAAACAATAAAAAAAACAAAGGAATGTAGGTTACTACGATAAAAGAATGTCAGGTTTTTAAATGGGTAATGAGGTAGGTTAGGAAGTTTAATAAAAAACTCAAATGTATTTAACTATATTTTTATTTACTCCATAAACTTATTTAAACTAACACAATACTAACGAAGCTACTTATAGCTAAACCAAATACTTATTATGTACTTACAATAAAGTGACTGAACTAATAAGTGAATAAGTCCTACGGTAGCAACATGCTGCACACAAACAGCGCAAAATACACAAACAGTCTTAAGAATTTATAAAAAATATTATTTATTACAAACAATAGGTATTGCTTAATTGGAAATACGTCACTTGCGTATCAATATTGTCTAAATTTCATTATCTTATTATGATTTCAACGCTCTGTGTAACTATCGCAAGCGATATATCAAACATACAGTGCTATCACATCAATACAAATTTCATTATTTCTCATGTTAAACAATATTATACATTAACAAATTTATTTTCAGCAACACCAGCTCTTTGGACAAATATAATTCGCCTAACACAAACTCTCTTAAAATAACACTAATTACATAATTAGTGCTGCCGACTATTAAAAACTTTTTAAAGTCTTTTCAAATAAGTGGTTATTGTACCGCCAATTACCTATAAAACATAAAAGTATTCAAACCGTTTATATTTACTGTTCGACAAAGATAATACAAATTTCCGATCTAAGCCTTCTAATTATTTAAAGACGCATACAAATTTCCGATCTAAGCCTCCTAATTATTTAGGAACACACATTATTCCAAAAAGTCCTAAGCAAATACAATAGAATTTATAGATCTAATGATTGAAATAGTCTTGAGTTTTCATCTTTCGTGACAAACTTGAATAAGGAAGAATTCATCGCAATTTTCTTTAGTGATGGAAAATCCTATTTGCTAATTTTGAATCGGATTTTATTGAGCACCATCCAATGTTAACTCTACGAATTAAATTATCAAATCCAATAATAATATAGTTAATTCTACAAAAAAGAACGCTACACGACATAAAGCTTTAGTTGTTTTATTAGACAAGTACTTCTAATAAATTTATTGGGTTAAACAAAGTGTGACAGGAATATAATTGTAAAATAACATAATGTAAAACAAAACAATTCAATTCATTTGCTTTTTGCTAACCAATTCCTAAATTACCGCTGATCGAATTAGGTTATTTTTGTCCTTGAATTCAAATATTACGAACCCCCAAACGTTTGTTTGTACTTTATATTTTCCAGCTTCGGCGACTGTAAATGTATCGCTATCATAAAAATAGGACGGGAAATGTGTTTGCAATCAAGTAAATTAACTGAGGAGGGACTACTGATAATTTAATCGTCGTTGTGAAACTTATGTAATGAGCCGGTATACCCATTCTGGGTGGGCAACAATTCAGTATGTCGAACTCCTCCGTGCTAAGGAAGGTAGCTCCTAGCTTTATAGGTAGGGTGACCCGTTAGGAATTTCAAAAGTCCTGACAAAAATCGTGACATTTCGAAAAAAGTCCGGACTTTTTAGTCACAGTATGGTACCATTACTCACTTAGTTACAATGGTATGGTATTTAAATCGATATGTTCTTTTATTATTCAATTAAGTTTAAAAAATCCGGACAATTTAAAGATCCTGACAAAGTCCGGACTATAGCCAAAAAGTTCGGACATGTCCGGTCTTATCTGGACGGATGGTACTCCTTTTTATAGGTCGCGGCAAACTTCTGGAGCAAAGCCAGCTAAGACAGACAAATAAACTTGTGCAGGAGACGTTTCTGTATGTAAAATGGCTATTGCGCAGGCGTCCAAGTCTATCTATGATCTTTGCTGAAGAAGTTTACTTTTATTTAGTAAAAAACTTCACTGTACTAAAATTGATTATAAGGTTTTAGGAAATATTAAACTTATAAAGACATCGGTTCGCAGGATTAAGATTTTCACTGTCACTGAATACACACATGTAGTCATTTAATACTTCGCAAATAAAAAGGTAACAATAAGAACTATTAAGTAACAGTAATAACTGGTGATGGTTTCTGTACTGCATCCAGTAATCATTGCTTGCTGCAACAAAAGTTTATTCTCATCAGAAACGCCTCGCGAGTTAACAATACCGTTTTCACCACATTTCACTTACTCAAAAAATGCATTTACGATGGCTGTATACATTGTTCGAAAATTCAAAATTGCTGAAACGGCTGAGCGTGAAGTAAAAATTCATTACGCACATACATGACACCGTGCATATTCTTTACGTTTTTTTTTATTTCGATTGAAGCTCTTTGGAATCGCTTAACTATTACATTATCATAGGAAGTATATTTGATTATTAAGCGGAAAATTCTAGAGACTAAAGATAACAGAAAACGATTTAATAGTACTTGAAAATCAACTTAAAAGTACGTTTAAAAAAACGTTTACACAGCACACGCAAGCTCTCAAATGGAATATGTTTTCCCCGGTTTTGCAACATTTTTTCCTTCCTGGCACAGCGTGATGTTTTATAGTCTCCCTTTCTCGATAAAAATAGTTTCCAATACAAAAATGATTATTCAATTCAGAAGGATTCGATAGATCGTGAGATTAGCGCGTTCAAGCAAACAAACACTTCAGCTTTATAATATTAGTATAGATGTAGTAGTGGTGCTACTTACGTTCCTCATGAAGCCAATGAGGGTAGTGTAAAGTGCCACTTCTCATCAGTTTCTTGGAATAAGGGGGCTCGAGCTTTCACCCCCATGGCGGTCGGTCGTTGGGACGGATCCTCGCTTAGCATCAACTTTAGCACTTCTGTCTGTTGGGAGAAATGACACCGTAAACAACGATACTTTAAAGATGAATCCGACCTCCGTGGCCGAGTGGTTTATACGCCGGGTTTCATGGTGTCGCCGACTCGAAAGGTCCCGGGTACAAGTCCCGATGGGGGCAGATGTTTGTGTGATGAATACGAGCATTTGTACTCCAGTCATGGATGTTTAGTAAATATTTATATATAAATATACTTATTTATGTACTGTTATATCTAGTATCCCATAACACAAGCTTATTTTGGGGCTAGGCTAAAATTGGTGTGACTGTTGGAAATATTTATAATATTTATTAAATATAATATGGAGATAATATTTATTTATTCTGGTTGCTACAGATAAATTACTATTTCTTTAACTCTATCATTGTTTTGCAATAAAGAATAGAAAATTAGTTATTGTAAATAAGGTTTATTTTTATAAATGTCGTAATTTGCGAAGGCTGCGCATCAAAGGAGATTGCTCAAATTGGCCCAAATGCACAAAAAATATTGACATACACGGTAATTCTTGGCATAATTTATGATTTAATTAACAGTCATTAGATTTCAACGGACACCTTTTTATAATATATTTACTTTAAAAAAGGACTTTTAATTTTACCGGTTTGGAAAACATACGATCATTTTTAATGGCTATGGGTGTAGTAACATTCAGCCAAAGACTGATCGAAGTTGTTTATATTACATAAAAACAAATCTATTTTGTAAAGATCGATAAAATAAATCATTTTTTTTATTACACTGTGGTATTAACATCCACAACTATATTATCATTTTCACTAGATGCAAATGTGCTCAGACAATTATTATAGATGGTAGGCGACATCATAAAGTCTATTGCCATACATTTTTCGCCAAACACCTCCATAAACACATTATAATCTGTATATATGTTAGACTTTAAGGTATCTATCTATGGGCCTACGTTCCCGGACTATAAATTAATAAATAAATAAAATTATAAGGTGTGATACACTAAAAATCTAAAATATGGTTATCTTAAAAACATAACAAAAATAATGAAGCTACTGAACATATGGCTATAGAATCTAAATCTCTTAGCTTTCTTTGGTTAACGAGAGTTTAAAAATTCTCTCTAATCTGTGGCTCATTCACAATCATCACACAGTTTCTGTCACAGAGTACCTTATTATAACCGGAAATGACACCTGATTTTAAAAGTTACTCTTATGCATTAACTTTAAAAACAGGCAACTATCTGTTAATCTACATGCTCTATATACCTGAATATAATCCATAATTTCGGTACTTGGCTTGATTTCCCTCGTTTATTATATAACTTATTTGTTTTTATATTATTTTAATATGTTCAGTGTATATGGTTTATAGAAGTTGTCAGGGGTGTCCGTCAATAATATTCGTTTCTACAGTAATTTATATATAATTTCGAATCTAGGAAACAATTTTTCATGATTATTGGTCTTTAGGCCAAACATGTATGGAAGCTGAGCAATCTCCTTTGTAAATGTGTTAGCTCAAGCATGTTTCTCGGCAGATCTGCTTGTCAAATTTGGAAATTGTCAAGCATGTTCCAAAGTAGGAACTAGGCTAGTTTGGTGGATTATGGTACGGCCTATTCATTGATATGCCTATTCCCCAACAATAAAGTCATAAATAGGCTGAACATAATGAATTAGAATTATTTATAAAAGATTTAATTTTTTATTGTTAGAACCCCTACATTTGCGACTTAAATAAAACAAATTCCGCAATAAGCAAATGCAACCTTATAACAAAAAGTAGACCAAAGTTAAACCTGGACTATATATACAATTTAACGAACAACCACCCATAAAATATTGGAGAGCTTATTGTTAGCTGCCTAGGTAAATTTTTCTATTATTTAGATTAAAATAACAACTAGAAACGAAACCAGAATTCTTTCCCTTAATGGGGATTGATTTATTGCAACTGGGCGCTAATATATCTCTACATTATTTCTTACCTCTTGCGGATGTTTCTCGGTGAATTGGTGCGGGTAGTGAGAGTTTCTCGCGCGCATTAAACAATTAACCCGCTCCGCCTCAGTGCCGAACGGTTCCAACAGTTCATACAATATCAGCCCCAGCGAGTATATGTCCACCTTGTAGCTGTAAGAGCGGCCTAGCAGCTGCTCCGGAGACATGTATAGGTGTGTGCCTGAGTGAGAAAGAGACAAAAAACGACTTATAACTCCCATTATTAATGGTTTCAACAGTTCGTACAATATCAGCCCCAGCGAGTGTATGTCCACCTTGTAGCTATGAGAGCGGCCTAGCAACTGCTCCGGAGACATGTATAGGTGTGTGCCTGAGTGAGAAAGAGAGAGAAAACGACTGATAACTCCCATTATAAACGATTCCAACAGTTCATACAATATCAGCCCCCGCGAGTATATGTCCAACTTGAAGCTGTAAGAGCGGCCTAGCAGCTGCTCCGGAAACATGTATAGGTGTGTGCCTGAGTGAGAAAGAGAGAGAGAAAACGACTGATAACTCCCATTATTAATAGTTCCAACAGTTCGTACAATATCAGCCCCAGCGAGTATATGTCCACCTTGTAGTTGTAAGAGCGGCCTAGCAGCTGCTCCGGAGACATGTATAGGTGTGTGCCTGAGTGAGAAAGAGAGAGAAAACTACTGATAACTCCCACTATTCTTATTATTATTTCCATGAAAATAATGTTTACCTAAGTTTTTGGTAACTTTCCACTATTCGCTGAATAGGTGCGGGTAGTGCGATTTAAAGAATTTAGTTTAAGGTTTCCAATAGTTCGTACAATATCAGCCCTAGCGAGTTTATGTCCACATTGTAGCTGTACGAACGGTGTAGAAGCTGTTTCGGAGACATGTATAGGTATGCCTAAAGAGAAAACGACGAATATTTCGCACTGTACATGTAACGATTTTTGTGCCTATACGCTATGATGACCGTTTATTTTTTTTCTTAAAAGTTGATGGCCAAACGAGTTAAAGTTAGATAAATAATAAATCATCAACCGAAACTGACAACTTAAATAACCTAACCTTTTTATAAAAAAATCTGACATTTGGCTTTATTATGTAGCAATTGCACTATATTTGAAAATAAAAAATGCCAGTTATAATATTCTATCTTCACTGTACTTACCGACTCTGTAAGTGTGTCTCGCATGCGCATCCATGTCATTGGTCGGTTCTCCGTCTTGGGATCCATCCGCCATAGCAGTGACTAGGCCAAAGTCGCCTACTTTCACTCGACCGTCGGGCGCGAAGAATATGTTACTGGGCTTTAGGTCGCGGTGGATCAACCCCGCCAAATGTACGTATTCCACCGCGGATACTATCTGACTGAACAGCACTTTTACCTGGTCACAGAAAATGGTAACATTTGAAAGAAATCGCTAGGGATGCTAAACTGAGAAGCCCCACCTTTTCAGTTTAGCATCCCTAGCTGCTGCTGTTTTATATAAGCTTTTATTAAGATATTGTTACGAGTAGGGTAACAATATCTTAAAGCTATGGGGAGTAAGATATGGGGTTCCAAAGTATAACGCCTGTTCACGCTTCTTTATTCGAAATCCTTCTTGCACCGGAATCGCATTTGTAATCGTTCTGAAGTTGCGTTGAAATTCAACTACGTGGCGCCGCGCACCCTCATATTCGCTGGGTGCACTGGATGACGGCGCCAACTAGCGGCTACAAATGGCTGGCTGTCATTATGAATATGATGTAAACAAACAAATAATTTCAGTGAAATATCGTAATTTACATAAATTCTATTCGATCATGTAAATGTATAGTTTTGATAATTAATCCTATTTCTTTCTAGTCTCAAATAGCACCATCAATAAATTTCAGGTAGTTCACTACACACGGACTATCTCATATAGGTAGCTATCTCATAGCTGACTTCACGAGAAATATAAATTTTATCGAATAACGCCTGTCATATTTATTGCAGACTATCATTAATGACGTAGTAGTGTCGTTAATAATGCAGACTTATTGTATATTTTCAGTTAAACATGGCCAAATAAATCATAAAAACTGGATTCTTAGGAATCATACACGACAACGCTTACAAACGACATAAAAAAATGAAAACAATTAGTTTTGGCTCAACATGTGAAAGATGTAAAAGAATTGTAGATTGTAGCACTTCCTACAAAATCTTATATATACAATTTTTGTGGCAAAATGTTAATAACAATACTCCTCCGAAACGGCTTGACCGATTTTTATGAAATTTATATACATGTTCAGTAGGTTTGAGAATCGCTACTATTTTTCATACCCATAAGTGATGAACGTTGTCCGTCCACCCCCGTTGTCTTTTTTTATGGTTTGGACACTTTTTTTAATTTGTTTATAATGTAATAAGTGGCATTAAAAATTCATATTTCTATTCATTTCACTCGTTGTTCACGTTTCCAACTTGATAGTGGTTTTTTTTTAAATAATCGTATATCATAAAGTGATCATTGTTTTTGCTATTGTTCTTGCTTGCAACGCTGCAGGTTTCGTGAAGCATGTTTATTTATCTTTACTTAAAATGCACGGATACGTAAAGAACAATGCCAAGTGACCATAGTAACTTTGGCTTAATATTTTTTTTTACGGACAGCAATGAAAATAGTTTTATTGTGTGTAGTTTAATAACTAAAACATTTCCAGAACATTACAAATTGTAAAGAACTTCTAACAATAATACTTAGATGATACAAAAATGGAATTTTGAGGTTATTTCAATTTGACGATCATCGTGGCGGAGTGGCTTTCACACCGATATTCATGGTGTCGCCATATCTGGGTTCATTCCTTTGTCTTAATAGTCTAGAAAAATAACCGTTTTACATTTGCTCTGGTCTGTGTTTGAAATATCTAGGTAGGTACCTTTACTAGTTGGTCGACTAATGTTGGTATTCTTCTGGGTAGGTAATTACAATCATAATACATTCGGTGATTATTCGAATCATTTTTATGAATGCAAGAAACGACTGACTCAATTAGTGTCATTCAATCTTGTTGTATTCTTTTAAGTTATCACAAGGCCTATCAAGCCAGTGCATCGTCTCGGAACTCTATGCCTCTCTCTTTTTATTGCAATAAATCAGAGAGAAAAAAATGGCAACTCAATTTATTTTTCTTAAATTTCCGGTCAACTATTTGTTTATTAATAAACTAATTTTATTGGAGAAGTTCTTTAAAAGACATGTGTCCGTGCCATTTTATAATTAAAAGTTTTGTTATCCAGAATATGGCATTATTCTTTCGCTAGTAAAAAGTTACAGTTAATCTGCCGTAAGTATCGGACGTAAAAACAAACCTGCTTTTTTCATACATACGATGACGATATGTTACGAAGCTGGCCAAAATTCGTGCTTAGGCCTTAGTTCTATTGAGAATTCCCTAGTACTTACGAGTATGATACCATGAGTTGTAAAACAATTTGGCATCTGCCATTGCACCTTCAACCTAACGCCGCATTGCTAAATTGCCCAAGCAATAGAGAAAACCAAATAACAAAATTTTACCACACTCTAGTTTTTTACAGATGTTTAGGTTAGGTTAAAAGAAGCCTAAGTTTAAAACCGGGGAATGTAGAATGGTCATACTGGCCGCCACATTGGAAACCGCGTTTATCGCAATGTCTCCGAAATTATTGACTTTACGGAAAAAAATGTAGAGTGCTTTTTGTTTATTACTAAATTTACTAACTTCTCATAACTTCAAAAGAATTTATTTAATATAAAAAAAGTCTTATACTAAAGTTGTACAGAATTTAATGACCTATAACTTTTATAAGACGTTTTTATTATTTAATGGCATTTTTAAGGTTTTATAAAGGCAAAACTACAAACATGTACACATAATTAAAAAACGGTAAGAGTAACAATAAAAAGTTTGAGACAAAAAAGTTAGGGCGATTAGTAATAAACAAAAAAGTACTTTACAGTCTTTTCCGTAAAATCAATAATTTCGGAGATATAGCGTTTAATCGGAGATATAAGATTAGATAAACGCGTTTTCCAATACGGCAGCCACTGTGAACACCCTACAGTCTCCGATTTTTAAACTTAAGCTTCTTATGACCTACCCTAACATCTGTAAGAAAAAACTAGAGTGTGATAAAATTTGCATTACGATCAAGTATAACCGCGATCTCCGTTTCTTTGGCTCATATTCGTGAGCTCGCAACATTAATTGTTTAGTTTGTATCTTATTACATTTTCATTAAAATGTAGTGTTTTCCAAACGCGGACTAAAGTAAGTCTTGGTTTAAACCTTATGCTGTGTCTGTCTCCGTTTTAGCAAACGCAAGTGACAGCATCAGTTTAAGACCGGATTTAACTTTAGTCAACGTTTTGTAATAAAGCAGTTTTTGAATGGCTACGTAATAACTAAACTAATACAAAAGTACAAAAATACCTAGGTCTATGGTGTTTATGACACTATATAGTTACTTTTGTACTTGTGTATTATAATCATAATAATTGTTCTTAAAAACCAAGGTAGTGTGAGCCTGATGATCTGTAAAACAGGTATGTTACCATACCTATCTCAGGCATCAGTCTCACACAAACTTTTCATTTGTGCCTTTACTGTTATGTATATATCATATATACACATACATGGAACTTGTGTAAAACTTTTTGTGATTAGGAAACAAAATTCATTATTCTTATTATTAATTTACATACCTTATCCGCCCTGGCTGCGGGCGTACGATTGTGCCTCAGCCAGTCGTGCAAACTATCCCGACGGCATAGTTGCATCTGTATGTATAAATACATCTTGCTGTCTGCCACCGGTTCCTCTCTGACGCACATATCCAACGACCAGTGGCGGCGGTGACCTTTCTGACAAGCGAAACGTACCGTATCTATATTAGTTTAATAAAAGTATAATAAACACTAGCTGTCCCAGCGACCTTCGTACCGCCATAAAAAATAGGGATTGGTGGAAGAAGGGTGAAAATTTAGGGTTGTATGTATTTCTGTATGATGTATCATAAAAAAATAAAACAAAAAAAATGTCCAATAAAAATAAAAAATAAATTAAGGGTGGACCACCCTTAGGGTGATGATAAATAGATGTTGTCTGATTCTCAGACATACTGAATATGCATATAAAATTTCACGAAAATCGGTCGAGCCGTTTCGGAGTAGTTCAATTACGCACATCGTGACACGAGAATTTTATATATTAGATAGAGAATGGACTGTCATTTGAAATGGGTAAGAAAACGCAAAGCTATAAGAAGAAGCAACCTGTCACTTCAAGGCTGCGTTCAAAGCCTACCCTCTGAGTGCAACTTTTTACCCTGACCTTTAAATTTTGACTTATAATGAATGAAACTAATATCAAATTTGACATTTGTTGCACTTGGAGCGTAGGTTTGGAACGCATCCCAAGTCTATCGGAATTTGGCGGTTTTCCTTGTGAATTTGACTCTAGCGGGATAAATTGGCAGTTTTCTTCCCCAATGACAACTCTCGAGAAAGACAGAAAAAACACTCAATACATAGATGAACTATGGACCGCCCGATCGCTTGGTCCCCCTAGCCAAATGGCAAGCACTTCGAAGCGAATTCTTTACGCGCTCTTTAAACGTCACGGTGTCATTGAAATTTATAGAAAATCAACCAATCGTGTAAGCTATCACGACGGCACAGCTGCATCTGTATGTATAAATACACCTTGCTGTCGGCTTCCGGTTCCTCTCTAACGCACATATTATGCTGCTTGCGCCAAGCCAAGGTAGTATTAGTACATATGCGCTACATCGTTTCACCTCAGAACAAGAACGAAAGCATGAAAGTAATGTTATGATGATTGAGGGTATAATCCTTTAGACAATATATGAACGAAAAGATTTCGTTCATTTATTGTCTAAAGAGTAGACCGGGTCTTCGCACTCTTATCCTACAGGTGCGGTGTCTGCCTAATGCTAAGCTATTGTGCACGTTTGCTAGCTGTGTAGTGTTGGTGTTTGTGGCCTGTGTGGGCGGAATCGGAGGCGGCCCGACTTATGTTGGTCAGGCATTGTATATATGGAGTGTTAGCCTCCGAATTTCACTTGCGCGATGTAGGCTTCGAGACTAATGTGACCGCAGCGTAGGTAGTACCATCTCTTGAGGAGGCAAGAGATTATTTCTTCCATATTAGTTATATGTGGGGCATTAAAACGCGGATCCCCAACGAGGCCAAATTCGGCGATTTTGATTTCAAATAAAATTTGGTAAGGCGAATTTATCTGTGCAGATGTCAGATAAATTTGAACACGAAATACAAATCGCTCGACTGATTTTTGTTTTTCAACCTGCCCGTCATATCACTTTCTCTCTTTCAACTTTCAAGAGTGTTATCAATTTTAAGCAGATATGGCACCGAATGTGCCAGAGCACCGCGAGAGGTCGAGTAATGCGGCTCATTCTAAAATGAGCCTTATGCAGTGCGACGTAAGGGAGAAAGTGCAACGACATCTGCACTTGTTTTCAAGTCATGCACGTTACCTGCGTAGGTATAAGTAGGTACAACGTACTCGCGAGTGCTAGCTAACTCTCAATTTAAAAGATACTTTCTAGAATGCGTAGATCAGGGACAGTTAAATTTCAACAGCGATTTCGGAACGAATCCAAAGGCGATCAAAGTGCAACAAAAGTGTTCAAGTGCGATTGTTTAGAGACTTGTATAGTGAAATACAGTGTTAAGTGAGTGTGTGTGAATAAAGTACTGTCAAGCGTGAACTGGCATATAATTTTCGAATCCCATCCCGACACCTAACAATACGATATCCTACGATATTATCCAGGAATTTATTAATAGTTATTGTAAAATTATAATTAAATATAGCAGTAAGAAAATAATAAAATCTCACCTTTTTCTTCTTACTGGGCTTAGAGCTGTCAGTCTTTGTGACACCGTCCATTTCTTTGACCCTCTCCAATCTTTTATCGAATGAGGCTACATTTCTAGCCTCCGACTGGAGTTGTCTGGAACGCTCTTCCGAATGAGCAAACACCACAAACGAATCTTCATTTTCACTCTTCCGCTTAGACAACGTATGATTCGTCAAATCGCTCAAGTTCTTAGACAAAATATTAGGAGTTACGTTACTAGAGTTCATTTTCGAATTATCTGTTGAAGCTTTTTGCGATGCCGGAGTGTCTTTGGTAGCTTCATCGTCGAACACAATGCTAAATGAATCGTTGCAACTCAGCGATCTGCGTGATGAATAAGGCGACAGTCAATATGGAATTTTCTATCACGATTTATTATGTAAATGGATGAGTAGTAGTGAAAAGGTTTAGATGTTGAAGCTTGAAGTTTTATTTGCGTTCACGTTCATAACAATAAAAAAAAAATAAGAATAAAAACGCTAATGTGTCTTTTTAACAAACTTGCAAACTAGGTATTATTGTCTATGGGTACTCAATAAAACATAATGTAGGTACATTACAATAAACTAGCCAAAGTGTACCTTAACATTTAAGATTTTTCATAATTGCTCATTCATATATTACAAGTCTTAAAATTGTTCGCGGATAAACAAAATTTTATCTTTTCAGGATGTTTGTTATAGTTTAATAATAAGTATATTAAGAAAAGTTTCTCAACGACACATCTCCGAGTCATATAAATGCAATGAATTAGAAATAATATGGAAACATTATTCTCTAACAAGGCAGCTAAAACAGAACTCCAAACTCAACTCATACAACTAAACATCAATACTAACACGACACATACACAAACAAAATAATAATAAAACTTTGCCAAATCAAATATCGGCCAATGCATTCAGCTATCCATTCATTGGGTAACATAATATTAAACAGGAATCTAAACCAATCCCATGATGGGCGTATTGATCGCACTTTTTTCGTCCTGCCCACTTGATCACAGTTTGCGTGCGTTGCATTTTAGCGCAATAAGTTTCCTTCATTATTTTTAAATCGTTGTATAAACTCTAGGCGAGGAGCTCGATGGTGCAAGGTTAGCGCGTTCGGCTGCGATCGTTGAAGTAAAGCAACTTTCGCAGTGGTTGGTCATTGGATGGGTCACCAAAAATTTAGTATCTCGAGTTCCTCCGTGCTTCGGAAGGCACGTTAAGCCGTTGGTCCCGGCTGCATCTGCAGTCGTTAGCACGCACCAATCCGCACTGAGCCCGCGTGGTGGGTCATGGCCCAAAACTCCCTATTCCATTCGTAGGGAAGGCCTGTGCCCCAGCCGTGGGGACATTAATAGGCTGATGATAAACTCTATAACCAATACACTACATACCTCTGTCTCTTCGACTTTTCGGCAGCAAGTTGTTTCTCGAAATCAAAAGCGTCCACGCATTCATCGCATTTTTGTAAATCCAGCGTGACGCTGGTGCTCTTATTGTAGGCAGACTTCGGAAGGGGAGAGGTGGCGGTGTATTCATCAGACATATATGAAACACCGGCTCCTTCTAATTCCCTAAGATTAAACGACCTCATTATATTTTTATTTTAAGCATTTAACTACTTATTGCTACTACTACTAGAAAAAACTCCACTCGGTCCAGGAAGCAGACGGGATTCGAGCCTGCACCCTCCGCTATCCGGACGGATGCACTGACCAATTATGCTACCACGACCTTAACGAAACGACCGTGTCGAATTCGTTCTAATATTTCTTAGGGTGCAAGGCAATGTCATCGGCTTCGCATTGTAGTTAATCCACAATGTCAAACGAAATACCTTTACAAGTATTAAACGCTTGAAAACAGAAATAACAATTGTTGTATATTAAAAATTTTCTTAAGATTTAAACAACCTTTAAAAATACCATCCTACTAATATTATAAATTAGAAAGTTTGTATGTTAGTTGCTCAATCACGCGACAACTACTGAACGGATTAGGGTGAAATTTCGTACGCTTATAGTTTATGCCACAGAACAGAAGAAAATAGTAGGAGTAGCAAGTAGGTGTCACCCTTGTAACCTCGAATATGCGACGCTCAGTATATGTGCTAGTACTGAAGTGTCAGTTGCAATTGAGATCAACACGCACGTACAGCGAAAAAAAAATAGAAATAAGCCTAACTGTTCTAAACTTCTTACTTTATGTTTAGTATTCGTGTTTGTGTTACATAGCTAAAGAAGTAAGATTGAATTTGAATCATCAAAAAATGTGACTCATGCTGATTTGCTTCTATGGAATGTCTTTTTTTGAGCAATCGGGGTATCTTAACATTTGTATGTGTTAAGTACTATTCAATTAGAGGCGTAGCTTTAGTTTTTAATGTGTCTGTTAAGGTTACACTGGTTCTGGTACTGAAACGATATGATGTTACTTCTATTTTTTTTTCGTTCTGTGGTTTATGCCGTAGAAGACATAGGACACTTCTTATGCCGGAAAAGGTTTGAGGGATTTTCAAATCATTAATCATCATCATCATTAACAGCCTATCCTAGTCCACTGCTGGACATAGGCCTCTCCAATTGCACGCCACTCAGATCGATCTTGGGCTACTCGCATCCAGCTCCTGCCAGCCACCTTGCGCAGATCGTCACTCCCATCGTGCCTGAGGACGTCCTACACTACGTTTGCCTAGACGCGGTCTCCACTCCAGAACTTGTCTACCCCAACGGTTATAGGTTCTTCGGCAAATATGGCCAGCCCACTGCCACTTCAACTTGCTAATCCGGTGAGCTATGTGGATAACTCTGGTTCTCTGTCAGTTCAGAGAAACGCCGAGCATAGCCCTTTCCATAGCGCGCTGAGCGGAGCCGAGACGTGGCAGTGTCCACGTCTCGGCTCCGTATGTCATCACAGGTAGGACGCACTGATTGAAGACTTTCGTCTTTAGGCACTGTGGGAACGACGATGTCAGGACTTGACATAGCTTCCCAAACGCTGCCCAACCTAGCTGAATTCTTCTATTCACCTCGTCCTCAAAGTTGTTTCTACCCAACTGCAATGGCTGCTCGAGGTACACATATTTTTGAACAACTTCGAGAACGGCACCGTGTATTGCAATCGGTTCCGGTAGAACATGTCCAATGAACATGACCTTGGTTTTATCCAAGTTCATCCGTAGGCCGATGCGTATAAGAGTCAGTGAGTTACAAAAGTGGTATAATACCAGCTTCCATACAAAAGTATGGAAGCTGGTTGATAAACCAGCTTCCATTTATATTTTATTTTATACCCACCGTCATTCATTTTTTTTTGATATCGCAGCGCACGATAAAATTATTTTTCTCTACAGTTATAAAAAATCAATATCAGGTGGAAGGGAAGATAATTTGGACGATTCAAAAGAGTTGTATTTAAGGCAGAAACAGTCTTACGAAACACGCGACGCGTATTTTTATTGGCGCATCGCGTCGCGTCGGATGTTCCTTAAGTGATTCTGATCATTGAAAATAGTAACAAAAATAGTAATAAAATAACATTTTGATTTGACTTAACACGCGTGGCGTGGCATCAGGTGACTTCGCGTTTCATAAGTCTGTTTGCTTCCAATTTGAATACAGAAATTTTGACTTGCTTAATTATGGAGCTCGATGGTACAAATGGTAAGTGCTTTCGGCTGCGATCATTGAAGTTAAGCAACTTTCGCAGTGCTCGGTCATTGGATGGGTGATCAAAAATTGATTATTTCGAGCTCCTCTGCGGTCGTCCGCACTGGGCCCGCGTGATGGATCGTAGCCCGCACTCCCTATTCCATCCATAGGGAAGCCCTGGGCCCCAGCAGGGACGTTAATAGGCTGATGATGATGATAATGATGACTAATTATAAATGTAAAGTATGTTAACCTTATCCAGGCGGCGTCTCTCTGCTGTTGCCACAATGGCGGCGGTTCCTCTAACCACGCGTTGAAATATCGCACGATATTTTCGTGCTCCAATTTGGCCAGAGCTCGCACTTCGCGCAAAACTCGTTCACGTTTCGACTCCCTACAACATGATAGACTGTGTTACTACTTTTCAATAGGTTATAATTAAATGATAATCAAAATAGTTATTTATGATATTAGTGCGCTAAGTTGCTTATTACAAACAAGTAGACGAATGTAAGCTTACCATAGACACAACTTTGTAATACCAATCCGCACGAATGTGAATAGACTATAGAAGTTTCACTTCAAAAGAATCCTTATATTATAGATATTAACGGGATTGTTACCATGTACCTTGTTTTTTAACAATCCCGTTAATATCTATAATGTTAGTGACCATGAAACTTTAAAACAATATAAAAGAATAATTACTTTCTAGGCAGCGTGATCCTCTTGACTGCGTACGAACAGTGGTCTATATTGTTCCTGGCTTCGAATACAACCCCGAAACCGCCCTTGCCGAGGCATCGCAGCGGCGTGAAATCATTCTCGTAGCGACCCGAGTACTCGCTGGTGACCGGCCGTTCATAGTAGCGTTCCACTACTATGTTCTCTTTCTAATAAAATGGAGAAAAAATGCATTAATAAACATTCACTGCACTCTATTCAACTACCTTCGAGCCAGAAGGTAAACTATAAAAAGTTTTGCAATAGTTATATATGTCATTGGAACATAATACTAATCTATTTTATTGTGTGTGTACTAAATTAGGTAATAAATAAATACATTCATAATTTTATATAATATATTATAATATAATTATATATTTCAATATAATTTATCAACTTTCGTAACAATGTAAACGAGAGAAAAAATGTATTATCTAACGGGAACATTTTCGTAAATTGATCAATTTACCGAGCTAAGCCTAAAATAAAGTTAGTTATTTAACAAAATGTTTACATAGACCTACAAAAGTTTTATAGTGGACATGACCAAACTAGTGAAAAGTAGGATTGGACCGAACAAATATTAAAAAATGTGACGAAGGTAGTACGGGGTATAACTGTACTTCCAGGGCCCAAGAGGTGATGTTTTTTTTTTGTAGAAAGGGTCTCTTTTAACATTGGTTTCTATTCTAGCGCTACGTCGGCCGCTCGCTTTGCTCGGCTCGCGCGTTATGGTCACAACACTAAACAAGTGTGAAGTATCACCGCTTGGGCCCTAGAGGTACAGTTTAGCCTTATAGGCACTTATACAGTCATCTTGTGTATGAAAATATTTGCATACCTCTGTAAGGTAGAATATGCTGAACTTAAACAATATGTTTAGGATATTTGAATGTAAGGTGTTTCACATTCCTGCAAATAAAGTCTATCCTATTCAAATCAAATAAGCCAGACATGATAAGACACTTGTCCTTTTTACTTCAGCATGTAAGTTTAATTATTTATTTGGTAAGTCTGATCGTACCTAAGTCTATGGCGGCAAGCACCGAAGTCGCTAACGGCGACCAAACGTAAAATTAAACTCTGTTCTAGGATTGGGCACGGTACTTAGAATTTTACGTTGATAGGCCTGAAATTTTAAGTTAGTTTATCAATTTACAAAAATTGTCCCGTAAGATAATACATTTTATCTCTCATTTATAATCTTACGAAAGTTGATAAATTTACTAGGAAATTGATAAACCTACGGAATGTATTATATTCCGGTGACATATACATACAAAATCATAGTAAAAAAAGTGACATTAAAACGACCTAAAACTGTACCTACCTATCCCCAAACTTTGAACGCTATAATACTAAATTGAATAGTAGCAATCAAGCAAATAATTTACGTTGAAATATGAAATGTTGTAATCAGTCTGGCTGGTTACACCGGTCTTCTTTACTCTCGATAAAAAGATTTGGAGACATTGGTTTATTTCTTTACCTTTTGGCTCAAAGGAAGCTGAATAGAGTGAAGCTACCTAGTTTGATTGCGCAATGTTTATGATCATAATATCAAAGTTAAGCAAATTATCTAATATATATATAATTTTTTCGCACTTTTTTTCGCAGAGCTCTTCGGCATATTGAATTTTAAATGATCCTTGCGGAATAGCGAGTGTACTAGTGCTAATGTGGTATTTATGCACTACATGATCAGCAGTGCTATTCTGTAAGAACAAATTCACATTCCACCTGAGAAACCGCGGTGGGATTTAAAATAAGAACACGAATTTCAAATAAATTTCCGTTCACACAGGCTAATTACGCAGTGAAAAGTTAGATTGTTCTTACAGAATTCGCTGGGTGCGCGATGACACCGCCAACTAGCGGTTACAATTACGGCGGAATTTTAATAAGTAAACAAACAAATAATATCATTGAAATTTATGGTAATTTATATTTATAGATATACATTGTATTTAAACAGGTTAATCTATAGTGTCGATAATAACGTTGGCCTTTTGTATTCCGTCTAATATGCCACAGGCAATAAAGTTCTGGAAATACACACTTATTGCAGACGATCATTTATGACTGTAGTGTGATTATTAATGCAGACTTATTGTGTATTTTCAGATAAACATGGCCAAATTAATTATATAAACTGGATTCCGGGCAAAAAAAGGAAATCAATTACTTTGGCTTAACATGTGAAAGATGTAAAATCATTGTGCTACTTCCTACAAAATACAAAACATAATATTTAAAAAAATACTTTAAATCTTAGATAACTTCGTTACTTTTTTTTCTTGACAGCGATCATCCATTTCATTCGTTGTTCTCGTTTCTAACTTGCATGTGGAAATTTATAGAATTGTGAACGCTGCTTTTGCCATTGTTCTTGCAGTTTACTAGATGCGCAGTAGCTTTAGTGCGAGTTTTATTTGGTTTTACATACAATGCACGGATCCGTAAATTTTGCAAGTAAAAAGTGACACTTGATCTGCCGAAAGTTCATTTTTTCGCCACGATGAGCGCTGCGATCGATTCGTGTTTCTCCCGCCTCCTTCTTCGCACCCAGTGAATACCCATGCAGCACTACAGGCAGCATTGCCAGACGTCCCGATTTAGGCGGGACGTCCCGATGTTTAAATCAAAATTAAATGTCCCGCGCGGAACAGGCTCCATCCCGCTTTTCGGGAATAACTCGACCGTCCGTGCAGCGTACTGAGAAAGCTCGGACGCGCGTAATGAAGAACTCTCAAACAAAGACTCGAACTATTTAACGATAGGGTAAATCTGATTTAAAATATCATACTTTTATTAAAATATATTTTCTATGGATATTTTTACTAGGTACCTATTTATTGTCACGTAAACATAATTTGAACTCAAATAATAAGATAAATATTCAAAAACTTTTGATTATATACGTTTTTTTACTATGTCCCGCCTTCGACGAAAGAATCCCTTTTTTCACTCAAAATGTTCTTATATCCCGACTTGGCAAAAAAAACTGGCAACGCTGAGTCTACAGGACACATTTCAAGCGCTAGTGGAGCATCTATGAAGTTTCCGATCTTACTGCCTGTACGACCTATACGATTCTGAAAGATTTTATCACGAAAGGATTTCAGCAGTAAACTAACCTGGTTAATAGGCAGAGGAGTAGACGGCCTAAACATAGGCGCGATAAAACGCGGCCAGAACATCAGATTCATTAGTAGTGCCGAACTAACAGCTATCAGCAGAACCTGTGAAGAGAAACTTTTATATAGAGGTTTAAAATGGAAAACATATATGTAGGTTCCAAATATCCATTGGCCTTTAGAAAGATGCGACACGACAAGTGACTTTCATTCAGCAAATTAACAATAAGACCTAGATTATTAAATAACTAGCGGCCGCCCTCGACTTCGTACGCGTGGAGTTAGTTAGAAATAAAGGTTCACTGCTCGTTCACCGTAGGTGATAGTGTGACAATATGTAGCTTATATGTTGACCTGACTTCTTAATAATATTCGTGCCAAATTTGAAGTACATCCATGCAGTACTTTTTGTTTATCCCGGACATAAATACAGACAAACAATCAAAAATTATAAAAACTATACTTTTGGTTTCCTTCAAAAAAAAATTAATGTACAGTTTAGACTTTCCTACCATTTTATTATATGTGCAGATTTAGTCCTTTTTTAATTTTACCTCTTTCCACCAGAACCACAGCGAGTACACATGCACGTGTATATGGTGATGCTCATGTTCTTCGCTAGCATTGGGCGGCACTATGTCCGGTCCGTCGATCTCTGGCGTCACTTGCAACGCTTGGTCGCAAGTCTCTTGCAAATACAAGAAGAAACCGTGGTTACCTGTCGCGGGAAGAAATCATAATTTAGATAAAAAAACACCACATGCATCATCAAAAAAGTCTAAGCAAAATTTTGTACTGTTGTGAACTTTTGAACGATTTTTTAATAATATAACATATTTATACTATAGTATTATAAACATAATCGAAAAGTTTTTATTTTGAAAATCAGTCAATTATATTTTCGTGAACAAAAAAGACTGAATACCAATCTACTTTGCTAAGAATAGAATTCAACATCAATTAATAAAACTTTTTGATGTGTGTTTAGGAGCTGCGATGCCACAGAAAGAACTTATAACACCTCTTTTTCCATTAGGGGTCAAAATCTAAATTTTTATTGCAATATTGCAGTATTAAAAAACTTACAGTGATTAAAACCAAACTATATTCCGGCCGCTCAGAGAATGCGTTTCTGACAGGTATTGTCAGTTCCTTATGGCGACAGAATAAAGTACACTTTAGATCTAATAAAAAAGAGATTCGAAAATTAACTCTAATGCTAGCACCATAAGGAACTGACACGACCTGTCAGAAACGCAATCTCTGAGCGGCCGGAATATAGTAGACATTATATTATCTCTGTGACAGGACGCCCCACTCCTCCCAAACACAATCATATATAACTAAGACAGACAAGGCAATATAAAAGTTTCCATTAAAATATAGATTTAAATTTGGGATTGTAGACTTTATGACACTTCAGATAACTGCTAGAGTCGCATGTATACATGCCTGCTCAATAATATTACCTATATACATTAAGTTTCGCAAGTCCCTTATAAATACAGGAAGAAGCCGTGATAGCCTGCCACGGGATAGTAGGCTTTACATCAATTCAAATAACTACATAAGTCGCTTGTACGCGGGTATAGTAGACTTTATTTCATTGTGATACTGACTAAACTCGTATGCTTATCATAATCGATATTATATACATTAGGTTTTCATTGAGTGGCACTATATCCTGTACGTCGATCTCTGGCGTCATTTGTACCGCTTGGCTGCAAATACAGGAAGAAACCGTGGTTAGTAGACACGGGATAGTATACTCTATCTCACTTTAAATAAATACTAATGTCGCATACTTGTCATAAACAACATGTACACACAAGTTACAGTAATAGTTACATTTATTTTAGTAATAAACCCTAATTTTGAAAGCCTCCTCTCATCTGTACTCAAAAGGTGAAAACTATTCTTCCGCTGCTGGTCTATTAGTATCTCATTAACCTTAGTTGAATGAGAACACTATCGCGCTACGGCGCTAACTGAAATGTGTATATTTTTGTGCAGTGAATAGATTTATTTTGTCTCGCTATCTTTAAAAGTGCACAGCGCGTCGCAACTCTGTCTACACTGTCACATATTATACGATTTGTACTAGCAATAAGTAATTTCTTTCCAAACACTTTGATAACCATTATGCAATCCAAATCAATACAAATTAGAGAAAACTTACCGTTATACTCCGTTTTTCCGTACAGCGTTATGAGTGACAACGTATTAGCGTCCGCGTCTTGTACCGAAAGAGCCTTGTCTTGTTCGTCATTTTCTATAAGAGGTCTAGAATGTTTCACTTTCCACGGGGCATTCTTAGGCACTACGGCCGTTTCTAACTTCTGGGAGTAAAATACGCTTTCCTGAATGTACAGCTGTAACAAAACAAATGAAGTTATAAATCTAGCAGTTTAATGCTTAAAAATAACATTTTAATAAATGAAATTAGCCAAAAAACAGATGTGAACTTTGCAAACAAGTGTGATGGTTATTTTGAAGAGCATATAGGCGAAAAATGAGTAAAGTATCCATTAATTTAAAAGTAAGGTACTTTAACTTTACTTGTAAGATTATTAATGTAATGAATTTATCAAACTGGGCAGGGAGTGAAATAATTTGCACGGGAAAAGTTTATGAGCACAGTGAAGTTTGTTAAACTATTGTACGTGCTGACCACCTGTTCGTTATCTAATCAACGACAACAACAGTGATTTTAAACTTAAACTGAACAGAAATATAGTTCAAAATCGATTACTCGTTGAAAAACTAAATAAGTTTCAGGCCACCTCTCTGTTCTTAATCTAACCTAATCAATGTAATTTTTTTAAACCTTAACGCATATAACATAAATTTCAAAATTGATCACTGATAAAAAAACGAAAACAATGTTGAGGCTAAATCAAATGTTTATTTATAAATCTCACCTGTCTATCGTGCACACCAATGTACAAAGAGGGCGGTGCAATAGGCCCGCTTCCTTCCACAAGTGATTGAGTGGCTTCCCACAATACGTCGATATTTTGTAGAGAACCGTCATGTAATCTCCACATATTAGCCACGGGTGCGTCCAACTAGCATGAAACCAATCTTCAGTTGTAACAATTAATACCTCGTCATCATCAATATCGTCAGCCTTTTAACGACCCATCTGTAGGGACACAGATCTTCCCTATTTATGGTATAGGGATATTGGGACATGATCCACCACGCGGGCCAAGTTCGGATTGGTGGATCTAACGACTGCAGATGCAGCCAGGACCAAAGGCTTAACGTGATTTCCGAAGCACAAAGAACCCCGAGATAACAAATATTTGGTCAGCTATCCACTGCAAGCCCATTGCGAAATGTTGAACTATCTAAGTTCACTGTACTTCGTGTCATCATCAAATTGAAGCTCAATGAAGCTAGTTTGTTTCATTTACGAGTTGGAATTAAACACCTTTCGTATTAAGTGACCATATAGGTATTATATCGAGCTCCTATGTTAAGACAGGCACGTTTAGTCATTGGTACCTGCATTTGGTGGGTTATGGCTCATTTTGCATGTTATTCTGTCTATAGAGAAGGCCTATACCCCTACATTGGAGACCCAATGGCACCATATTTTTGTAAATCCTCATTAATTCTTCGATTCCAAGTACACCATTAACTTATTATAATAATTTTAGAATAAATAAAGCGCATAAGTATATTTCTCATAACAAACTACTCAAATTTGCAAACCCTTTTAAAATTAAAAAATTACATTAGTATACAGTAACTTAGCCTTTTTCGCTAAATTTCAGGTACTCACCCTCTATCGCCACGGCGGCGCCGAATCTCCGGTCGCCTTAGGGCCACACTTCCCTCTGGCACTGCGACGCCGATGGCTACAGCCGTCTTAGAGCGACCTTTATTACCTACTTCAGGTACTCACCGTCTGTCGGCACAGCAGCCGTGAATCTCCCGGTCCCCTCACGGCTACAACTCCCTCGGGCATGGCGACGCCGATAGTTACAGCAGTCTTAGAGGGGCCCTTATTACCTAAGTTTCAGGTACTCACATTCTGTCGCCATAGCAGCCCCCAATCTACCGATCTTCTTACGGTTACAACTCCCTCTGGCATTGCTACGCCCCGCCGATGGCTATGACCCTTATTAATTCCCTAAGTTACGGGTACTCACCTTCTGTCGCCACAGCAATCCCGAGTCCCCCGGTCGTCTTACGGCTACAACTCCCTCTGGCATGGCGACACCAACGGCTACAGCAGCCTTAGAGGGACCCTTATTACCCCCTTCACATTCACGACGACTCAGCGCCAAATTATGTTCCGCAACACTGAAGTTCCATCTGAATGAATGAAGCTGATTTGTTTATGAGCATGAAATAACACAGGATTTTTTCATAATGACAATATGTACTTTACATATGTGGTGAGATTTGTAATGCTGTAAATAATTAATGGACAATTATTTTGTTTACTTACAAAAAAATGTTCATACTCATAAGCTTTAATTGCTGCTCCCAGCATGAAATTTTTAGATCAGATTTTACTATTGAACTTACTTTTCATTTTATTATATTGTTACTAGCTGTCCAAGCGAACTTCATACCGGCATAAAAAATAGGGTTGGTGGTAGAAGGGTGAAAATTTAGGGTTGTATGTATTTTTGTATGGTGTATCTTATATAAAAACCAAAAACATTGTCCAAAAAAATAAACTTTAAGGGTGGACCCTTAACATTTAGGGGGATGAAAAATAGATGTTGTCCGATTCTCAGACCTACTGAATATGCATATAAAATTTCACGAAATTCGGTAGAGCCGTTTCGGAGTAGTTCAATTACGCACACCTTGACACGAGATTTTTTTATATTAGATTTTAAGAATTCAACTGCTATTGTTATATAATCCTTCCTCCATTTATTTTATTAAAATTTTCCTTACTTTTCATTGCCTGATCGAGGATCGAGTGCCCGCAAAGTGTTGGAATGCCTTCTCAGCACCAACACATCCCTGTTCACACTTGCTGTCTGCTGTTCGCTGTTGCACCCGCTGGAGCCACATTCGTAAATAACACTGCCTGAAGCAGTATCTACGCCTAGCCATAGTGTTTCACGGGCACCTAACATAATGTTATTTATTTTATTATATTTAAATCTATAATAATATAGTATATTCAAAAATAGACTGTTGAAAAATGTTTCTTTAAACTTCATAAGCGAAAATAAAAAATGTGATAAGTTTTTATAAATTTTAGAAAAGCAAAGTTAGAAATAAAATATAACATTGAAATTATTCTCAATTACTCATAAGGCCCAAAGTCTATATTACTATTCTCCCTGTATCATCAAACTGATATGAAATCATCATCCTGTATCATTAATGAAAAAATAATGTAACTTTTAGTCTTCAAAATGATATGAAATAATCACCTGCTATAACTAGATCATCTGAATACTTGAAAGACGCTGAAAGCAGCTGTTCCGCGTCGAAGGGAAGGGGCTCGATTGTATCACCACTAAGGCTGTACAGAGTGCCTCGTAAGGATGGTACTAAACGCACCCATTTTCCTCCAGATGTTAGCTAAAATAAAATATAAATATCATTTAAGATATTACCACCACTTTTAGAAATATTCACTTATGAGCCATAAAAAAGATCCTAACAAAAAAATACTAAATAAATTGTATTAAAAAATTTATATACATTTAAAGTGTAGATTTATAATAAAAATAAAATAAAAATAACAAAGCCTTTATTAAAGCTACCAGTTCACAAAATATGTATTTAAAATTAATTAAAATTTGATTTTTTTTTTCTTTAATGGTAAACGTAGCGTGTCAGTGACACAAGGCCTCCCCCAGCCTCTACTAGGATATCCAGCCGATGCTCGAATCTTTGGAGAACTTCCGAACTCCAAACTTCGCCACCCAGATCTGTTTAGGGCTATTTTTCGCCAGTAAACTTTCATCGACTGTTTAAGCTCGCCCATCTAGCAACTTGCCGTTCCCTGCTTCTTTTTCCATCTCTGAGGAACCAGTTGGTAACAACTTTACTTCATTTTTCTGATTGGTTACGTATCATATGGCCTTGTCTATCTCCATTTTGTTGGTCTATTCGGGTCAGGATGTCAGTTACTTTGGTCTTCTGTCTGAGGTCTTCGTTTTTCCATCTATCTCTCTTTGTTATTCCGAATTCATACTCCTCTCCATAGCTCTTTGACAGTATTCAAGCTTATCTCGGTGGCGTTTTGTTAGTGACCAAATTTCGCATCCATATGTCAGGCATGGCAGGATACAGGTATCAAATACTTTTCTTTTCAGTGATATGCTTAGGTCTCTAGCTTTGGTTATCTCCTTCAGACTCCAATATTGGAGGAAATATTGTGTATATTTATAGATATGATTAAAGATGCTTTATTGAAAAACAAAATTGAAATTGAGGAAACTTACAAATTCATATCTACCTGTATATCTGTGTAAGTAAAAATGCCTGTACATATTTTATCTAATGGCTTTGTTGACCACTTCAGGTGGTTCCAAGGACACTAATTAAATTACTTGCGTTCACTTGATTGCAGTGAAAATTTAAAGTCACATAAGAACAATTTATTATTTTTAGTGGCTCACCTCAACATGATGTAAATTTGAAGATAGTAATGGTTGTGTCTCTAAAGCCCAAGCTTTGATGCCATTGTCAGTAGAAAATGCAGTCAATTTGCCATCTAAAGTGCTGACTAGAACTAAGCTGAAACAAAATAATAATGATCAAATTTTAATTCAATCTTTATACAAAGTATTTCCAAGGAACAGTGTGGAGAATATTCTGCTTTGGAATGTCTGGTTTAGATAATTGAGTAGTTAATAACAATTTGTACAAGCATTTGTACCTATATCATGGATGTTTTTATGTATTTCTAAATAAAAATATACTTATATATGTATTCTATCTGTTAGCCTAGTATCCCATTACAAAGCCTAACAGGCTTACTTTGGGGCTAGGCTAGTTGGTGTGTGTGTGTTAGAAATATTTATATTTATTTATTTGTAGATTTCCCAATTGCACTTCTAGTCCTATTGGCAGTTGTCATGCTTTTGAAGAAAAATCATAAGCAAAACTACTGCATTAAAATAACAATACTCAGGAATTCATCAATTTTAGATTTAAATAAAATATTATAAGAAAAAAATCCACTCGGGCCAGGCAGCACACTAAAAATTATAATTTAAGATTTAATGAATTTAATATTTTCAAATTGATATTATTCGTTTTCATAAAATAAAATATTTAGCAAAAGCTGGGAGTCCCTAGTTGTAGTCACGTTGTAGTTACATTAAATAAGATAAACTACGCAAGGGCGGATCCAGCTTTGGCGCCAGGGGGGGGGGGGGGGGTCATATAGTCGTGATCAAGTCACAGTGGGTACAGATTGGAAGTACAGATTGTGAAGTGGGTACAGATGGACCCAGCCCAGGGGGGAGTGTCATGACCCCCATGACCCACCCCTGGATCCACCCTAGAAACTACACCTTTAATCCTGATATTAGCAGAATCTTCTTATTGTGCACAATAGTTTGGATCTACACTAAAGATTGTTAATGCTTTGTAATTTTGTAACACAAGTTTTAAGCAGCCCATATAATTACTAATTAGGTACTAGAGAAAAAAATTACAAGAAGTTTTCATGCAAAACACTTTACAGCTTACCATTTCAGTTACATACTTTACAAGCATTTATTACAAGGAATATTATAAATTTAAGATTGTATCTAATTAGAAATTACAATGGTTAAATAACAATTATTTACTGAAATTATTTAGATAGTTGAACTAGAAATTCAAAGAAGAGAGTCTTCCTATATTTCATGTCTAAACTTGTTTTTGTATGAGTCATCATGGGGGACCTTGAATAAATAGTAAACGAAAGTAACAACCCCAGCATTCCACTTGTAAACAATAAGTAACACTATTAGTAACTGCTTTTAATTAGAGTTAAAAGTTATTAGGGAGTTTTCTTGGTGTTCGATAGGCAACAGTATTGATACAGACTTACTCATTAGTAACGGGAGCACCGTTTATGTTGTTATGAGGATTACAAAACGGCAATTTCTGTACATTATCTTCTGCTCGAAGATAAGTTGCGACGCATGTTAGAACGAAAGCTGCCTTTAAAGCTATGACCTTCCAATACCACTCCGACATTTTATTATAGCAAAGCTTAATCCGGACATTTCAAGCCTTGAGACTAGAACTTTTATTTACTTCTTACGAAACTTTTGAATATATTAGTGAAGAAAACACGACCACAGATGTGATAGGTACTATTCCGGCAAATCCACGTCAGAGGTGAAACTGTCACTGTCAAATTATTATAGTTTTTTAAAGATTCTCCCTTTTCAGAGAATGCAAAGGGAACAATGACCATACATCCTAGTTTTAAGGTTTATTAATCTCCTACATTTTATATTAGAATGTCGGTGTGACACATTCTAATGTTTCTTGCAGTGTTTGACACAAAATGTATCAAGTTGGCTTTTTGTGTCATCAAGTGAGGTAGTCAACACCACAAAAAAGTACTTACGTCCACTTAACCGGAACAGGGTTAATTTTAAAGATTCCAATTATCCTTGTTAGTTGCACAGATGGTTATAAAACAAAATCACACCAATTTTATTTCACAATATCCACTATGAAAGAATTTAAAAATAATTAAAATGAGACGTCAACCCTATTGTCAAGCACTCGATGGAATCCCGCCAAAAACTCATTTTATTTGTTTGTGGTTCGTCATTAAAAAATACAAAGAACCCCTTTTCACCAGCCTCTATTTTTATGATGGTACAAAGTGCACTGGGTCAGCTGGTTATTTTATATTAGGATGACTGTTATACTAAATAAAAGTTTTAAAATTCAACCATCCGATTCAAGTTTCATAATATATACCGATTTATCGCATTACTTCCATCGTTTCAATACTCTTCGTTTTTTCTTATGAATGGCAACATTGCTCTGGACTGTCAATAATATTTTTATCGTGTTTGGCGTGCGATTTTCCAATTCGTATTTTGCAATCATTCATTTGCACTTGAAAAGCAAATAAAACAGGTCGTAGTTTCAACCAGTTATAGCAATCAAAAATACCCTCCATTAATATTTTAATATAAACGGTCGTCGATCTTTAAATTCAACATGACTTTGGGAACCTACAACAGACATCAAGCTGAAAGGAAGAAGTAAGTTTTTCTTGTATTACTTTATAAACGCTTTTTATCACGCTTTAGGTTTTGGTATTTCCTTTAATTCGCTGTTTTTCTTTGTTTCAGGCAAGCCGCTTTGGCAGCTGCTTTCCCTCAGGGCATCCGTTGCCAGAAGTGTCTCGAGTATGGGCATTGGAGTTATGAATGTAAAGGCAAACGCAAGATTCTTGTACGCCCGTCTCGCACTCAAGTTCTTAAAAAGAACTTAAAAGCTAAAGAAGATGGACAGTGCAGGTCAGTTTATCGTTAATTATTATTTACATCTACCTTCAGTTTGTAACTTCATCAAATGAGATTATACTGTAGCATTGTTTTTCATTATGTATGCTAGCAATTTATTTTTCATAGCCTTTTTATATGTGCTTTTGTACTTGAACTGTCCATGTTCAATTACCACATATATTCAATCCCCTGTATGTATTTTGTGCTTCCAAGTACAAATATTTGAATGATTCAGCAATAAATCTTCAGAATCTATAAATCCCGAAACTATGAGCAAAAATTAATCTACCTGTATAGTTCATATATGTCTTGAGTAACAATTATCACTCTTTCTCATTATGCATTAATCACAATTATTTTTACTGTGCCACGAGTTTCTATTTAGATGTTAACTTAATTCAAATCAATAAGATGTGCAGAATTCACAAGAAATCTTCTCATTTTGATCAAAAAATATTATAATGGTATCATTTCATTTAATTATTTAGTTTAGGGTAGATATTTAAAATATGAGTAGTTTGTTCTTTGACATAGTTTAGAAAAAAAACTAACCTTTTTAAATCAATGAAATATTAAGATTTATATTGTAGGGTTGACTTAGTAACACACACTTGGTTAGATCCAAGATGTCTAAAAACAATACTAACATCACCATAATATTGCCTACAATCTGTTCCACTCTAATCCTCCAACTACCCTACCCATTGATAAGACTTCCTTATTATCTGAAAAGAAGTTGTTATGTTTTCTATATTTATACTTTTGCTTTCAATCTGGAAAAGAAATAATACACATTTATATATTTTTTTAGCAATGGCTCTTGCAAAATACCAAACAAGAAGAAGCGTGAAGATTCCGACTGTTCAGATTGCTCAGACAAGGGCTCCTCTTCTGATAGCTCATCAGAATCATCATCAGACAGTTCTGGATCGTCTAGTGACAGCAGCGACTCGGAAAGCGATAGCGAGAGCAGCAATGGATCTGGTTCATGTAGCGACTGTTAAATACTATGGAATATGATAAGGATTACTTTATGCTTTAGGTACGATTACGGCCCATTCTTCTCTATGTTAGTTCTTAATATTTTGTTTACCTAAATTTTGACAAAGGATTAACAAAAATCAGTACTTCCTGGCAGATTTTAAAATGGCATATTTTGTTTTCTCCATTCATCCATTCAATACAATGGGAAGTAATCATGTTTATAGCATGATATAGATTTAAGAAGTAAATTATCTGAAAAAATATTGTAGTCCTTAGCAATTCTGTGCATTTACAGTGCACCATGGCTGTATTAATGCAACCATGAAATTTCAATATATTTTTTATTCAGTTTCCAGGTTTTAAAATGCCGGACATTTGAGGTACTTTGCTTTTCAATATAGTAATTTGTTTGCATCCAATCAAATATGGAACCAGATACTGGCACACAATTTATTATGATAAAATATTTGAAATGCATTATGCCTTTTCACCTGGAGACTATTTTATTTTAATACTTAATACTTAATATTTGATGTGAAATTTTTCTATGTGATTGTATTTTGTTACCTGATTGCTGATAAACAATTAAATTGTGAAAATGATAATTTTAATTGTGTCTAGTTTTAGTGCTATGTAAAATTGTTGGAGGATTACTGTAACTTGTTTATTGGTAAGAGGGTAATTTTATAACTATGTAATTTTAGCATTTAAGTTTGATAAGAATATCTCATTCATTACAATGACTTAATATTTGAGTGTGAATTTCATAGTTTCTTATAATGTTTCACAATTATTGACATAAAATGTTAGTTACTTTAAGCTTTGTAAAAAAACATGCTGTTCTTGTAGTTGTCTTTAAATGTTCTAGAATGTATTTAGACTAGATAAATGTTTTTAATTTGTAGATTTTGTGTAAAACAACAATTTATAAGACTGTATATGAAAAATGGAGTCTTTGCAATGAAAATAAGTAGATTCTTCAAACATTTATTAGAAAAACAATGTCATTACTTACATGAATTTTGATAAAAAATGAATACAACAATTTTGACGGAATTTAAAATGACTTTTATTACAATTTATTAACAATCAAACAAAACTCAGTACTGTTGAAGAAGTTGGTTGGTTGCCTGTTATTTTTAGGTGGAAATTATTTGTATGGGTTAAAGTTTGTACATAATAAAAAAAACAGGCTCCAGTTATTATCGCCTAAAAATTGCAGACTGTAACTTCTTAGAACTATTTTTACCAGATCTATAATTTTTTTATTTAAAAACATCAACAGTGCTTAACATTTCATATAGATGAAAGAGATGAATAACTGCTTATGCCATAACTCAAAACACTTGAGTGGCACATAACCTTTATCTTTGTGAAAAATCGTTAACAGAATTCATCAAAAACGGTTCAATGTGAAAACTAAATAATTTCACATTTATGATGGATGGTTGCAAATTGTAGCATTCAAATATATGTAGCTACCTACCTAAAATATTTACATAATAATGTTAAGGCACTTAATAGTGACGTGACGAGTAATGAGAAACAGCCACACAACTTTTAATAGTTTACAAAAATACTTCCTTTTTCCATAACAATAGTGTTGTAAAGAACATATAAAAATAAGGTGGGTAAAAAAATGAGACTCCTAAGTCCATGCTTCATAATTTTAGTAACTTATTGTTAAATTGAATTTACTTCAGCACTTGTAGACATTAATCGTTTTAATGTTCCATTAAGTCACGGGTTAATTTATTCTTATTTATTCTAAAATATTACTCTTATGCTATCACAAATCAAGTAACAGTACCCACTAGTCGTTTCATGAATAAAAATAAATGCAAATTTTAAGTTTGGCATTTAACCCTTTATGAGACTAAACAGAAACAGGTAGAAAATACTTTTTTTATTTCCTTAATAATATAATATTGATATGGATGGATACTATTCATAATTTGTTATTTTGTACTATGTAGTATGTGACGCTTATTCATTTAAAAGTACTTATTGTATGCACTCCTGCCTATAATAAGTAAAATAATGAAAGAAAAAATCTTACAAGAATCTCAAAAAGCACTTATTGACTAAGTTTTCCTTACGTATTGTAACTACAATCACTTAATTTCTATTACGTTGATGCAGGGGCGTCAGGCAATGTGTGTACAATGACTTTCCTCTTCTGGTCATAGGTGAAACCGTTGATTTTGAATATTCTGCTGTCGTAAAACGGTTTCAGGTCTGAAATGTTTATTTGGCGAGCTCTCTCAATGAGATCTCGTTCTGAGATTTCGATAGTGGACTGGGAGTGGTTGTGCAATCCCCTCATATATGCCAATTGGTCCATAGTGAGTTGCCGTAGGATGTAGTAAAGCAGTTCGCTGTGGTCCTTCTTGTATGAGAGGTACTTTTGGAATGTCTGGAATAGTGAAAAGATGCATAATTTTAACCACAAGCTTTAATTTATTGCTCGATGACCCAATTGTTATTGCGTTCGATTAGCAATCGTAAAAAGGTAAGCAACTTTCACAATGTTCAGACATGGGATGTGTGACCAAGTTTTATTCAGCACTTCTCAAGGCAAGGTAAGCTATTGATTATATTGATTGACAGGAAAGGCCTGTGCCACAGCAGTGGGATATTAATAGCCGATGATGATGAAAAATATTATAAAAATATTAATAATAAGAAATATTTATAATTATACTTCCCACCAATCGGCACTGGGGCTAGTGCAGAATAGCCCCAGTGCGGAATGGGCCGCGCTGCTGAATGGGTCCAGGGCGAAGGCTCCCGGTTCATCACTAACAAACAAAACTTTAAACCAAGTCCACAATCACAGCCGTCAATTGTCACTTACCTCGTCGTCCATTCTGCTAAACCCAGCTGCCCAGCTAGTTCCCTAGCTAGCTGCTACGCTAAGTTGTGACGGAAATATTTCGCCTAGCCTTCATCCGCCATTCCGTCCGAAAAGGAACTTCGTTCCAAAAGAAGTTATCATCCCTATTTTGTACGAAGATGTACACGGACTTGAGAGATTCAGAGATAAGATATATCGTGGTTTCTGACCTGTCTCAGCTCGCATGATGCTGTATTTCTGCGTGTCCACGAAGCTCTCTAACATGATGATGCTGATAAATTGACGAAAAACGGACGGACGTACATTCTGCCTATAAGAGTGTATATCCTGACCAGTCTCATGGCTCGCATGATGCTGTATTTCTGCGTGTCCACGAAGCTCTCTAACATGATGATGATGATGAATTGACGACAAACGGACGGACGTACATTCTGCCTATAAGGGTGTATATTCTGACCTGTCTCATGGCTCACATGATGCTGTATTTCTGTGTGTCCACGAAGCTCTCCAACATGATGATGATGCTGAATTGACGAAAGACGGACGGATGTACATTCTGCCTATAAGAGTGTATATTCTGACCTGTCTCATGGCTCGCATGACGCTGTATTTCTGCGTGTCCACGAAGCTCTCCAACATGGTGCGTATGGCGAGATTCACGTCTTGTTCCGATACTTGAGTGCGAAGATGCATACGGGCTTGCGCTTCGCTCATACGGATCACTGTGGAAATACGGTTATAATAAATGATAATACATAATGGTGGGTCATGGCCCAATCTCCCTATTCCATCCATAGGGATGGCCTGTGCCTCAGCAGTGGGGACCTCGATAGGCTGATGATGATGATGAATAAATAAAATCAAATTTACTGTATCATATGAAACCACCAAGAAGTGTGCGTGCGTGTGAGAGTTGCTTATGTGAAGTTAATCCAATAATGGAGTTGTAGTTGAGTCGGAACATATTTTATTTGATGCTAGTATGAGCGTACCGCATCTTCCCTTTCTGTTTTAATCTAAGGGAGAAAACACAACAAATTTATTATTCGATTGCGATGTTAGTAGACTACTAAATTAAACGGTCTTGGTTGACTTTATTATAGAATATTTCATTATTTATTGACAGCTTTCGAATAATGGATAAGCATAGCTGCATAATTTTTGAAAAGTTAGGCTCAACTTCTGAAACCAACTCAGATTTGGATGATATTATAAAATTAAGTTGAAGAGTAACCACGTTGAGAGCTGCTTAAAGTGAACGACATGATAGATTAGACAAGTCAACAAAATGAAAAAAAATTTTTGAGTCTGTTATTTAATGGCTATTGTCTAATTGTTTATATGGAAAAATAACCTGAAACCTCATTTTTATTTTAAAAAGTTTGCTTTTGTATTTTATACAATGATAAATAAATATGTATGACTTTTGTAAAAAAAAAAAGGCCGAGGATCTACCGCTTTTAATAAGCAAAAGAAAGGAGTGCAGAAGGATATTGGGTATGGAATAGGAAGCAGTAAAGCAATCATCAGTGCATGTATACACCTTTTAGAGAAACGAAGTATTTTGTAAATGTCTAGAGCGGTAAATGCCTTCCAAAATGAGTGAAAACTACGCGGGACCTGTTTGCTTTATTTGCGGAGACTTTTATTTTTAAAATTTAGAGTCATAACAATGGTTTAACCTGTAGGTAAAAACCTAATTTAACATAGCTATTTGACTTCAGGATAAAATATGGACGCCTCATGACTATATACAAAATTTCCAAGTTATTTTTGTTTACTTCACTACCAGCAGCACATTCAGAAAAAGAATTATAATATTTAGTATGATATACTTTTATTCATTATATATATTACATCTCAGTTGCATGAAAAAATTCTTTATTGAAGGGAAACGACGTATTTTGTGAGTCTTGAGCGGCAAAATGTCTTCCAAAATGAGTAAAAACTATGTGGACTCTGTTTGATTTATTTCCGGAGTTTATTAAATTTAGGGTCAAAAAATGTTGTTTATCTAGTAAAAGGCATAATTAAGCATATGAAGCTTACTTTAACTTTCTATTCGAAGTCAGGATAAAATACGGGCGTCACATGAGGATATACCATATTTCCACGGTATTTTGTTTACTTCAGAAAATTTTCAGACTAAAAATTATAAAATATGCTAAAAATATCAATTTTTAAAACTAAATCAATATATTTTTTGTATTCATAGACTTGGTTTATTTGTCTAAAGTAAATAAAAGAGTTTTAAATAAATATATTAATGATTATTTTCTTGTTATATACAACTTAAACAAAAAAGTTTGCAATTTTCCATGTAATTTAAAATTTCATTCTGATAGCTACAAAAGCAAACTTTTTTAAAAAAAAAAATTGTTTCTTACATGAATTAGGTATAAGAAATCAAAATCTGGTACAAAGAACTCAGACTCAAAATTGTGTTGACTGAATTTATTCCCTTACAGACTGATTTTGTTTATGCCTATACAATTTGTCGGCAAAGATGTATTAATAAAAATATGTTGAAATGTATCAGAAGAAGCCAAATGAAACTGCATTTTCACCTCGGAAAAAGAGGTTCTGCAGCAAAGATTTATCTAGCTTTGGTTAGTAACAACATTGTTTCCTACGTCGGCAAGAAGCTTATCAAGAAAAACAGGCAAAGTTAAATAAAAATCGGTGAAGACAAATTTCAAACATCAATACTCCAACTTTTAAGGACTCTATCGTGAATTTTATAGCTGTCTAGACAACTGATTTTTATAGAGAAATGCATAAAAGAATTTCTAGTACTATTAGCACATTAACAGACACTTAAAACAAAATACCATGCAGATTGCTATAAATTGCTTAAAAATTATCTTCAACTGAATAAAGCTGAACAGAAAGTTAATCCAACAATTTATGATTAATGCAGCAATGGAACAAGTATATGAGTACAAAGACCAGAATGGCGCCTGCCAATTTACGATGCAGGAGCTGAATAACTATCATTACAGAGCATATTCCAGATGAAACAACTATTAGAAAACGACGACTAATATCATGATGACATAGTTAAATAAAGTTTTGGTTCGAATACCAATGTTTTTCAAAATATCAACCATAATGTTTTAACTGAAAATTGGTTCTGTACTGATAAGCTGTATCAATAGGGATTAAACACTGGATTAATTTAGATGAATTTATGTTTAAGTACACTTTTTAAGAAAATAGGGATAATGGTGTCGATTCTGGTATAATTTTCTAAACCTAAACTAGACAACAGTGCATCCTTGTCATTATACAAAATGAAAAGGAGAGACTGAAGTTAAAGATTTAGTTTTAAGTTGAGAGAATCACGCCAGAATCGAAACCAATGATGTGGTAAAGTAAACGAAATTCTATTAAAGCCGCCAGTAAAATAAGTGTCCATTATTTTTTGATTATCTAATCAAAATATAATGGACACTTATTTTTGTCTTTTGTCAATCAACTAACAAATTACGAAGTTAAAGCGCATTAAAGTTTGGAAGTGGGGGTTCGTTGAGTCACTTCTAAGTAAAAATTGTACACATGCGACATTCTAAATTTTACTAGTAAAAATACCACGCGGACCAGGCAGCAGACGGAACTCGAACCCGCACCCTCCTCTATCTGGATGGATGCACTGACTATTATGCTACTGCGGCCCTAATGGCTCTTCGCATTGAGTCGCACTGTCAAACGACTTTTAAAGAAGACATAGCAAAACGAAATGAAATAGAAATACTATTAAGAAAATTAGTACAACAACACTAACCTGATTCGATGTGTCGCACAGTGATCGGTAAACTGCCGGTGGCAAGAGATTCCTGGCGCAATTGACTGTACATCTTCGCAACTTTGTCTTGGTCCATGTTCTGTTGAAAAGTTAGTTAAGTAATTAATGTCGTATTTTAAATTAAAAATATTTTTAAACAAAAAGTAAAACCGACTTCAAAGTCGAAAATGGAACTAAAAAGTAAAAAATAATATCTGGTTCATGATTTGGATTTTATTTTTTACATTTTAGTTCCATTTTCGATCTTGAAGTCGGTTTTTTTTGTTTTTTTTTTATTTCATCAATTCACTAAAACAGTGAAAATTACATCGTCCAAGTAAACAATAACACAATTGACGGAGAAATCGGTGAACATACATAAAAAAACATCGTGCGTGCCTTTGAAATTAGTATATGTGTATTTTAACGTTTTTAATAATGTCGCAGTACTGTCAAAGTTCTTACCTGCAGTTTCGGATGCACATTTTCCCTAGCATACACGATGTATTTCTTGAGTAAGTCTTGTGGTAGAATAAACTCTGGATCTGGGGCATTGGCGTCGTCTAAAGCGGTGCCGCGTTGTGTCGGGTGATGGCGTATGTGGGAACTGACTACGAATCTGTATGAAATGAGAGAGATTGTTGTAGATTTTTGATGAAAATGGACAACAGTTTGATACTTATTTTAGGAACTGAAATAGTTTAATATAGGTGACGAAAATTGGATTGTTGTGGAAGAATAAACTCTGGATCGGGGGCATTGGCTTCGTTTAAAGCGGTGCCGCGTTGTATCGGCTATCGGGTGATGGCGTATATGGGAACTGATTACGAATCTGTGCGGGACGATGGAGCTTGTGTAGATTTTTTTGGTGAAAATGTGTAATAGTTTGATGCTTAATTTGAGTATGAAATGGATATTAGTTACAAAAATTATTATAGATAAAAAAAAACACGCGGGCCAAGCAGCAGGTGGGACTCGAACCCGCACCCTCCGCTATCCGGGCGGATGCACCGACCATTATGCTACCGGACTAAGACTGGCGAGCTGCATACCATACAGAAAAGATAAGACATATTTATTACAATTGTGGGTGCATAAATCACCTACTAACTAAGGTCTACTTGCAGCAATATTGCTAAACCTCAATTTAACTCAAACTAGATTCATCCCATACAATAATGTCAAATCGACATTTTTAATTAGATTAAATCTAGCGTTTGTTAAATCGAAATTTAGCAAAATTGCTACAAGTGTGCCTAAGTATTAAATTTGTGATGAGAGAGAGAGAGGGAGAGAGAACCATTTTATTGACCAATAAAAACCCACAAACATATAATTATAAACAGCTGAAATAACAACATATAAATAAACATTGATAAACCTAACAGTTACAATATTGGTCAATCAGGACCCTACCTAAGCAAAGTGCTGCCGTGAAATGTAACTAAACGTGTCACGTCAACGCTGGTATTCTGACAGGGCCTGTATGGTGCACGGTGTTCCGGTATACAAATAAATTTAATAAAGAACACGAATACAATTATAATTAGATAAAAACATACATATTGCATAAGTGTAAAAATAAACAGGTAACTAAAAATATTATTCTGTGACTTGACTTGTCTGTCACTTTCTACTATTCAAATAATTTATACTATTTAATTTAAATAATTAGGCAGGTACTCAAAATGAGTACTATGTCTTCTTAAAAATGTACTTACTTAGCCAAATGCGCGTCTTGCATAGGGTCCGCTTCGTCCCTCACTACGCATAATACGTCGAAACGTGACAGGATCGGTTCGGACAAGTTAACGTTCTCCGAGAACGTGAGGGAGGCGTCGTACCGCCCGCCTATTGGGTTGGCCGCCGCTATAATTGAACATCTGCGAATAGTTTGGATAAGATCAGTATTTATTTATATATTTTTTTTATGTTAAAAGGATGGCAAACAAAACAAATAAAACCAATATAATAATAAAGTTAATGACTGTAAATAATCGGTTGTGTGTTTGTATTCGATTGCTAGTTGTTTGAACTTGTTTCTCAAAATAATAAATTTGACCAAAAATACTAGAATTATCAATATTTGACAACTCAAATTACTTAATACATCATATAATCTGATAGAAGCTTTAATTTTTCATGTGCAGATAATGTGTTATATTTAGTTACAACTATGGACATTTTGTGAACTTTTATTCTGTCCCAACCTGATAAAATTGTCTCACTTATAAAGGGAATTGAGCTCCAGAGTCTCATTTATAAAAGTAAACATCGAAAAATTCGTAGAAACCAAATCTCATTTAACCAGGTTCGAAAAGTCCCATTAACAGAGGTAATTCGATGAAAAAGTGCCGGGACCTCATTGTAGTTCTCAATAATAGAGGTTTCTCACGTATCCAGGTTTCACTGTATTAGATTATTTTTATAGATCTTGATGGCGAATAACGGTAGGCAACCAACCACTAAACATGACAACACCGAGCTACAGGCACTCAGTGTTACCTTATTTAGCGATCGGCTACCTACTCTTACTTTCATTGATCACAGAAAGAAAACGATCACTGGCTCCTCTCAGTCACTGGTACCACTATCTTAGGTAAAAATCTAACTAATATTATAAATGTGAAAGGTTGTATGTTTGTTACTAAATCACACAAAAACTATTTAACGGATTTGGATGAAAGGAGATTGCTCAGCTTCCATACATGTTTGGCTTAAAGACCAATAATCATGAAAAAATGTTTCCTAGATTCGAAATTATATATAAATTACTGTAGAAACGAATATTATTGACGGACACCCCTGAGAACTTCTATAAACCATATACACTGAACATATTAAAATAATAAAAAACAAATAAGTTATATAGTAAACTAGGGAAATCAAGCCAAGTATCGAAATTATGGATTAGATTCAGGTATATAGAGCATGTAGATTAACAGATAGTTGCCTGTTTTTAAAGTAAATGCATAAGAGTAACTTTTAAAATCAGGTGTCATTTCTGGTTATAATAAGGTACTCTGTGACAGAAACTGTGTGATGATTGTGAATGAGCCACAGATTAGAGAGAATTTTTAAACTTTCGTTAACCAAAGAGAGCTAAGAGATTTATGTTCTATAGCCATATATTCAGTAGCTTCATTATTTTTGTTATGTTTTTAAGATATTTTTAAGATTTTTAGTGTATCACACCTTATAATTTTATTTATTTATTAATTTATGGCCAGGGAACGTAGGCCCATAGACAGATACCTTAAAGTCTAACATATATACAGATTATAATGTGTTTATGGAGATGTTTGGCGAAAAATGTATGGCAATAGACTTTATGATGTCGCCCACCATCTATAATAATTGTCTGAGCACATTTGCATGTAGTGAAAATGATAATATAGTTGTGGATATTAATACCAGTGTAATAAAAAAAAATATCGATCTTTACAAAATAGATTTGTTTTTATGTTATATAAACAACTTCGATCAGTTTTTGGCTGAATGTTACTCTACACCCATAGACATTAAAAATGTTTCGTATGTTTTCCAAACCGGTAAAATTAAAAGTCCTTTTTAAAGTTAATATATTATACAAAGGTGTCCGTCGAAATCTAATGACTGTAAATTCAATTATAAATTACGCCAAGAATTATGTCAATATTTTTTGTGCATTTGGGCCAATTTGAGCAATCTCCTTTAGTACGCATATAGTTTATGACCTAGATTGAGACATAGGATACTTTTTATTCTAGAAAATTGTTGCTGTGGGATTCTTAATAATTGAACGCGACTTCGCCCACGTGAACTTAACGCGTACGAAGTGGCGGACGGCCGCTAGTTTATTAATATTAATTTATTGATGTGTACATCTTTGCTCTCGCTTTCCTGCAATTTGTGGGAGTGATTTCGTGAAATGGGACGGAAGTGTGTAACAGGAAGTCGCGAAAGCGCGCGCTATTTGATTTGATTTTAGAACATAATGTTCAAATGGCTTACCCTTTTGTAGTAGGTTTTATTTCTTTTTTTTACTAATGTAAGGTGATGTTTCAAATGTTACACATCATACGCGACTACTGTAAAGCTCGCTCGTTTTTTTTATATTGGGATCGATGGCGAAGTGGTCAGCGCTTTCGGTCTGCGACTTTGGTAGTTAAATAACTATAGCAAGTACTTATAAAGATACTAGTGGCCGCGACTTCGTCTGCGTAGTTCAAACGATTCTCCATACAAACTTCCACTCCCCTTTTCACCCCCTTTAGGGATAAAAACTACCCTATGTCCTTTCCCGGGACAAACTATATTCAGAACAAATTTATTCTAAGTCGGTTAAGCGGTTCCAGCGCGAAGAGATAACAGACAGACACGTTCGCATTTATAATACTAGCCACCGCCCGCGACTTCATCCGCGATAACTAATATTTTTAATATTAAAGTTAATTTATAAAATAATGTAATGAAGTGAACGATGCCTCTTTTAGTTACGGAGATAGTGCGGTACTAGTAGTTAAAATATAGCGCCTTTTATCGGCATTATTCCTTTCTACGGGAATTTAGAAAACAGCATTTAATAATTTACTAAACATATTTTTACCCACCTGTGCATCTATATGGCGCAAGTGGATAGTGCATTCGGTTGCGATCGTTGAAGATAAGCAACTTTCGCAGTGGTCGGTCATTGGATGGGTGAAAAAAATTTACTATATCTCACTTCTCCGTGCTTCAGAAGGCACGTTAAGCTGTTGGTTCCGGCTGCATCTTCAGTCGTTAGCACCCACCAATCCAAACTGGACCCGGGGACATTAATAGGCTAATGATGATATTCACCTATGGAACAGAACAAAAAATTACCTAGATAAGTGAAAAAAAACTTAAAAGTTAACTCACCTAGCGTGTAATGAAGTGACGATGCCGGCTTTAGATATGGAGATAGACTGTTGCTCCATCGCCTCGTGTATGGAAGTACGGTCTTGATCGTTCATTTTATCGAATTCGTCGATTAAACACACGCCCCGATCGGCCAGTACTAAAGCACCAGCTTCTAAAGTCCAATCCCTGGGGATGATGGGGAAATTAATAAATAAATAAAAAAAAATCCAACATTCACACCAATTAGCCTAGCCCCAAAGTATGCACTGTAAGGCTTGTGTTATGGGATGCTAGGGTAACAGATAGAATACATATATGGACACATAAATAAGTTTATTTATATAAAAATACATATTATACATCCATGACTTATGTACAAATGCTTGTATTCATCACACAAACATCTGCCCCCACCGGGATTCGAACCCGGGACCTCTCGACGAAGGTCGTACATATCAATCTTACGCTGTTTATTACTTACTTTAAAACTAATAATATCCACTTTTAGATTGTGGAAGAACGTATTATTATTAATATTCTATGTTATATATCGGAATAGGAAGTCTACTCTGTTTCTCTGAAATGAACGAAATTTTTGTTTTATTTTTTGTAGAGTATTTTTACCTCAGAAACGTGCGAACTCATAATAGAAATTATATTTTTCGTTCAAATAGAGATTATGGGTTAGTAGAATCCGGATAGAATGAAAGCTGAGCGAAATCAGCACACAGGTATAAATAAGTAAAAAAAAATTGGGAAACAGCAGCCCATATCACCCATTAAAAACCAACCCACCCCATAAAAATCTGGATAAATCCTGATAAAAACCCCTACTCTAAGATCACAATGAAATTGCTCAGTTTCCGAGAAAAATAATTACTTAAATACAGTTTTTTACCTTGTAGTGGGATTCTTTCGGACATATGCAGTCAGACCGACTGCACTAGCGCCTTGCCCAGTGGTGAAAATGGCCCGAGGTGCTATCTAAATACAAATAATGTCAATTTGATTAAACTCCCTTAAATAGACTCTAAATCTAATATAGTTATCAAAATCTTAGATCTGACCTTTTCTGTGTACTTCAAGAACTGTGATTTAGCTGTTCCTGGATCACCGCAAATGAGAACGTTAATATCACCTCTTATTTTGTGTTTATCACCTGAAAACACGTAGTTTTATATTCGCTGCCCAATATTATGAGATTAGACCATTGAAATTGAAGATAGTAATGGGATTGTCCTTTTATCACGCGGAGCTCAAAAGGGGATCGGAAAAAAATCAAAGGTGAAGTGTTTATGTAACAAAACTAACTTTATATTTATTTCATGCTGCCGTGTCCTGGGTAGGGTACGCAAAGGCAATAGAGCGCCATAAGACACGGTCTGTATAGTGCGATTCAAATAAGAATAGGATAGCCAATGACCTCAATTACGGTTTGCAAAAAAATCTTGGAACCCTTTTTTAGCACTCTGCTAATTCTAAAATATAAAAAAAACATTTGTAAACAAACAATAACAAATACTGATAATTAATATTGGTTATTTTTTTTTTATTTTTCATTTTAATCGTCAACCAAATGTCACTTAAAGTTGCGTTCAGAAACTCGATTTAAAACTTTCGTTTACATAAACGATGTATGTGTGACCTAGTAATGTGCATGATTATTCATAACTACTTCGGCGTTAATACAGAGATGAGCGGAGTTGAAGAGCTAGATTCTGATTAATGTGATTTCTTACACGGTCTAATAAATAAATATTATTTAAAATCGGTTGTTTTTTTTCTCAATCTTAGTAAATAAGTTTTATTAAATAAAAACTTTTTTGCTCAGTCTACCTACTTGGTTTGAATTGACAGCTATGACGCCACAATATGGCGCCGCGTCGGTCCTATTCTTAGTTGAATCGCATTATACACACAACTTTCGCTTCATGCACATTAATTAGGTACTCTATTTTAATGCGATCAAATACGAATACATACGTTCCTACCGTTCTAATAAGAGAAATTACGTCACATCTCATGCCCACTGCTTGTCCTTATAGCGTTGTATTATGTAAAGCGATTGATGGAAAACGGGCATTAGGCTCGTATGAGAAAATCAATTAATATTTTTCTATATTTTTTTTACTAAACTATATAGCAGTTAAACACTTAATTAACAATAATTAAATTATTATAATTAATAGTATTTACCTGGATTTTTGGGCTCTCCCCCAAACAATGCTAAAGCTAACCCCCTTTTGATGTAATCATGTCCAAAGATAGACGGAGCGATGCTCTGAACTATCCGCTCTCCTATTTGCGGGTCTTTGGATAGTTTCAGTATGTTGGCAACGTCTTCATCTGTAAGCGACTCAACTATGTGCTTGCAATCTTTCACTACTATATAGTTTGCTATTATCACAGTTGCAAATACGGGGAAACCCTGTTGAAAGAATGTTGTTGTAAATAGTAATAGTAATGATGTAATTTTGTGATGTAGAAAAATATAAAAAAAATATTAATATTTAAGGATTTAATTTAGATTAAAGTCGAAAATTCGTTAATAACTCTCTGAGACCTAGTTCGCAAGTGTTTATTCGAGCGGGTACAATAGTTTAGTTATGCATTTGCGCTTTTTTAAGGCAGTGATTTTTTTATGGGCATTATTGTATTGAAATCTCCCAGAGATTTCAATTTTAAATATTGGAAGAAAGGTAGAAATCAAAAGTTAAGGACGCTATCCCCTCGTCTGTGTTAGTAGTGGATGATTTCTGCCACGAATTGAAAAAAAACATTTTCATATTGTCACAAACGTTCTCAAAACAAAGCCGCGAAAATACTGGAGACCAATTTAGCCAGAACGACGGGGGTCGCAAAGTGAAGAATGTTCGGGATAAGGATTTAGTGGTGCGGCTCTTTCTCTTAATATGAGCATTATGCAGTGCGGCGTAATCATCTGCATTTGTTTACAACTTATGCGCGTTACCTACATATAACACGTATCTATATGTGTGCTACTTAACTCTCAATTGAACTGGACTTCATATTTTTTATTTTGTAAGCATGTAACTGCTCGATGTTTAAATATAAAGACTTTTCTGGAAAGCGTCGATAGGCGAATATAAGCGCGTCCATCGCCGCGCAGTGGACAGTTAAGTTTCAAAGCGATTACAGTTGAGTTTCAACAGCGATATCGAAACGAATACAAAGGCGATCAAAGTTCAAGTAAAGTGTTCAAGTGCGATTGTTTAAAGACTTGTACAGTGTATACTGAGTGTAATATTGTGTGTTTAAGACAGAACTGTGTGATGAATAAAGAACTGTCAAGTGTGATCTGGCATTGAATTTCGAACCCCATCCCGACACGTAACAATATGTATCACATAATATATGCCATAAAACAAAAAAAATGGGAATTGAAGCGATGACGGGTCATTAATTGTATACGAAAACTTACCTGCTCAGTGTTAAGTGAACCATCATAATTATTAGTATAGATGCCAGTGAGGTCCACTTCATCTCCTGGTTTACAACGATCACATAAATCAGCCAGCAATATGCAATCTTTGCTACGTGGAATTCGGCCAGCGGGAATCCGCCCTGGAGATTCCTGGATTGTTACTTTCTGATAGTTACGGTACACCGTTTGTTCCATATTCACCTGAAGAATTAGATGTGGGATTAAAGCAAATTTCCTTTAGTTCTTAACTGCTTCACTTACAAGGTACAAGGGTTACATTTCTCAGAGGTTTAGAAAGAATAACATGGGAAATGAGACAGACATAATCAATATCCCATAGCTACCTATATAGCTTGCCAATTAATGTTTGTTTGTTACAGACAGAAAGATGCACGAGTATTTAAGTTTATCAATTAAAATTTCTGATCTATCCAATTCATCTTTTCTCAACTTCTTATCGTATGTGACAGATAGACTTCTAGGTGTTAAAATTGTCAGTGAAATTGTTTAATTTTTAAGTCTTAGTAAAACTTTATCAACATCTTTAAACTGAAGAAAGTAGTGTATTAGTTTTTCATCAATTACCATGAAAGGTCCCGAGCTCTGACACTCTGGGCAGGAACCGGGCTTGACTTCCGAATTCTGAGATTGCACAAACGGTCCCAGAATATAACCGCATCTATTACAATCATATTTCACAACAGAAAGTTGAGGCAAAACTCCCGTTGTAGCCGTGATAACTCCCACTGTACGAACTAATTGATTCAAATGGAGTTTCCTAAAAGTCCTTAATTCCTCAATCAGAGGCAAATCAGATATTCGAACATGAATCTCCGAAGTCACTCTTTCGTAACTTGGGAAAATTTGCAGTACTATGTCTTTAGCGACTTCGTCGAATATTTGAAGCATTTGGAATGGCGCTTCGGGCAAGAAATAGGCGAGGACTTGTTCTCTTCTTGCGAGGACATCGAATTCTACATGGAATGATGCTTGGTTGTGTTCACACATTCTTCTGATTCTGTCTTTATACACAAACTGGCCTTTAGTGTTAGTGTATGTGCGAAGGAAGTTCTTGAACCTAAAAACATATTGAAATAATATATAATCAAGAAAAATTTAATCAAGAAAAAAAACACATTGTTGAATATATTTTAAATAACCTGTCAACTGATGGAGTCATCTAGCACCAAACCATAATGTCTATATATTAACCATTTCCACAACTTGGAACAAAATTAAGGTTGAAATGTTATTAAAATCACACGATTTAGGTATCCTACTTGTATCTGCGACTCGTTTCATTAATAAGAGTTGCATAAGGATTAAAAACTACAATATATATGTAAAAACCATCCGTATGGAACTGCACAAGGTGGAGCAGCAGTCTTTAGTAGATCGTAGATAGACTGAGGTAGCTCATGTTGATCGATAGAACAACATGAGCTACCTCAGTTCCAAATAGAACATATTCAAGCAACCACGGTAAATATCCGAGATAGAAATGGCCATTTCAATACTTCGTCAGCATCTTGTCCCCTAAAGTACAGAATAACAGAGGCACAGTTCACTGCATACATCATAAGTCTAGGCCCTCGTTTCATAGCTGGTGGAGACTGAAACTCGAAGCATCTGCATTGGGGCTCAAATTGGGACAAATTGCCACGCGGGGCAGGGAACCTTAAAAGTGTATTGATAGACATCACATTACTGACCTGACTGAACCAAGTAAATTGTCAGATGTCTTGGACTTTTACTTAATTAAGGGACTCTCTAGATTCTTCTACCAAATCGACTCCTGCCTAGATAGATCCTCAAACCACATCCCTATTATACTTACAATCAGTGCCAACGTTCTGAAGAAACAGAGTAAACCTAGGCTGATGATAAGCGGATAAATTGGAGACTATTTCGATCTCTGTTTAAGGATTCTCACTCGAGTCAGCATCCCTAAGATAAAAGGGCATTTAATAATTTTAGCAGCAGCAGTTAGCGACAATAGGTTTGCCGCACTTGAGGCAAACCTATTGTCGCTAACTGCTGCTGCAAAAACTGACTACTCCCTCTTTAAAGCATGCAAAAGCATGAACCAGACAATAAACCCAAAACCGCTTAGTTTAGCTTCTACAGCAAAAAGAGAACAAGTGGGACAGAACTAAAAAGGAAAAGTCGATAGCGTTCGCTGCTTACCTTGCCAAAGTAATTGTACCAAATGAAGCCACTACAGGTTTTAAAGATCTTGACTTAGACGACCTCCTCCAAAAAAACTTCCAACTTGATCTTCCTTTAAAAGTAGTGACCCCAGGAGATGTGACAAGAACCATCAGCTAACAAGACATTAAAAAAGCCCCAGGATTCGACCTCATAGACAAAAAGGTCCAGTCAGAGCTTCCGCGTAAAGCAAAAGTATACCTTACTACTATATTTAATTGTATCATCAGAACATCTTACTTCCCTGCACTGTGGAAGGTTTCACAAGTAATAATGATTCATAAACCTGGAAAGCCCGCTCACGAAATATCATCCTACAAACCAATTAGCTTACTTCCAATGAAACCTCTACGGTTCTAGGAAAAATATTACTACGACGACTCTCACGTGCTATGTAAGAAAACTCCGTAACTCCAGGCAACCAATTTGGATTCAGACCTGAGCACGGCATCACTGAACAAATACACAGTGTGCAAACAAATTCGTTACTAGTTTAGAGAAGAAAAATAATGCTCTTCGGCGTTCCTTGACACTGAAATGGCCTTCGATCGGGTATAGCATTAACACATTTAATTTACGTAAGATAGAAATTGGAGAGGTCCAAGCACAGAACCTTGAGCCGTGCCCTCTGTCACTGTCATTGATTCGCTGTACGGATCACCTATGCGCTCGGCAAATTTCCGGTTTTGTAGATAATTCGTACACCAACTTTGGAGCGGTCACACCCCTCAAGTATTTAACTTTATAATCAGTTGCCTGTAGTTTAACGTATCAAATGCATGCGAAAATTCAATGAACAGAATCAAGACGTGTTTCCTTGCGTTAAGGCACTCATTTAACTCATCCGTAAACTTAAGTTACAAATTATTAGTGTCTTTCCGAACTTAAAATTGGTAACGATAAATAACGTCGTGACTTTGGTAAAAGTTGTGTATTTGTTGGCATACACATTTTTCGATAGAAGGCAATTGGCCGATAATTTGGCAGTACACGTCTTCCTTTCTTGTGTTATTGTTTTATACACCCTACCTTCAATTCATCTGGATAAGTACCCGTTCTAACACTCAAATCACCCATATACGCTGTTGCTCTGCCACTCATGAGAACAAACATGCATAATCATATATCACATACAGTACACTCACTAACATACGCCGCACACACACAAACACACATACACACACGGTATAAAACAAAAAAAATACACAAACACAAATATAGAATTATGTATTTCAATTTAAATGTTTTCTTATTTTTGGTTAGTTAGGTACTTAAGATGGTTTCAATAAGGCTAAAATTTTGTGCATCCCCATGACAAATTTATATCATGGAAGGAGTCGCTGACGGTTGTGACACAGTTAATACTAGTACAGCCGTCAACGAACCTCTTATATGTGAAATATATTTAAGATTTAATTCCTCTAATTAGTATATAAGAGCAATTGTAACTTTAAAGATAGATAAACCATTATTATTATTAGGTTCGAGATGGCCAAAGCTATATCAGGTTCTGTGTATTGAATATTAGAAACACTTACTTTATCTGGACCTGGAGCCTTTTTTAAACTTAACTTCTTAACTATTTTTTTAAATTTGATCATTGGTGGCATTTTGAAAATATACACAAGAGTTTACAGATTTATTACATATAAGATTTATGTAATTTAAATTTACATTTCGGTGTTATGTCATTTACAGCGTATTTTTTATCTAATTAACAGCTTACCTATTAGCGATTTCTGTTCTGGGTCCCAACATTGAAACCCACTCTTTCGTAGTGTAACCTTTAGTGTCTTCTAGATTCTCAATACTTTCTATACCCTCTTCAATCTGTTCATCGGTGCCCATGGCAGCTTTCTCGGCTGCACGTCTACGCTTCGCATGAGGAGCATCGCCATGTTCCTCATCAGATTCATCTGGAATGAAAGCAGTAAAAATAAATATTATTCAAGCTCTGTCTTAGTTATAGGGCAGTGGTTCTTAACCAGACACCCCTGGAAGCATCCTAAGTTGGAAAAAATATTAGATAAGTAAGAATGCACAAGTATATTACCTTCAAATAATCAGGGTTGTATTTACCATCCGAAAAGGTCCTGTATTTACCATACAGGGCGTCACACGGCTACCTCACACGGAGGGAAAGTATATTAAATATTGAAGATAGGATATTTTACTGAAAGAAAACATCATTTTATTTTTAATAATAACAAGAACTGCATTAAGAGATTTTTTTAAAATCACCTGCTTCAACTGGGAATCAAACTCGTGAAATTTTGAAAAAAAAAAACAACATATTTTATGATAACCATATCATAAGGATTGTTTTTTGCTAAATAACATAGCATTTTAAATGGAAGGAATGTCTTATTACGTGATAAAAATAATAAAGTGATATACAAACTGTAGTACGTATGCATTTCTTTTTGAATTCACAGTTACAATGCGATTGGCTGAAATTTATAAAAGTAATAATTCAAAAATGGAACACATAAATTTTCAAGCGTCTGTTCTTTTGTTTTTTTGTGAGTTTCATTTTCGCTTATTTGCTATTTTTTTGTTTATTTACTTACCATGGTGTATCAAAATATAATAGATTTAATGGAAGCTTACTTCATGAACCATAAAGATATATTAGCTTTGCGTTGGTATCGCGAAATATATCCTCAGGCATTGTCCTAATACTACGCGATAACGCGATCTTCGCGCGTTTAAACGATGCGACCATCGCGTTATCGCGAACTGGGTGTCCTAATAGAACGCGAATACGGAACGGGTTAGCCCTGCCCCTCTCCCCGCTTCCTATCGACGCGACGCGATCATCGCGCGAACTTCAGTTAGGACACCTATTCATCATTAATAGGTTTTATTGCGCGTTCGCGCGAACTAACATCGCGCGAATAGAGTTTTAAACATTTTAATCGCGCGAATGCATCGCGCGATCGCCTTGTAGGACACCTATTCTAGATCAATATGTTTGATCGTCGACTCGTACGATGATCGCATCGCTCATTCGCGTTATCGCGTTGTATTAGGACAATGCCTCATAGAGACCTTCTCGATATGTAAGAAATACTTTAAGAAATTTAGGACGTTTTGATATGCGCTTACAGAAACCACAGCAGCGGATGATAAACGTCAACGATGATAAACTCAACATTTTAACTAACTTTGAGACTTATCCAATTTTAAATTAGTTTGTGTTAAATAATTTTAAATAAAATGTTAAATTTAATTACTTTTCTTTTATTTGAAATGCGATGATGAACTCAACATTTTAACTTACTTTGAGGCGTTTCCAATTTTAAATTCGTTTGTGTTAAATAATTTTAAATGAAATGTTAAATTTAATTACTTTTCTTTCATTTGAAATGCTATGTTAATAAGCAAAAAATAATCCTTTTCGATGGTTATCATAAAATACGTGGTGTCTCTTTTTCGAATTTTCACGAGTTCGATTCGCAGTTAAAGCGGGCGATTTAAAAAAAACTGTGTATGCAGATCTACTTATTTTTAAAAATAAGTCTTCTTTCAGTAAAATATTCCATCTTCAACATTTAATATACTTTCCCTCCCGTGTGAGGTAGCCGTGGGACGCCCTGTATAAGCATATTAATTTACTATTCTAGGGTGCAAATCGTAAGTTAATTATCATGGCAATCAGACATTTTATAAATGATCCCTCATCACTAGAAGGTTAAGAACTACTGATTTAGGGACTGATTTTCTAATACCATGGTAAACAACTACTGTATTACATAGACCAAAATACCTGCGTTTGTATTTGCATTGCAGAGGTGATGGATTTTTGGTCACGTGATCACAGATTAATATGAGCATATTGCTATCCGACGGACCAAAGATTAATTTCTAACCCCAAACAGAAACTAACCTTACAACATGAATGATAACATATTAATCATTCTCAACCTTTTCTCATCAGTCAAAATCCTCCGAGCAAACAAATTTACATCGAACTGAACTGAGCGGAATTACCAAACGCTTTAGATTTGCTCTAGATGTAATAAACAAACGATTCAGACTAAAGAGATTGATCAGACGAAAAATACTGAACTCAGATATGTGTTCATGTTCATTTTCAATGTTGCAGTTTGATTGGGTGGTAATTTATTCGGCAGAAAAGTTTTACCAAACTTTTCCAAAGTTGAAAAATGTACCATAAATACACATAGTAAATAATAATAAAAAATAAAATTTCTAAATTCACATATGCGTTATTTGAAATAAAACAAAGCACAAATACAGAAACGGCGCTCGCTGCCTACTATGCATATGCTTATTCCTGGTTAAAATACGGAATAATACTGTGGGGAAACAGTGTAAATGCGAATTCACTTTTCCTTATGCAAAAGAAATGTGTAAGGATAATATCTCAAATAAAAAACACACAAAGTTGTTGACCATATTTTATCAAATGCAAAATAATGACATTGGTATCGATTTATATATATGACCTGTGTATATTATTAGTTGCTAATAATATTAATTCATTTAAAAAAATAGAGGATACTCATAATATAAATACCCGACACAAAAAAAGATTACACTTTCCACCATCCAAAACAAAACTCCTTAACAGCAGTCCATACTATATGGCTATTAAATTATATAATAAATTACCCCAGTATATTAAAGACGAAGAAAAACATACAATGTTCAGTAAAAAATTAAAAGATTTCTTAATTAATAACTGTTTTTATAATATTGATGAATACCTTAACAATGAAATTAAATAATTGACAGTATACTAATATTGAAAATAATAATATAACAAAAACTGTACATTTTTTATTAATGTACAGTTTTTCAATCGATGCAATATATATTTAAATAATTGTTTATCAAGTTATAATAGAACATCAAATATATATATAAATAAATGCATATCAATTTTATGTTAATGATAAAAATAATGAAATGTAAATATTTATTTAATGTTATGTCTATTTAATCAGGACAAATAATGAAATAATATATAAACATAATTATCACATGTGTTACTATTGTTTGTTAGAAATTAAGAAAATTTGCAATGCCCTTGCAGGGCTCATGTTGTGAATCTTTATTTTAAATTTAAGAACCCATGTATGTACCAATATGAAGCAATAAAGATTATGAGTATAGTTAATATCACAAGACATTGCAAAAATCTATATGTTTTCAATAGGAAATAAATTTTAATTTTTCAACCATACTTAAGTCCCTATGAAGACGGAACTAGTACTTATCATATGGGTTTGGCTCATTTATGGTATTAGTAACTAATATATTGATATATTGTATACATAACAGTAAGCAATGGATCATAGTAAATAACTTATAATTTTTTTTAATAATTTATTAACTTTTTTAAGCCCATAACTGCAAATTATAAATTAATTTATGTGTGTTTCTTGTTTCTGTCATGCATAGCTACAATGCTATTTTAACAAATATCAATAGTCCAGGAAATGAAGCTAAAAAAATTGGATGGTTTTCAAGGATGGATCCAGCATGGATTTGTACAAAAATTTGGGATTACGCTTATTTCACCCTCTAGTTCCTTTTCTATATTGTGCTGTTGTACGCTTTTTGCTTTTAGGGGAGAAAACTACCCCTTATTATCATAAATTATCAAATAAAATTAATAACCTAAATATGGGTAAACATAGTTAAAAAATGATTGTTTCATGCTTTAGGATACAATTTCATAATCTTTCAACCTATCCTTGTTATAAACTACCCTTAAAAAAACATTGAAATTTTTTATTCAAAAAAAATGGTCGGTTTTTTAAGCATAGCTGTATAGGTGATAGAAATTTTTTTCAGAAACGAATTTGTGGAGCTTTTCGGGAGCTATAAAACTATGTGAATTAAAGTACTTAAGATCCCTTAATTTTTAAATGGGGCGAGTTTAAAGCGCTTGAATAAGATGATGTTTGATCGTAAATGTAAGTCGGTAAATTTTCTGAGACATTGTTTTTTAATTGTTTGAAAGCTCAAATTAAATACTTTTAAAAGATTCTATGAGCTTTCTTCGAATAATGCAAATTTTTCTCGTTATTTCGCTGTAAATCTTCCAATTTATGCATTTGACGAAAAAAGCTAAGCATTAATTTGCTGTATCTTAGTTCATATTTGTCATAGAAAACTTTAATATAATAAAAACATTTGATTGATTCTGGTCCTAACCACTGGATTGAGTTTCATAACCCACAGATTATCTCGACAGAACGCCATTACACACCAAGATTGGCCAGGGAAGCAATTGAAATAACAAAACATAAAAATTTCAATCGTGAGGACGGGTTAAATTGTCATGTGTCTGGAATCCTGTGGTTCGTATGTGTAAAACCGGAAATAACCAAAAAAGTGTTGTGTCGCGATCCGTTACTGTAAGTATTGTTGTGTGTCGAGAACAGTTTCGAGTGAATAGTGAGAATGTGAACAGTGGTATGGGTTTCAAACGCAATAAAAGACTTTGTTAGAGGGTAGACCGATATGTCTGCCAATAACAGCTTACCAGCAATTACTCCGTGATCATGGCGCTTGCAACAGTGCCGAAATATCGGAAGCTCGCTAAAAACAAGGTACATGGTAACAATCCCATAAATAACTTATATAGTGGCCATGAAAGTTTAAAACAATATATTGTCATAGAAAAATTATAAAAAACGCAATGTTTTCGTTTTTTTAAAAGCTACAATTTGACTATCTACAGTTTATTTGATAAAATATATTTTTAGAGTTATTCGCAAAAAACCATTTAAAAAAAGTAAATTTTTTCATCAAAATTCTGTTACATTCAACTTTGAATAGCTCAAAAAATATTAATTTTACAAAAAAACGTATATAACATTTTTTTCTTAGAATTACATTTTCCGTCGATTCCTACAGTTAAAATGTAAAAAAAAAAATCCAACCCCGAGATGGGGTGGCAACCACCCCCCAGGCTAACAGCGGCATGATATAGAAAATGATCCTTGAGCTGTTCTGCTGTGAAAAAATTGCAAGCCATGCTTCATTTCCTGGACTACAACTTTTGTAAGTTATGTGCATTAAAATTTCCAAAAAAATACCAGACAAGTCCAAAGTCAAAAACCATTAAAAATTGAAAAAAAAACACTTAAGGCCCTCATGCATTCAAGAATACTTAAATAGGAATTTATCTGTGTAAATAAATTCAAATAGTACCTATATACCTTATGTAAATGTGTATACATCTGAAAAAATAGGATCAAGTACTGTACTTTAACATTAACACCCATATTTTTATGTTACCTTGTTCCATACACAATAAAGATGAGGATTATTATTACATTATTTAACTAATTCAATTCTTATCTAACAATAACCACTATTGTTTGGCTTATAACAATTTTGTAGTGGCATCCAAAAACAAAAAATGTTTACTATTGTTTTATAAGTATTCCTCACTGTTCTACAATAACCAAACTTTATTAACATTGTAAAAAATATATCATAAAGTAATAATGCTACTTACCATACAACAAGCCACGGTCATCTCTCCGATGCCTTCCTTCATCCCGATCTCTTCGACGCAGCTCTTGCTCAGCAGCAACACGATCTTCAATAGACATAGGGTCATAATCTTCTTCATCAAGATCTTCATTATCATAACGGTCAAGTGCTGGCATTGGTCGATAATCACTGTAATGAATATTAATGATGTATATAAATTTTGCAAGTATGCCAGTACTTCATCAAATAAATGTTCTCTGAAGTGCAACCCTTATTATGTTTGAGCTTATGCATTATGTAGGACTTTATTTTAAGTACCGAGTGTTCTACCGTTTATGCACTAAACCACAGTAGTGATGATGAGCTGAGTGAAATTAATTATTAATTCAAGATTCTTTGACTGTACTGAACATCCTAAAACTAGGTATAAAGTTAGGGAAAGATGACTATCACGTAACACAACCATAATTGAGACAATCTGACTTACGCTTCCATATTATCATTGAACAATTCCTCCCCATCTTCCTCTTCTTCTTCACGGGCATTATCTCCAAGAATAGCACCTTCATCTTCAAACATCTCATACTCACGGGCCGGTGAAGTCATTCGGGACTGAGCACCTTCTCTATCAGACGGTGTGTCTGGCGCCGGTGAACTCTGAAGTAGCAACACACAATTTGAGGTTAATTAAGTAGCTTACTACAATAGAAATATTTAAAAACAAAAAAGTCATTTATATATTTTAGCCACCTCCTTGTTAACGAGATTTAACAGCCAAGTTAAAACTAAACTTTGTACGAAAGAATACTAACAGTATACTATGAATACTAAGCACAACGACTCTTGCAAAAGTGAACAATACCGAAATGTATTTGATATTTCAAGAGTGAAAACTGATATTCTGCTTACCATTATGATTAAATATTATACACTGGGCACAACAGTTTTATATAAACCGCACTATTTCGATAGATTTCTTGAAAAATCTAAATAAAAACATAAAAAATACAATCATCAAAGCACCACTCACTGACAAAACTGACATGACACCTGTCGAAAAGCGCGCGCTAATTTCCTCAATTTTTTTGGTTAATTTTTAATAGGAAGACAAAGAATTTTAGTCGTACAGTTTACACTCATTCTTTGATTTATACATTGCCGGCATTTTACTTAGATATTAGCGTTTGCTATGGTAAACTTGACATCAATTGTCCAACAGTGTTCATTTCAAAAAAGCTTATCATAAATAACAAAACAGTATTACGAATAAAAGCCGAAAAGCCATGTGATTAAATAAAAAAATTGAAAAAAATGAAAATTAAAAAATTCTGTATTCCGAATATTTATTACTTGTACAATAAATATTCGGAATACAGAGGGGCAGGTTTCTCTTCCTCCTAAATATTTATGTAAACATAAAATAAAAATATTCACTCACAATACATAAAACGTAGGCAACTCCGCGAGTGCCGTGATTCTTCCGAGTTTATTAGACACCAATTTTGCACAACAACGAAACAACACATTATCGATCGTAATTGTTTACCTCCAGTAGTTTTTACGGATTACAAACTTAAAAAGTGGTTCTAAATTTAGCCGTTTCTGTTTTAATGGTAATCTGTTTTCTCTTAAGTTATTGTGTACATAAAACAATATTTTTAATAAAACACCATGAGATTACTATTATCAAAAAAATACAAAATATACTGCAGATAAAGCTGTATAGACTTAGCTTCCTTTGCCCTCATAGAAAGGATAATATTACAAAAACAAACTCTAAATAACCTTACTTACGGGTGTCCACTCTGAAAAAACATCGATGTATTTTTTGATTCGATACATCGCAACTATACATCGATGTCATTCGATGTATCGGATGAAAACATCAATGTATTTTAAACATCGAGTACTTTTTCTGAAATTTTATTACAAAACTCAACTTATGTGTAAAGTGACCCATCTCAAAAGTAGTTTCATAGTAAAAAAAATTACAATTGAAGTTTATGAAAAGACCTTAATCCATAATTTTATTATAGTTTATATATTAATCTTTCATAAAATAATAGAATTAACTCCTTTCATAATGAGTAGGTAAAACTAAATACAAGTAAAAGTCATGTGTCAGAAAAATCTGTATTATATTTTTACAAAAGATCATATAAAAAAACGCTAAATAACCCGCAAAATATTTGCTAAGTCTGTCAAAAGGATATTAGAAATATACTTCAATCTTAATTTCTTTCACAAAACTAAAGGTTATTAAATGTTTATAAACATTGAAACTCGTTTATTTGTTATTTTTTTATTGTCACTGCACTGACTCTTGCGCAGTGCTGCCAACATCGGGTCCATATCAGAGAATTCGGAATAATGATGCTTTCATAATAGTAATAAGTAAAATTTTAGTGGTCAAGCTTAAGTTTTTTTACTGAGGTCAAATCAAAGAGGATATTATCACTACGTGGTCAAACTCTATTACCAATTCGATGTTTCTTTAAAACATCGATGCATCGAGTATATTGAAAGCTTTTCAAAATATCGGATCGATTCGATGTTTTTCATTGCTAACATCGATGTTTATCGAATATCCCTAACCTCACTTTTTTAGATTCGTTCCACTATCAATTTTAAAGAATGTCGTAATGTTGTTGAATATTATCTTGTCTTTATTTTCCAACCAAAAATGGCTAAGTATATAGCACAAATTATAGTTTTGGGTGTACAAGTGGTAGGCAAAGCTTTCGCAAGGGCACTGAAGCAGGAAATAGCAGCATCCCAAGAAGCTGCTAAAAGAGCTGGTGGAGGTCCAGAGGGTGCTAGAAGAGCAGCAGCAAACGCATCTACAGGCTTATCTTTGGAGGAAGCTATGCAAATCCTGAATTTAGACAAACTAGATCCAGAACATGTCAAGAAAAAATATGAACATTTGTTCACAGTAAATGATAAAGCAAAAGGTGGCTCTTTTTATTTGCAATCAAAAATAGTGAGAGCAAAGGAGAGGATAGACGTTGAATTCAAACAAAAGGAACCTAAACAAGAACAAAGTCAGCCAAAAGATTCCTCATGAGACTGCTAGTTAAATGTAGTGAATATTATAATTTCATATAATTTGTAGTTTCATATGGTTTGAAAAAAAAAAGACAATCAGTTTTATAAAATATTTTATTATAGAAAATGACTACCACAAAAGTGACTAGAGTACATCAGTCTTTATAATATAGAATGTTGATTAATGTATCACAAACCAGCAAAAACTGATAAAATTGTTGAGTATATTTGGCAATTACAATGCCAAGGCATGCTTTAGTTATTTAGAATTAATAAATTTGCTAAGCAGAACCATTTTGTATAATTATCACCAATATAAATGCTCTACACTATAAAATAATATCAATTAAATTTGGATAAAAACAGAATATTTACAGTAAATCCGGCAGTATACAATTTATACTTTAAGGTAATACTATACAATTCCACAATGGATATGTAAAAACATACAAGGTTACATCATGCCATCCTATAAGGTGCAAAACAAGTCATCTGCACATTTTCATATAAATACATTTTATCTTTTATTCTAATCAATCTATCAGAAAAACTTTTCATAGGTGGTAGATTGATGATTTTGAGTTGATGTGGTGTTGGAAAAATATTAATAAAATGTGCAAATAATTTGTTTATCTTATAGGAGAAATCTCCACTACAAATAAGCTTATCCTATGAATAATTTGGTATATTTGACTAGAAGATGTTTACTTTAAATACTATGGAAGAAAATAATTTAGCAAAATAAAACATGCTAAAGTACTTCTTCCTAAGAGCAATTAGAAACCGGATGATTACAATAATATCCTCTCTTGTTCCCACTCCAATTCAATCTTATAAAATCCCTGTCTTGGTTTTAAGAGACATTACTAACTTTAAAATCACACTGATGACACATTAGCCATTACCACCTAATTTTAATATATAAATATATGTCAAAGATCATTCAAAAACATCTATGTTGGCTTGACATCCATCAAAACCACTACTTCATATGGGCTGCACTCAGACATACCTAGAGTACTACAGAGCCAACCATAAAAACCTTTTTCGAAATCACACACATCTTTCCACCAATTGGCCCCACTGAATGTCAATTGGACTATGCCAGCATACAAACCTAGACCCACAGTAAATATCACTATCAAGAATGGATATGATAATATAACTATTGGTGATAGTAACATTTTTTTGAAACAGTTCAACTCTTCAGTCACATGAGAAAAAATATTATACCATGTTATGGTACCCATGTAGAATGAGTACAATGCAGAAATACATGCAACAATTGGTGCACAGAACAAACTAAATAAAAAGATATGTAGCCCATTATAAATGGAACATTTTGAGATGTCCATTTTGTTATATTCCTCAGCAACTATTGCTGCTTCGATGATCTCAAGTTCTTCTCTCGAAATATTCAGTTTGACATCAATATTTTGTCCTTTCTTTTTACCTCTTTTGATTGTTCCAGTCATTGTTAAATAGCCATCCTTATTTTCAGCCACAGAGCAATCTGGGGAAAGTGAACCCTCCGATTCAACTTTTAATGCAGTGATCTCAGTGTCTGTGTTTTCAGACTCTAAAATGCCAGAAACAATATTCACTCGTTTCTTTCTTTTAGCACTGTTTTTTAGACTATCTGTCAGATTTCCCATTTCAAAACTGTTTTCAGACTGTGTTTGGGAAAGGCTGTTAGGAGTAGCCGAGGAACTTTCATTAATATCAGCATTTAAAATTCTGCAACTTTTCTGGATATCACTTTCATTGTTTTCTCTGAGATCACCATGACTAGAACATGCGTCAGACGAGTTTTCATATATAGGAGAAAGGTCAATAATCTCTCGGCTACCATGAATTGTAGAAAGAGCATGATAACCATTTTTGTGGCTATTAAGCATTTTTAACGGGTCTGCATTTGCATCATCCATGTCTTCGTCATGTTCATCATTGACAATTGGAAGATTAATTTTCATATTTGCTTTCAACCCTTCCATTGTTGAATGTATAATACCGTTAAATTCATCTTCAGAAACTGGTGACAATCCATTAGTATATTTTGTGTGGAAATCTCCGTCTAGAGCTCCCTGAAATAAAAAAAGCGTTTAGGCTAAACTATAATATGAAATAAAACATCAACACATATTTTAGTTGAAAAGAAGAACGAGTCGAGAAACTCAGTAGCATTCAACATTTTGATAGACTGCTTAAAGTGGATGTGAAGAAAATATAAGAACAAGATGCTTTTATACAAATTTAAGAAAGTAGACCAAAAGAATAATTGTTATAGGTTAAACAATGCAAGTTTACATTAAATAGGTATCTAAATAAAATTAAATTCTATAAATTCAAAAAATCACCTGAACACTTATGATATGGTCAACATTGCTTACTACAGGATTCTGTTTTTTCCCATTTCGTTTCTTGGGTAGTATAAATATCGGTTGCTCTACTTTTGCCATCTTCATTCACCATAAAACTGTAAGACTTATTCAGCTTCTTTATTTCTATTTTTTATTACAAATTAATAAACAGCACAACCATTTTGATTTCGTTCGTTTACTTTCACAGATTAATGTCAGAATTGTCAGATGGTGGTCAGTTTTTTTGGATATTAAGTCCTTCAGTCGTACGTACACATATATACAAATCTTAATCTGCCTTTTTTTAGATTACTGGTGTCGATTCTGACATGATTCTTTAAACCTAAACTTAAATTTGATAACAGTGTAATCTTGTTATTCTCTATACAAAATGAAAAGGAGAGACTGATGTTAAATTTAGTTTTAAGTTTAGAGGATCCTGACAGAATCGATACCGATGTCGGTGTTTCTAATTAGCATTCTATTGGTGTCAATTCTGCCGTGATTCTCTAAACTTAAAACTATATTTAACATCAGCCTCTTACTTTCATTCTTTATAGAGAGATTAACAAGGATAAAATGGTGTCAATTCTGGCACGATTCTCTAAATCTAAACTTATACAATAGTGTGTCCTTGTCATTCTCTATACAGAATGAAAGGAGAGAGACTGATGTTAAAAGTTTTAAGTTTAGAGAATCACGCCAGAATCGTTCCTTGGAGTGTTTGGCACGAAATGTATCGAGTTGGTTTTTTCGATAAGCGTCTGTGAACCGGAATAGCGTATATTTTATAGATTCCACTAATTCTTCAGTTGCACAGATGGTTGTAACACAAAATCACACCAATTTAATTTCACATTATCCACTTTAATAAGACGCCAACCGCACTTGATGAAATCCCGCCTAAGGGTGCGGCCAGAGTGCACTCAGATTCAGATTCAGATTCTGAAAACAAGCGCGAGAAATAAACAGTGTAGTCTAAGCAGGTTGCCTGCTTTTTCTCGCGCTTTGTTTTCTGAGTCTGAATCTGAATCGGAGTGCACTCTAGCCGCACCCTAAAACTCCATGGTGGTCAGATGTCAATCAGTGTTGCAGGATATAGATTGGAAAATCAATGGTATCGAATCTGGCATGACCACTTGTATTTATTTATATAAGAGTTTTTTTTATAAATTTCTTTATATTTTAGTATAAATGCAAGAGAGCCAATCATTGTGGCCCCCCACAATGATTGGCCCTCTTGCATATATTCTAAACATTATTATAGATTGCCAACATTATTATAGATTCCCGTAAGTATCGCAAGATTGATTCGAAACCAAAAGTACAACTAGTTTTCGAAACAAAAGTATCGAATGATTCATTGTGTAGGCCTATTCGTTATTTGCTTTTGACAGAAGGAAAATGCGTAGTCTGTGGAAGTGATAATCACACCGCGCTATTTAGTGATCCACCATTGCTTTATTATAACGCCAGTACGATACTTGTTCTGAAAAGCATCGATGGATATGCAATTTTCTCTTCAGTTGAACACTGTAAACGTCAAAAAAGTTAGCGAATAGCGAAACTCGAAAGGCAAACCAGACGTCCAGTCAGACAGATTTTTGTTTACCTTTTAACGCACCAACCATTTGTTACACATAGATTGGTTACAAAGAATAACAATATGCTTAAGGTAACCCGTAAAAATAACTATGTATAGTTTATGTGATAAGTATGGTATTCATTGTAGATAAAGTGTTCTTCCTGATTATTTTTATCATAACCTCAATTCTAGGGTATGGTAAGTTTGGTTACCGGAGGAGCATCAGGGCTTGGAAAGGCGACCGTGGAAAGGTTGATTAAAAACGGTGGGAAAGTCGTGATACTTGACATTCAGGCTACGAGAGCACGAGAAGTAGCTACACGTATCGGTGGCGATGTTCTCGTCTCACCCGGCTGTGTAAGTTTTTCCTACTTACTTTTAAAATATGATATAGTGCAGTACGATAATGTGCTGTCAGCCAGAGGTCAAGTTATCCAAAACCGGCAAATTCTCGCCTCCTATTTCTAAAAATAAAAATAAATTCTCTCGTGAATGTATTGACTGAGTTTTAGTAGTAACTTAATGTGCGGGTTTTTAATTTAGTACTAACTAAATGTCTGTACCTATCTACTTTGTTAATAAAGCAGTAACTTATTTAAAAAAAAATGTGCTTATACAGTATTTTTTACAAAGATATTTTGGTAAGGAACAACAAAAAAAATCTGAGCAACTAAATGAAAGAGATGAAACTTGTAGGTCAATTTCGCCTTAATTAAAGGTTAATAGAATAATTGATGTAATTATTTCTTATGTTTTCATGCACACCATTCATTTAATATCAAAACTTGCTATAAAAAGTGATTTATCAAAGGATACTTAAGTGATTAGTACATTTTTAACTTTATTTTAGGTTACTTCAGAAGATGATGTAAAAAGAGCATTAGAAATTACAAAGGATAAGTTTGGTAGATTGGATACATTGGTAAACTGTGCGGGGCATGCAGAGGCTCATCAAGTTTATAATTTTAAGAAAAATTTAGAATGTACTCTTGAGAGTTTTGTAAAGTGCGTAAATGTGAGTGGTTTTTGATCCTGAATTTGCAATAGCAGACGAGAGGGTCCGAAATTAACATTATTGTAGGACCTTATGTTTATTTTGAATATGACATCATAGGTTCTGTATTTCAGGTAAACACAATAGGTACATTTAACACAATAAGATTGGCGTCAGGTTTGATAGGCAAAAACAAACCTAATGATGATGGGCAGAGGGGTGTTATTGTCAACACAGCTGCTACCACAGCCTATGAGGGTGACATAGGTCAAGCTGCGTATGCTGCTTCTAAAGCTGCTGTTATAGGGATGACTTTACCTATAGCTAGAGATTTGGCTTCACAAGGCATTAGAGTTGTCACAGTAGCGCCAGGTAATATTGTGTGTCTTTTTATATGAACTGCCTTTATATCATTTATGGTTATATAAATGTATTTGTTCAGTAATATAGAAGGAAAGGAAATCTTTATAAGCCTATATATTCAAATATTTTATACACGAAAGTTTGGTACAGGAAATGAAATTATAAATCCACCTTTTTCAGGTATTTTCGATACACAATTAGTATCATCCTTACCAGAGAAAATGTTGGAATTTATCAAGAGGATGACACCTTTTCCTTCAAGATTAGGTAAACCCGAAGAGTTTGCACTCCTTGTTACTAGTATAATTGAAAATCCCATGTTAAATGGTGAAGTAATAAGACTTGATGGAGGTAATCGTTGGTTTCCTCTATGAAAATGTTATTATTAATTTATGACTGTTAAACAGTTATTACTTGTACAAATATATTTTTAGGCTTACAGGTTTCTTTTATTACCGTACATTTTAAATATTTTTTCTTAAACATATAATCACTAATTGAGAATAAATTGTTTGGTGAAAATTTTATCCCATACAGGCTCTCATCGAAACAATTTGATCTAAACACAGTCAAACTTATAAATGCTGATTAGATTAGATTTATGAGAGCAGCAGTACTAAGCATCCAATTTTATCGAAAATCTAATATAAATCTGTATACCACCCGGTAAGTACACTTTTGCAGCAGTGGAGAAAAATAGGTGAAAAATCAGTTTTACTACTCATGGCAATAGAACACTGCTGACTTGCTGACATACTACACCAGATTTCCAAAAATTGTTATATGTTTCCACTCCTGTTATTTACTGCTTCATATATTTCAACAAAAATACTAACAGATTTACAATTCTGTAACCCGACATTAATATAGGGTAAAAACCCTTATCATGTCGCAGCGCTTTTTCACTGTGCGTTAAAAAAACGCCGCAGTGCGTGCCTACCCTAATTCACCATAGCAATAAATAACGCTACATGTTTATTTCAATCTCAGATGGCTGGCGTTTGTTTTCTGGGCGCGGCGCGGGTAGCAGTTTGTGAAATTTATTACTTTATCTGTTGCATTGACGCGTAGCGGGTGGAGCGGAGCCCATAAACTTTCTATAGGTATAACAATGTACTCTGTTTATGAAGCCATAAACGGTAATTCTTTAAACCGAAAGTTTATGTTGTAAGTGATATTTCCACTTGGTAATATTTTTACGACAATGCGTAGACTTATCATTACACTAGGTTTCACCCCGGACTTCTTCAGCGTTATTTTTTTGTTAGTTTTTTGAGAATCCCCAACATCCGGGATAAAAATATCCTGTCTCAATTTTTTTAAGAGCACACCTACTTATGTGCCCTTTATGGAATTATTATAAAGTATATCTATACATCTATACATATAAATAAAATTGGAATGTCTGTTTGTAATATTGTAATAACCGCTTTTTACTACATGCATACATATATACGGTAAATACACCAAAATAACATTTTTTTCAATTTTTGTCTGTCTGTCTGTTTGTTCCGAACAAATCTCTGAAATGGCTGGACCGATTATTATGGGACTTTTATTGGCAGGTAACTGATGTAATAAGGAGTAACTTAGGCTACTTTTATTTTAGAAAAAATCTTTTATTTTAGAAAAAAGTTATAATGTATGTACGTAGATCCTAGAAATAGTTTTTTGTTATTAATTTTTAACTTAAATGTTTCTCAGGTAACTCAAAATTTACGGTGTATACCTAAACATCCCATTTCTTAGCTACAAAGCTCATATTCATCAAACAAAATATTTGCCCCATTGGGATTCCAACCTTTGAGTAGGTGACACGTTGAAAACCGGTGTTGTTAGCACGCGTCTACTTACCACTCCACCGGAGATGATTGTATTTTTTGTTTGATATAAGTGCATAAATTGATAGACCTACCACTCAATAGACAGGCTGAAAATTATTCAAATAAGTGTACTGTACCCACTAATATTGTACAACTAGTAGCCGCCCGCGACTTCGTACGCGTGGAGTTAGTTATTTGCACATACTTTTTGATCCCAAAAGGGCTTTTATTGTTTATTTCTGCAGATACATTATTAGTAAACCTCTACACCATAGAGCATACATGTTAAATTTCAAGTCACTTACTTCAAAAACATAGGACTTTCATACAAACTTCCAACCCCCGTATTATTCCCCTTAGCTCACGAAACTCCACCCAGTTTCGTGAAAATATGTAGTCTATATGTTGATCCGACATCTTAATAATATTCGTGCCAAATTTGAAGTAAATCCACGCAGTACTTTTTGAGTTTATCCCGGACATACATACAAAAAATCGAAAAACTATATTTTTGGCTTCGGTATCGATTGTAGATCACATTCCAAGTATTCTTTTAACAAAATATTCAATGTACAGTTTTGAATTTCCTACCATTTTATTATATGTATAGATAAAGCGGTCTACTGACATTCCTGCTGCAGAGGCAAACTAGGGTGTAAGAGTAGGAATGACCCTTAATTGCATCCTTAATTGTCTCCTTAATTGTGATGTGTGAGGAGGCACAAGAATATTGCCGGGTTAGTACACCTGGTGTGGCGCGTGTAAATAGCCCACACCTGGGGTGGATTACACCGAAATTATAAATATTGTGGTTCAATACCAGGAAAAAGGAAGCGCACACTTACCTCCAGGACGATGGGTTGCGTGGTCTCCGACGGGCGTAATGTGAGGCGGCTGGACCCTGCTTTGCCGGCATTCCAGAAAGCGCACGTCACAATTATAGTTTTTACGATTGTCCCGAATATTTTAATAATAATTAAAGAAAAGTATTGACACACATCTTGACAGTTTTTGTTGAAGAAGAGAGTATATTCACTTTTTACACGAAAGGCACCATAAACAATGTCTGTTCCGGTAACCAGCCAGTGCCCTTAGCCACGGCGACATCAATCCCACAGATAAGTGGGTGCGAGAAGTTTTTCTGGTATATCGCCACACATAATAAGATAGAAACAATTTTACCAAATAAACTAAAACCATTCTTATGGCGCTCAACCATGCTCCCCGCCTTGGACGTTCGCAGAAGTCCAAAACAAAATAAAATTATAAACAAAAAATATTACAACTTTGCTTTAATAAGGTTAACTGAAAGTTGAGACGTTTCATGGCTAAGCCTTGACACAATTTAAGATTACGTTACTAAAACAGAAAGTTATTATTGAGTAGGAATAGGATATAACTTTACAATGGGCCGTTTAAAGATCCCGAACTTAGTCTTAACCGTCGCCACTCGAACGATTCCGTCCGAACCGGGATGAACCTCTGAAATTACACCTAAGGGCCAACTCAAGGGAGGAGAATCCTCCTGTCCCACAATAACAACGGTTCCCACATCAATTACGTGGCCAGCGGTAGACCACTTCTGCCGGACTTGTAGGGTATGTAGGTACTCCATGCGCCATTTCTTCCAGTAGGACTGTACCATACTGTCTAGCAGTTACTTTCGCTGGGAAAGAGTGAAACGCGTATCAGTGACGGGAGACGCCGGTAAGTACCGCAACGGCGATGACATCAAAAAATGGGCAGGAGTGACCACATCGGGGTCGGGATCCGAGGAGATGACAGCGAGTGGGCGCGAGTTCATGACACACTCGATCTGCACCAGCACAGTCTGAAGCTCCTCGTACGTCAGGAGCTGAGCCCCAATAACGCGATAAAGGTGAGTCTTTAAACTTTTAATATTCGACTCCCATATACCACCGAAATGCGGCGCGCGAGGTGGAATCATTCTCCACTCAATACGACTTTTAGCTAGTTCGCGCTTTAAAGTTGGATGAAACTCCGAACCAATTAGAAAGTTATAAAGATCATCTAACTGCGCCTTTGCACCGACGAAATTGGTACCATTGTCTGAGTATAGACATGACACAGGTCCACGCCGTGAAATAAAGCGACTAAAAGCCGCAAGAAAAGCATTTGAGGTTAGGTCAGAGACCAGCTCAATATGAACAGCCTTAGTCACAAGGCAAACGAATAAGCAGATATATGCCTTCTGAGCATGCTGTCCTCTTCGACGAGCAAGCGTAATGCGAAGGGGACCTGCGTAATCAACGCCGGTATGAACAAAAGCCTTTGCTTCTGTGATACGAAACGAAGGTAAATCAGCCATCTTGGGTGCACGGTGAGACGGACTTACACGAAAACAACAATTGCATTTCCTGACCCTAGCTCTTATAACCGTCCTGGCATCCAATATCCAAAAACGTTGCCGCAAGATAGACATCAAAAGTCCCGGACCAGTATGACAATTCATAATATGGTAGTGTTGAATGATAAGATCCACTACACGGTCATGTTTAGGGAGTAATGCTGGATGTTTAGCCTCAAAAGGTAAATCCGATTTCGAAAGCCGTCCTCCAACACGCAGTACACCATCTCCGTCAAGGAACACCGACAAATTCAAAAGCTTCTTCGAAGGCAATTTACCTTTTTTAAGCGCGGTAACGTCCTCAGCGAAGTGAACAGACTGCACTGCACGTAGCACGAATTTTTCAGCAATCATAAGACTATTGACTGTTTCAGAGGAAGGCGCAATCTTTTTAATAAAACGAAGGACGTAAACAACAGTCCGTAAAAGTTTATCCCACACAGATATACGCCGGGCCAATTCCAACAAGGCCGGTGGTTCAGTCTGAACCATTGCAGTCAGCACGTTAATTTTGTGCTCAGGCAGCTCGGCGGTTATGCTAGGCGAAAAGGCTTTCAAAGGCCACTCAGAAGGAGGGCTTCGAATCCATGACGGGCCGTTCCACCATAAATCATGTGAAACGAGTTGGGAGGGGAGCATCCCCCGGGAAAGACAATCACTCGGATTCTCACTTCCTGCGACATGAAAAAAGTTCTCAGGAGGTAGATTTTCTTGACATTGAGCGACGCGATTGCTAACAAACACCGACCAACGATGCGGTGAGGAATGAATCCACGAAAGCGCAATAGTTGAATCCGAAAAAGCATACGTTCCCGCGATCGGAATACGCTCCTTGTAAGAGCTTTGAACCGTCCGTATCAACCTGGACACCAAGACCGCAGCACATAATTCTAAACGGGCGAGTGTGGTCACCTTAGTCGGTGAAACCTTTGACTTCGCACAGAGTAACCTCACAGTTATATTCCCCAAGGAGTCAGTGGTGTGTAAGTAGAGAACACAACCATAACCGTTCATACTCGCATCACAAAACGCGACAATCAGCACGGTACAATCGTTGACTACACCAATATGACGAGGGATTTTCACAGTTGAAATGAGAGGAAACTCCTGAATGAGCGCCGAGAATTTTCGTAAAATGCTCTCGGGGGGAGTAACGTCCCAATCTATGTTACATAGCCATAGCTCTTTTATAAGCAATTTGGCGTACAAAATAACAGGAGCCATTAAACCAAGGACATCAAACAAACG